TCAGCCAGCCAGCCAGTCAGCCAGCCTGCCAGCCAGTCAGTCAGTCTGTCAGCCAGTCAGGCAGCCGCTCAGTTAGCCAGTCAGCTGGTCAGTTAGCCAGCCAGCCAGTCAGTTAGCCAGCCAGCCAGTCAGTTAGCCAGTCAGTCAGCCAGTTGGTCAGCCAACCAGTCAGTCAGCTAGCTGGCCAGCCAGCCACTCAGTCAGCCAGCCAGTGAGTTAGAGCCACATAGTCAGTAAGAGCCAGCCAGTCAGTCAGTCAGTGTGTCAGTAAGTCTGTCAGAAAGTATTTCAGTTCGTCTGTCAGTATGTTTGTCAGTCAGTCAGCCAGTCAGTCAATCAGGGATCACCTAGCCAGTCAACTGTTCTGTCAGGTCGTCAGTCAGTCTGCAAAAGAACACCTTCCATACTGTTTTAACAAGCGCTTTAGAAAACCTAAAGAAAGTTTTTCCTACCGACATACCAAAACTCAGTTTTTAAAAAGTGTCAGTAAATTAGCTAAGGCCTAAATTGCAGAGTCGTAACAAAATTAATGGTTCGAGCAGCTAAAGCTACCTTGGCTTGAGGAGAAACCACTTACGAAGCGTGAATAAATTACGCCATGGAAATGGAGCCTTCGTACATAAAATTATCAAATTCACAACCTCCTTCAACGTAGAAAACAAATAGGCAGACATAATTCAACATCTGATGGACTTCCACTGACTTATGTTTTCCAAGAGGTTGCTTAAAATAAAATATAAATGCTTTTGGCGCTATTTCAAATTACCTTTCCAGTAGATGTTTCCAATAGGCGTTTAACTTGCTTTTATTAGTCCGTTCCTACGTCCCAACAAAGCATTTCATCTGTCCGAGCTGAAGGCCATGTACAGTGAAGGTACCAAAGATGAGTGTGGGTGAGTATGGAAATGTTGACAGAGATTGCTTTCTTTGCCACAGTATAACGTTTAAATTTCGCTTCGGTCGCCATTTTCTTCCTCGTGTGAAGATACACGTGATAGTCGAATAATTAAATTTGAATAAGGGACACTGATCTGCGAGTTATGAATATTAAATATTTTACCTCAACCACGGACCGCAATCCTTTAGTGCCTTTGGAAACTCTAAAACCAAGTACGGTAAAGAGGAATGACGAGGAAAATTGACTGAGACGAAAGTAGGCTTGACAAATGGTCAAATATCAAACCGATCGATTAAATGTTTACGAGGAAAAAAAATAGGTACAATAGATTACAGGTAAAATTACTATGAGAAAAATTACAGGTAAAATTACTATGAGAAAAATTACAAGTTCCCAACGGTAGGATTTGTTTCCCGGTTAGATTCGTTTCCGCGGTGGGAAGCTTTTTACCTAAAGATTGGTTCCATGCTACGTCAAACACCAGCCGCCGCCCCCGCAAATATCACGTTTCACAATGCAGTAATTACACAACATTAAAGATCCCTTGTCTTACAACAAGCAGCAGCGCAAGTAGGGATCTCTCTTTTATGCACAGTTAGCATTTCAAAATGAGGAGCAGAGTAACAGGTACGATGCGCTGGGTCAAATATTTTATGTTCTTTTTCAACGTCTTGTTCTGGATAAGCGGTGTTGGCCTTGTGGTGTTAGGCTGTCTTGGGGAGCTTCTATATGGCGATTACAAAAACATCACACAAACTGGTTTCACCTCAGCCTCTTTTATCCTTATAGGAGTAGGATCTGTAACTGGTCTGCTCGGCTTTGCTGGTTGTTATGGTGCAATCAGAGAAAATTACTTCATGCTTAAGTGTTTCTCGTACTTGTTGGTCTTGCTGCTGATCGCAGAAATCGCGCTGGGCCTGTGGTTGTACTTTGCACATTTCAATCTACACAAATTTCTTCAGGATTTTCTCAGCAACATCCTCAGCAAGTACGAAGATGACAAGGATATACGAGAACTAATCAACCGAATCCAGCGAGAACACGAGTGCTGTGGGTCAAAAAGCTACAAAGACTGGTACCATTCAGATTGGAACGCTCAACGCCAAAACAAGAGCGTGTACTATTGGGTGAATAATGTGCCGCAATCGTGTTGTTTATCAAACACAACACATTTAGAGAGCTGTGGAAACAATTTAGACACTGCCAGTAAACCAGCTGAGAAGTTTGTCCATACCGAAGGCTGTCTACAATTAAAGGGGATCTTCTCGAAACACTTGACCTTTATGATTTCTCTTGGCGCAGGGGTCATGACAATACACGTGCTGGCGATTCTGTTAACGTGTTGCCTCAGGCGCGCAATCAAACATTCGAATCTGCTTCACCAGGGCGATGGAATCTTACTCATTTCGACGTAATTGGTATCAAAATAGCAATACAATGAAAAGCGCAATTGTTCTTGTAAATGACTATGCGGGAGGATAGATATGACTCGATTGACACGTCACACAATTTCTACTGATGTCACGCAATCCTTCAAGATCCAGGACTTTCTAAATTCGTGAACTACAGGAGTTATCAAAATGACATAACAATGAGTAACATCAGGTAGATATTTATTAAAAATAATTCATCTCGGTGACTTTCATCATTGAAATGGGAAGGAGTGATAAATCAAGAGGGGCCATAAATACTTCAAGAAATGAGTATACAATATGTATTCTTTGAATTGTTAAATTCAGCTCTATAGTAATAGGCATTCAAGTGAAAACTGTGAATATTTTATAGGACTTGTTTTCACGATTAAATTCTTTGTAAAACTGACAAGAAATACGTCAAGTTTTGGTTGGTAACGTAGTTGCATCAAGCTGTCATAAAAAAGCGTTCAGTGGTACAGCCCTTAAATTGCTTAAAATTCATGACCAGTCTCGCAAGAGAGCGAATAGTTTATGTTATCCTCGTATTACTGCAGATCTTGTAACAAGCTTTCCTTTTGATATGCTTTCGATATGGCTGAGAGATGTTTCAGTCTCTTTAGCCGAGTAATGCAATATTTTCCTTTCTTTAAGAGACTAGTAAGTACCTCCATGGCATCGACAATGCTTGGATGGCAAATTTTTAGTCTTCATCACTATCTGCTGCAAGTACTTCATCTTGTGACACACCCTGTAGAGGAAACGGAACATGCCACATAAGTATCACCACTAGCAAAAAAAGATAGTCTTTCTCGAAAACGTGAAAATTGAAGGTTTTACGCTTTCCTTAATGCGTCGACAGTAACCCTGCGATTTTCTGCGAATGACTGCGAGAGGGTAATTATCATTTCCCAACACGTCTTAAGAGGGGACACTGGCAACCAGAGAGTCAATTACACGCCAATGTAGTCTTAGAGTTCTGACACTAACTAAGCAAAAAAGAGCTTTAACCCTGGCAACCTTTTTCATGGTGAAAACGATCGTCAAGTAAACAGTTAGACAGCTAACAGGAGCCGAGGCAGAGAGCAAAATGAAAGATCTTTGAGAGAAATCTAAGATAGACGCAATGAAAGATCTCAACTGCGGAGCGAGTAACGAAATTTTAAGTTGCACAATTTTAAACCCCAGAGTCGATAGAGCGCCCATCAAAAGATTTCAGTGTCAATCGAAAGCACATCAAAAGACCTCAGAATCTATGGAGCGCTAAAGGAATAACATGATTTGAGACTCAACTTGGAGCACATCAAAAGGTTTCACTCTCTGGAAATAGATCCATTCGTTATTTATGTCACGAAAATCAGTATAACTTACTTGCTGTTTAGAAGCGGCGAAAAACATGGATTTAAACTGAAACAAAGAAGACAAAATTTGTGAAAAAAAGTGAAATAGAAAATGACAAATTAAAAGAAAAGTTGCGTTCGCAGAATTGATACAGAGAAAGTGCAAATTCCAACGAGCTTATGTCCCTTTTTAAGTCAAACAAAGTTATTCAAAAGCTCTGTGGATAAATTCTCTATAGTGAAGTCAAGTGATAATAGAGAATCTTTTTTTACAATAAGTGAATACATTTACACAAAGTACCTTTTTGTGGGGTGGGGTCCCCGGAACAAAATCATAATCTTCATCAGCATCTACATCCATCGAGCTGTTATCAGGTTCCACTGGACGTCTCTTTGTCTTCTTTGGTCCAGTTTGATTTAACGAGTTCTCGTCAAGGCTGATGCAACTGTCACCCAAGGAAGGCTGATTGAGAATATACAGTTATTTTAACATTTCTTAGTGTTGGTAACATAACAAAATTAGGGCAAGTGATCTGTACATGGTTTCTGAAGGTTTCGCCTGCTTTATGGAGGTTTCGCCCCATTGCAAGTTCGCTCCCTACCATTGCTAAGACTAGTTCGCCTCATTTAAGATAGCTACTTTGTCCCCATCGTCATTTGGTACGAACTTGTCAAGGTGGAGGCCAACTAGTAAGAAGCCGGCTTGCAATGGGGTGAAACCTCCAGAAACCAATGAAATATGTCCCGTTCTTATTCAAGGATTTTCCATCTCATTTTGATACTCATGGCACTTTGGGAGAAGAGGTTATCCCTAAAGAACACAAGATGCTGGCCCTGCCTGAGTCAAACTGAAATGATCCATTTTACAGGTATTTACTCAATACATTCCTGTACGAAACAAACGTGGTTAATAATTTACGATTGTCCTACCATGTCCAAATTCTTCATAAATGATACATCTGGAAGGAACAAGAGGACAAACGTTACTACAGTATGATTTTGCTATACGTGCAATTGCACGTACATATGTTACGCGAGTCATCCTCACAGACTGTCCATAGCAATTGCACCATTTTACACAAGAGGCAATACGAAGTAATGATGAGCACTGGGTATCCCCTGACAAGCAGAATTCGTCATCCTATCACATCCGAGCCGAGGATGCACGCACCTCAGACATAAGACCTGGGGCATGGCTAGGGGTTTCTAGGACCCCTTTTTTGACGAAAAAAGAAAAGATAATTCATAGTTGTGACACAGCCTGACATGCCCAAACTGCCAGTAAGAAGTTAGTGGTAAGTTTGCCTACAGTCCTATAAACCGCTGGATTGATAGCATAAAACCCAACTAATTCCTTCTTGCAGTGGCTTCAAAGTAGGTAAATATTGAGTAGGGTAACCGAGAGTATATAGAAGGCTTATCCTTTGAATAAATTGTAAAAGCATTTGGGTATAGGCTCTAAAAGGACCCAAAATTGCTATTTAATATTGACAATTACAGGCTTTATTCAAATAAAAAAAAAAATTAACCACTTTTTGCCATACCTGTGACCGTACTAGGCGGTGTTTGTATGGGTTGAGCACTGCCACGCCTACACATGAGTTAAGGAAGAGTACACATGAGGGTTTTATTGAGGAAAGCAAGGATAGAAAGTCCCACAGTAGTTTCTAAAATGGTTGATGACCATCATAATGAACACAAATATTACAGACACCTTTTTGTTATTTCTAAGCTGGAGTGAGAACATTCAAAAGGATACACAGAAGTGTTTGCACTTTCCTGACTGGCCTCAGGGATGACTGAAAGATCTTTCTTCCTCGCTGTAAACACATCTACAACAAAAATAAAAATAAACTCAAAAGAAAACTTGATTGAAATAAATACACCATTGTGAGCATGGTCTTGACCTCATCATCATCTTTGCCTGCTGTGGCAAATGTTTATTTCAAGTTGAAGGATTTGATATCAGTTCAGAGCAAATTTTCTGCAGCTCAGAAAGAACAAACGATCATATCTTGACATGGCTCCTTAGGTTGGTCTATGATAATTAAAAAATAGAAATATATAAATTTTGCTGTTTAAATTGGATTTCAATTCAAAATGACTTCAAGCTAGTTGTAATATTTTCCCCCATTCCAAGTGCATTATCATAGTCCTTGAACAAAAGAAATCACATCAAACAACTAATAGGTTGAATTTGTTTTGAACAAAATTGGACAATACAGAAATTAAATTGAACAGGAATTATTTAGACTACAACAGATATGTAGCTCATGATTTTAAATTTTTCAAAAGGTAGATAACTCTATTCACCATGGCCAGTTCAATCCCTTCCTAGTAGACAGCATGATATGTTTTGCAGAACTGTGTCCATTACAGAGAAGTGAATATCACTATCTGAGTTTTTTTTTTACCTTGATAAGGAAATGAGTCACTAAAGAATTCATCCAGAACTGATTTATTGGCATCTTTACCTCTGTGATTACAAATTGAAAAATTAAGAAACTTTAAGATCATTCACTGAAAATCTACAGCTTAAAAGGACACTTGTGAGGCACAACTATTGAAATTAAAATCATCATTTGTCTACCACTGAAGAGAACCAAGGGCTCTTCACACATACTTACAAATACAGTCATATGAGAAAGTCATAATACACACAATATTCACACAGTATGACAATCAAGTACCTTTGGCTTGTCTCCTCTGCATTATTCCCAAAATTGCTCTGACTTTTCTTATTATTAGTTTTCCCTTCACTATTTTGAGATGGCCCTGGAGTTTTCTCTTTGAGCAAGACTTTATCAACCTCTGTCATGTCCATATCACCATCATTATTTTCTTCATTAAACAAGGAGTAATTTTGTTCGATGTCATTGTAGTGATTGTTAGTCTGGGAGTTCTGTGCAGTCTTGATATGTGAACTGGCACCCACTTTCTGTTTAACTTGGTCAGGGTTTGTTGTTGGATCTGTCTTTGCAGAGCTAATCAGCACAATCCAAAAAAAAAATTCAACCTTTACAAATAAATTTTTTGATCACTATTGAACAAGGCTAGCCTTCAAAGATGAGATTGAAAATGTTTAATCTTAAAATTTTGTTTAAACTTACTCAATTCTTGACATAACCTGCACAGAATGGGTTTGTCAGATCTTATGAGTGACTATGTATTTATTTAACTTTCTCACCATTTGACATTCCTATCTTTTGGAACTTTTTTAGCAGATGTGCTGGGTGCTGCTGTGACAGATGCTTGAGATGACTGGGTGGAGGACTGGTGATCAATTAAAGTTGCCAGCACAAAGTCAGCTTCATAAGTTGAGTCTCCATCCATACTGAACACTATGGGTCTGAAGATAATTCCATGTAAATGATAACTCCCTATAATCTGCAGCTCAGGGAACACTCTGACTTTTCAAAGTTGAGAGTTAGGCAAGAAGTCCTTTTGGGTTGGAAATATACAATCTAGTGAAAAGTTTTTTGGTACAAAATGCAATAGTGACTCTCTGGGGTGAAAAGTGCAACTTAGTGCTTCTTTGTATTTTTTATCGTATTTTATGCAGGAAAACACATTTCTGGGTTATACACTTGGACCCAAATTGACAGTTTTTCCTGTTTAATTTTTAAGTAGCACTCTTCTTTCTCCCTCAACTGTTCATAATCTGCTTTTATATAGTTGTAGATATTTGGTGATATACTAACCTTCCACTGGTTTCAAAATGCATATTTATTGGTTGACTTGAGAACTCAGCAAATGTTAAAATAGCCTGCAATACAGAAAGGTAAAAATTCTGGCTTAAAAATTGACATAAATGATATGCAGATTTGATCAACTACATATTCTCAGAGAACTTTTCACCTTTTTCATTGTGAAGATAGCAGTGTTAATTCTTGTCTAAATAAATCTGATCAAAATTAATTTTAGCTTCTGTCATTAAATTTTTATGGTTAGTTGTACACTTACCCTTAGCTCCTTGAGACAAAATGTAACCTCTGTATCAACTCCAATTTGATAGTTATCAAACTCTTCTGGAGCTAACATCATTTCTGAGTGAATGACTCGATTTGGTTCTGTAAGAAAAGAGGACACATTTAGCACTATACCACTATAGTGACAATGATTGTAAGCCTCCAAAATAGAAGCCAAGAAATAATTAATATTTTAACACATGCTGGAGTGAAATTCTAGGATTCACAGTGGATACATGTTTCCATGTATATGTAAAGTGGACTCTCGTTCTGCGAACACCTTGCTATTATGGTTATGGACGCCCTGCCATTGTAGAAAATAGCCAGCCCCCTGGCAAAACCCATAAAGAAATGATTGCAATAAACTCCTATTATTATGGATGCTCACTAATACACCCTACCACGATGCAGACACTTGCAATGCACCCCCCCCCCCCAGGTGCAACATTCAATTTTTTTCCCCTTGCTATAGCATACATTTTGTCCAAAATCCTGACTCACATAATATATATAAAGCAACATTACAATAAAGGAAAATAAAGGAAAATAAAGAAACCATTCTTCAATTGGATGCAAGCATGATAATTTCCAGCTTGTGGCCCAGATCTTTTTCCTGTTTGTGAGGCCACATTAGAAACTTAATGTCTGGGTAGTTACATGTCATTTCATATTTTTAGAGACAAAACATTACTTCTTTCTCTCATACCCTGCAATTATTGACTCTTGTTATAAGGGACACTAAATCTCCCCTGTGGGTGTCTGCAATAATGGGAGTTGACTGTTTTTCTGACACCATTTAGACTACCAAGTAATATCAGATATAGTTTCAAAGACTCTCAAGAACCTACAGTTACTTCTTACTTATTCAGTCGGGGATGAAATTGAAGTCACTGTATTTTTAACTGATCAAAATAAGGTTTGCTCACACTGACAAGGCTCTTGAGATACCCATCTGTTCAGCTATCTATAACTAGTTGATTTTTTTTGCCACTGTTGACTTTCTAATTATCAAATAACAGTCACTTTTGCTTTTTTTCTTCTTACCAGGCTCATCATCCACATAGTTCTTGACTTTTAAGGTCTCAGGACTGACAACAAGAGTTATTTCTTCTTGGTTGTTTGGAAAGTTAACCACTGCATCATTGAGAATTCTGTGAAAAGTAGGAAATATCATGTTATAATTGGAACTCTCCTTTAAGACTCACTAATACAGAAAGCTCTACAAATGTTCCGCAAGAAAAAGTCTGGTTTTTATAAAAGTGCAAACAAACACCATGTAAAATTTACAAATTCTTGTTAAAGTTCAAAGCTAGCTGAGGATACTTAATCATGAGTTTCCCTTGAGAATCTGCCTTGTAGGAGCTTTGAACATCAGATTTCACCATGGCAATTTGGAAGACTGATGAAAAAAGGCATTCAAATTTTTCTTACTTGGCTTGAGTTGTCATAAAATTTGGACACAAGTCTTTTGCAAACACAGCTTGCAAGGTTTCGCACTCTAGAAATGTCAAGTTGTAAGTCTTTGTAATGCCTGTAAGAATTCAAAGAAAGAAAAATAAAAAAAAACATAAAAAAATTTATATGAGTTGACAATTTGTGTACCTAAAGATTGAATTAAGACTTACATTTGTAAAACTGCAGCAACTTTTTGTCTCTAATTTTTAGACCAATTGTTGAAAAGAAAAAAAAAACAAGTTCAAAACCCAAAAATAAACAATCCTGTTATGTTGGAATAATTACAACTGTGATAATATGGCCTCAAAAACTTTTACAATGTTTCCTTCCAGGCAGCCATCATTGTGTTATGCTCCTGGGCAAGATATTTTACGCCAACAGAATGTCTTCTGCCTTGGAGAGAGAATGTGTTCACCAAACTGTCTGGGATTCCTTACAAAATACTAAAGAAGAACAAACTAGGATGTACAAATATTCCATTCGAGGTGATTTAAATACTCTTTGAAACAGTTTCTTCATTCTATAGACATTGGACAACTTTTTTTCTGTGTGGACCTCCTACAGACTTACATTGTAAGTAAGACTGACTGAAGTTTACTTAAGTTTACCATGTCTGCAGTAGAACAGAAAAACCAGCCTAGCCTCCCTGACATTCAGATCTATTTTGCACTGATCCACTGTTTTCTCAATTGTGTTCATGGATTTAAAAGCTGACAGGCATGACTGTAAATAAAAATGCAAGAAAAGGTCACTTAAGGCTCTACGCTGCACACTGGGTTTTGTAGCACTGGGAAGGCAGAGGTGTTGTCCCTCTAAGTGTTATTCTCTGGAACCTTCTGCACAAAGACATAAGTTTACATCTAGGAATATTACAATCAACTTTTGGTCCTTGAACAAATATCAGTTTACTTTAAGAAATATTACAATCAACTTGTGCTACTTGGACAATGTCTTCTTTCAATTTGTTTTCGTTTTCTGTTCTGCTTTGTTTTTTCTCTGTGCAGTAAAATACTAGAGGTCTGTTGAAAGAAATGCCTCTTGAACCTAGTGCATGCTACACACCTGTAACATTTCTCAAAATTAAGTTATTTACTGCATTCTATGCTGAGTCAGACTTAGTCTTGAAACTGTTGAGCAGTGGTAATAAATACAGTCATGTAAACCAAACATTCCTCTGACCTTCATGGCAATCTTGCATCTTAATAAATCCTCTTCCTCTGAATCCCCAGCCGATTCATCTGATCCATCATCATAACTAATAAAAAAGCTCTCATTGAAGAGAAAGCAAGCATATGCTGAGCGAGATGAGCTGACTGTCCTTAGCGCAAGCTGTTATAAAGAGAAGTGAGAGTAAGTAAAGAGTAATTATCCATCTTTAGTCTTATCATTGTAACCAATTTTTTCCTATCGAATGGAAGGGGGGAGGGGACCCAAGTAAATCCTATTGACTCTCACTGTTCCTTTGCTATACTTTCCTCAGCGACTCAATGCCAGGGGGGTGGGTCCTGAGGGACTTATTTCCCACTACCCCCCTTCGCTGCACACAATGAAAAACCTTCCTTGTTTGCTTCTGTTGAGATGTTTCCTGAGATCCCTCACCCCTCCTGAAAATTCTTGCCAACGTACCTGCAATTATTACTGTATCTGAGAACTTTCGGACTATCACATGATTTTTTTTAACTCACCCCTTCTGACAGAGCCTCCAGATACAGCTCATTACCAATCTTGGATAAACAATGGATTGCCTTCGCAAACACTGAAACACACACAAAAACGTGTTGAGAGAGCGAACGAAATCTTAAAGTCATAGATAAGTTAAGCTTCGATCTAAAAGTGAACACACATTTCACTGATCTGCCTGGAATAACACAACGCATCTTCAAACACAGCTATGAAGATTTTGTCATTTTTGCGACCATGATATGCTTCTCCTTGGATAAATCATCTCCATTTCTTTCCTAAGATTCATTTAGTTCTTACTAATGAACCATTTTCCTTGTCTTACTAAGGAATGTTTAACATGTCCGAAAAAAAAGAAACAAAATTCAAAATGGCGCCAGTTTTGGAATCCGCTGACAAGCTAAACATTAGGCGCGCTTCTCAGGTAACCGCTCACTAAACATGGCGTCCACAAAAACAAATCTACCTGCATGGTTACTGCTCTCTAAAGACGATATCACAAGATCTATTGAGTGGAAGGATTTAACATCAGAGCTTTTCGATGCAGTGCAACATCAGCTTACAGAAAACCACGTGTCTTACTTTTCCGATCTCACAGATTCAGAGAAAGTCATGTTTCTTGATCGTGCTGGTAAGCTTGTTCGTGACAGCTCTTCGTATCAAAAGCTGATGGCAACAGTTTCGGAAACTCTTGATCGAAATCTAAATGAAGAAGTTACCCAAACGATTATCGATGCATCGAATACACGTACAAAGGCAGAACTTCTTCTTCAAGAATCCTCGAAAGCGTCCATTAGTTTGTTGCAAAGGTGGCCGGATCTTAAAACCAAATTGTTTGCTTGTTTGAATCGTCCTTTACCGACAGAGTTGCGAAGGGCAGTATGGAATTGGTTTCTAGCGAATCCGATCGTTCGAAAAGAATATTTAGAAAAGGTTTCGAGAAACAAACAAGACACTGTTTCACGACACGATGCAGCCATTGGACAAAAGTGCAAAGCTTTCTTGTCCTCAGAATCAAGTCATTTTATGCTTGAATCTTCAGCTTTGCTGAATATCATGAAAACTTCAATATCCTACCGGGACGTGAAAGTTAGTAGCACATCAACGATAGTTGACACAGACTTCTTGTTGGCCATACCTTTTGTGAAAGTAATGGTTGCAGACACTCGTGTTCAACTGATAAATGCTGAGGAAATTGCAAGCTTTGTTGAAGTTTACTTTACCTTCTTGGATTCAAGACCATCTTTAATGAAGGACTCCAAATCTAAGGTTATTTTTCTGCTAAAGAAAGCAAGAATTCCTTTGCAGCTTTACTGCTCTGAGATATCTGTACATATGGGCAATGAAATTTCTGTTCAGTGTAAAAAAGTCATTTTTCCTCTCTTTTCCATAGGAATTCCTGTTAGCACAAAAACAGTTTGGTAGTAAAATGGCTGACTACTTGAATTCCAAAGATCAGCAGCTTGCATTAACTCTGCAGAGAATATTTTCACATGGTAAGGCAGTTGTTGATAGAGATGAATACCCAAATATCAGCCTGTGTGAAAAATTTGTGGCATTCCCCTGGTCATGCACCTAATTTTTCAGCAAATTATGAGTTCTCAACTGGTACCTCATTATACAAGAGGAAGTTCAACCCTGTATGACTATCTAGGATGGTACTATTTTTGAGGCTAACATCTTTTAGTGTTGCTATTATGTAGGCTTTGTGTGAGGACATGGACTACACAAGTTCAATTTACTGATTCTTGTTTATAATGTGTAAACACACTGTAATTCTTTTTGAACAGACCAGACAACTCAGTTGGCAGAAAGTCTGGCAGCAATCATGAGGTCATATGCAAGGTGCATGTTTGTTGGTAAGATTTGACTAAAACTGATCTCAATGTGTTTAAGTCTTGATCGTAGGCCTCCAAAAGTAACACTGATTGGATAGGACACTTAACCTATTAAACTAAGAATAGTATTCATCTATTCTACACTGTTCTCCTCATCGTTTCTTTTGTTTTTGTGACCTTAAAACTTGATTCAAGCATGATACTGTAAGGATAAATAAGAAGCCAGTCACTCATAGGGTTAAAGGGTTAACTTTCACATTGCTTCTTTCTACCCAAGAGTGAGGTGTGATGGACATTAATATCCCATCAGATGGAGTAGCTATACTCCTTCTTATCTCTTTCTCTGGAAAAAGCAATAAACTCTGGAAATAATTGTTACAAGACTTCACATTTTAAACCGGTTTTTTTTTATATCTTGGAAAAATCACATTGCTATACTTGTATTTTTCAGGGTTTCTTTCCCTTGATGTGGTTTGCTACATTTGGGACCAGTACATTCTGAGTATGAAACTTCCTTCCTTCAACTGTATTGCGACATTCTCTGCTGTCATGCTGCTGTTGTTGAGAGATGAAATCTTAGTGTGCAGAAATGTAAGACTTAAAGACCTTATATGTCCTAGTTTTATTTAAGGTTAAATGCATACAAGAATGGTGATTATGAGATTTCACTCTTTTTGCCTAATTAGACCAAAGAGATTGAGGAAGTTTTGCTTGCTGGGAGCAAAAAACTCACCATAAGAGACTTTCAAAGAGTGGTAGGTGCAATGATTTCCCTTAAACCTGAATCAAAATTCCTTTACCTTCCAAAATTGTAAGTTAACACATTATCCTACAATGTACCATGCCTTTTTGTAGATTGATCATCATTTCATGGCTGATTGGCAGAGGTTGGTTACAGAAGAGGTTCATGGTTCTGATTTACCACTTGTGGATCCAGTAGCAAGTATGAGATCAATTCCTGCATTCTCCTTACCTCATGTTGATCCATTAATTTACCTTGTGTCCTCTCTTGATCTTGGCAAATCACCACAGTTGATAACCTGATAGTTCCATAGGAAAAAAATAGCAAATTCTCATTTCAAAATGCCTAAATTCAGCTAGGGATACCATTTGGGGATCAAACTTCATACGTAGCTTGGGAAGAAGGAGCTATGAATTATTTATGAGAAAATGAACGAGTATTCGAGTAGGTGGTAAAACTTTGAAACTTCACTCGTCTAAGGTGCTGAATGAGTTGCGCCAAATGGTAATCTTTCAAGTTACGTCTATTTTTCGCCCTAGAAAATAGGATTGGTGCATATTAAACTGTTTCCGGTAATTTTTTTTTCCTGTGCCACTTTCCGTGCTAAAAAGAGAGAGAAAAAAAGGAGTTTTGTGAATAGGTGCTCGTCAAAGGGTTGTGGGCTGCGGTAAGTCTCTGATTCCCCTCCACTTTTTACCGCGCACCGTAAACGGCCACCTTGTTAAGAAAGAGATGTATATCACATAATGTGCGCTTTAAGAATAAGTAATTTTCAGCATTTATCTGCAGATATGCTTGGCGTAGATCTGTGGTCTCATCTGTGTCTTAACTTTTAGCAGTTGGTAGGTCTGCGCACCCCTGGTCTGGGTGGTTCCGGGGACAGCCTCCCACTCGTCAGCGAGTCGAAGATCGGCGGCAGACTCGCGAGGAAAGAGAACAGGAACGACGGAGACAACTCATGGAACATCGACGAGAAGAAGCCAGGAAGAAGCAAGAACAAGAGGAGGAGATGCAACGTCGTGAACAGGAGATGAGGCAAGAGTTTCAAGCACAGAAAAAACGTGAAAAGGAAGGAATCGTAGCGCTCGAGAAAGAGCTCAAACGTGAAAGACAAGAGCGATCATCTGTGGAAAAGAAGAAGGATGAAGAGATTGCACGGTTGCAAGTCGAACTTGCGAGACTAAAACGAGTTACTCCAGTCACCAGCCCTGCTATACGCTCCTCTGGTGCACCTTCAGTGAAGGAGCCAACTCCAGTTAACCCCAGTCCTCGTCTTTCGAGAGCATCGCGTAAACAGGTCGAGGACATGGTTCGGTCGTTACTAGGAGCGACGCTTCACAGCCTAGATTTAGGTAAGAGATAATTCCAATTAAAAATCCTGGTGTAACTCAACCCGTTGCGGTTTGTGGTTAGGAAAAAATTTTACGGAAACAGTACGAAATCAATCTTAGTCTGCTTTCAAGTATTTTTTCCACGGGACTTCTTGCATTAATGACTTTAACCTATCGTCTTTGGGATCTCCGCGCACTCCCGAAATCCTAAGCGTACCCGCGGGTGTCAACTCTAATTGGACAGTTATTAAGTCTGAAACGAATCGTCTTGTTAGAAGTATGATTTTTATTTGCAGTGGCCCACGGGTCAGAGGAACAGCGGACAAATCTTGATATAATCACGAAAGACGCTTTGCAGACAAACAGTGACCAGTACAAAGAAGCAGAAAGAGAGTTGTTCGGCAGGGAACTTAACACCGACGATTGGGACAGAATGGACGAGGAAGAACGCTCGGAGAACACTAGGAAGCTTATGACAAGGTTGAAAGAGATGAGAGACGAAAGCCGGCTTAACGCGACATGAACACAGGAGCTAGTAACTAAACAACCTTCAGTGCGTGTGTGCACTTCATATGCAACATTTTAAAGAGTCTATACCACGGCTTGCTTAAATGCTCAGCTTACTACTTTGCTCAATTAAATGGATACTCCGGAGAATATCATAATACCTCAGTCGTAAGTGAGCAGGACTGAGAAGTACCTGATACAAGCCTTTGTCTGTTATGCGCAAGTTCATTATTACTGCTGGAGGGGTCGTTTCGTTGATTCGATTCAAGGTGAACTCTGAACGTTTTATTATGTGGTCAAGATTTCATCACAGAGGATAAATATGAATTAGTCCTCTGAACTTTAAAGTCGCCGGAACTGAAAACTTAGCTAATTGACCCTTGCAGGGCTTTTATTTCAATATACAAAATGCAAATTGTCAAGAAATTGAAGCAAAGCACGTGCTAAGAACAGTAGACATTGGAATCAAGCGTAGATCAAGTACCAGCAAAAAAATCCCATGTTTAAAAATGGTAGGGTCCATTAGGTCACTAAATAGTTGTACAATTTTTTTTTTGCGAAATCCCGGAAGTAGTAACACTTTGAGGTTATTGCCGTCACTTACGTGTAGCGTGAGGTGTTGTCTTTGTTATGAAGGCGGCGTACATTCTCGAGTTTGGAGTTCGCGCAGATGGTGGAGTCGAAATTCTAGTTTAGAGAATTATACTTGATTTGACTGGATGAAAGTTGAAATAACTGACGCTAATTTCATATTTCTCGGATTTACTTAGAAGAACCAGGTTACTTCCAGCTTTTACTTGAGAAATTTACTAGGGTTTTTTACTAAAGCGACTTACCGAGTTTTTTCGTGAATACTTTCTTGTGAGGTTCGCTTCTCCTTGCGCATACGAGGGCACATTACTGTTTACAAATGCGCAGACGCAGAACTTAGGTATCCAATTGGTTATTAAAAAAAACAAACCTGATCACAAGATGTGAATCTCTACTGCACATAATGACACCGCTTGATTTGGACGAGAACTTAAGACAATGGCGAAACAAATTGTCATTTCCAAATAAACGAGTATGGGGGTCTCTGTTCTTTTCTTCTTTGAATTGAGGAAACAAAAAAGGCAAGCTATTGTTTTAAAAAAGATGCAATATGCCGTATATTTCAATTGTCTTTGTTTATGTACAAGCATCACCTTTTAGCCTTTTACATTCGTTAAAGAAAATGTCATTATAACTGCAAATCCTTTTCGTGAGATCCGGCTTTAATTCAATGTATTAAACTTCAGGTGTGTTTCTATGGGCAACTTTCATCGCTTGAAGAAGACCTGCTTTGCCTTGTGGGATATGGCATTGTCCTGTGCATGCGTAATGATTGATATGTGCGCTGGCCATATCCAGGGCTTGTCGGAGATGTCGGCGACATCGGGTTAGGGCCCACGTGGCCCATCATTTGAGGCATCATAGGTAGATATCCTCCGGGAGGCGAAGAGTTAGGGAGATTTCTGGGTATGTGCGTCAGCGGAGTTCCTCTATTTTCATACGGACCTAAGACAAACGAATTGTGGATTACCATAGTTTAATCTCTGATAAGACTACGGCACAGACTCAACCCTGGACAGCTAATTTAAGCCAACAAATTTAAAAGTTATCTCACCTGGATAGGTGAAGGCTGGATTTACAGCGCTGACAGGAGGCACTGGCCGGGGAGCCTGAGGCCGAGGTACTTGAGGTTCATTTCTTTGAGATACCATGTCTCCATGTAACCTGGCACGAGCGGTCGCAGAAATTTCTCCCTGGTCAAGTTGTTTCATGACTTCCATAACACTGCATTTTAGTGTGAAAAAAGATTATATTGGAATAATTTTCTTTAAGTGATTATCTGCAGCTCAATTCGTGAATTTACTGTAATAATAGTACACTTGTAATTGCCACAAAACAGCCGATCAGAACCAGGTTGATATCACTTTAATCTTAAATTTTTATGAGAGGTGTTCCTAAAACAGTTAAAACTATACTAAGAGGTATAAGTTTAATCTAAAATCTATATTTACAATAATAAAATCTAATTGGATTTAGGAACACTCTAACCTAATTTGTAATATGACTAAATCGTTAAGTTAATTCTAAATTTACAATAAAACTAGTTTACATGTTCATAGATAAATCCCCTAGGAGTCTTGAAGCGCTGGAGATGCAGATGTTGATGCATGGCTGGTGATAAAGTAACGATTGCTCTTAGTTTAGCATTTGATTAGTTGAGATAGTGGTCGTAGCGGGATCAATATCAGTATCTGGGCAACTGCCCACCTACCCCTCCCCTAACCCAGCAACAGTCAATTGACAACAAGTTAAGGTTAATGTTGGGTTAGGGGAGGGGTAGGTGGGCAGTTGCTCAGATACTGATATTGATCCCGGTAGCGTACTAAAGCAAAACCGATGCAATCATGGATTACTTTCGACATTCAGAAGAACATTGCAGTTATTTAAGTGGACTATTTTAAATGCAATTAGGAGTTTCGTCACACCGAGATTCAAAGAGGCACAATGACCCGGTGAATTTTTTTTTTCAATTTCGCTTTTGGAATGTTTAGCTCGACAAAAAATGGTGTCCTGAAAATAGTGAATTCAAAGTCTCAAGGAAACAAAAACGTTTTCAGAAATCTGACAAAACTTATGAGAAAATTTCATAAAAGTACTCACCAGTCATCCGGGTCACAATCTCGGAACCCTTTGGCAAATGGATTGCTGGCGATCTTCAGCTGTGTTATCTGAATCGAAAAAGTCGAAGGCATGTTAGGTATTATTAAGATTTACTATATACTCCGGAAGGGTTAACTGCCTGAGGGTACAAAGTAGAAGCTTGCTTAATTAAAGTTACAATTTTCTCAAGATTTGAGGAGCATTTGTGCTGTGGTGAGGTCTCCCTGAAAACATTTAACTTATAGAGTTTTTTTCTTGATAGCGTAGATAGCACTGATTATAGCTGCCACTTCTTGAGCAAGAATAAACAAAAGGAATAAATTTTCTTGAATAGATGACCCGTCAAGGAGCATTGTCGAAGAAATTTAAGAAGTTCTAGGGTTATTCTTGTCCAACAGATCGTCCAGAAAAAAAATGTTCTTGACCGGCAAGTTTTCTTTGCTTTTGTGTACAACAATTCCTTTTTTTCTGTTGCATTTGTGCATGAAAACGTGCTAAGCAGCTTTTTGTTCTCAATTCAACTAGTAAGACAAGTAACTATTTAGAGTTCCTGCAAATAATTGGCCTTTGTAGTCAGTTACATAATCAAAGGCATTACTTCGTAAATTGATTAAACTACCTCAGTTTGCTAATCAGGGAGTGTCTCTTACTCCTCAAATCTTACCTAGAAAATTTAACAGCAAAAAATAGTTGCCAAAAAGACTTTGTACTAGTCAAAAGCCCGATGAAGGAATAATTATGAGTGTTGCGACTTAGTATGAAAAAGAGGCTCAAAATCATGAATTTTTAACATTGAAACTGTTTTGATTCCAAGAGTTTTCCACTTAAAAAAAAAAAAAAAAAACATGGCCAAGACCTGTCCTTTTCGCGTGAACTATTCTTGTTCAAAACGCATTCGCGTCGGTCACCTCTCCCTAAAAACTAATCTGTGAGCATGGTTTATGTCTGAAATCAGCCACAGGCTCTCGGAATGCAATAGAAAAACCGAATGTGTTTTTATAACCTCATCATCAATTAAAATGCCGCTTTTTAATCAATAGACGTGTCTTGCGCCAAGTTAAGTACGTATTGGATAACCTATGCCTATCAGCCGAAGGGACATTGACCTTTTCCTAGTCTCAGTAATGGTTTTACTAGTCCTAGAGGATTATTAATGTTGATATCTTTATGACTCACTAGCTTATACTTAAGTCAAAAGTAGGTACTCAAACTTTGCGAAATTAAGAAGCATTACTCCGATAAAGGGTTGTGATAGTATATAATCTAATCAGGCTGTGGTTAAGAGCTGTTAAAGGGTGTTGTGGACAGAGCCATGTTTGGTATGTTGTCCCCTCACGTAACAGCCAAACAATGTGTGTTTTTACTTTTTAAGGTCAATTGTATAGAAATGGCTGGGGAATGTTAAATTGAGATAGAATTACAGAAAAAAAAAAGACCGCTCTCTGTTTTGTCCATTCATATTGTACTTGGAGATATCGACCAATCTCTTTCTAAGATCGTATTGTGGTCACTTTGAGAATAACAGGGGAAAGATGTTTGAGATAAACTGGCCGGGAAAGTTTCTCTCTTTGCAATGCTCAATATCAAGCGAAGAATTACGACACTTTTGTCGAAGATAGCATAGACAATGGAAGAGAACCAATTCGAAGCTAAACGAATGTAAGTTTTAAAAGCAAACTACAGTCCAAGCCAAATTGAGACTAGAGAAGAACTTTCCTATGTGGTTTAGCTTGTTATATGTTTTGAAGGAATGTAATTGCGCTGTAAACTTGTCACAGCAGTCGGCACTATTCAAGGATTACAACATGAGTGATAGTCTTTTGACATCACCAGCTGATGTTCTCACAGTGAGATTTGTGCCTTCAGGCGATAAATAGGACAACTTAATTATGTTGCGGTGCTAATCCAATATGACAAAATCCTCTTGAAATCCGATTATTTCAATAGAATACTTCTGGTTGTGGTGGGTTTTAATTGAAATACATGAAAAAAAAAAGTTTGTTTAGATTTACACAAAAGGTCAAGAGATTGTGTTTCTCTGAGGATCAAAGTTCTTTAAGAGGATCGGAAGACACCTTATGTAGCTAAAAGCAAAAATCTGTTCTCAACCTATTGTTTGAATTTAGGAAAATCCGTGTCTACGTTTCGCGTTTTTGTGATCAGTTCCTTTAGTCAGTTGGGGTGATTGAGTGAAGATTGCTCAAGACTAATATAAAGTCGCGATGAATTCTTCAAATTTCCTTAATTTTTGTTCCTTAAAAGCCAAATCTAAATTGCTCAAGATTATGACTTTTCAAAACTTCCCCATAACAGTTTGCACCATAGACCTATCATAAAACGATTGCAACATTACAATGGAAATCTAGCAAATTGATGATCTGAAATATGAGGCTAAGTTGAAATTTTAACACTGGACAAACACGATGAAGTCTATCACTTAAATATCCTAAACTACCCGCTCTCGCCATTTCAAAACTTGTTCTGACCGACTTCTCTCCATAAAAGTTATGTTAATTAAGTAATGAATTACAGAGATGTAAGAGTTAAAAAAAGACTAATCTATTTGAACATTTTCATCAGAACGTAAAGTATGCCAGCAAAAGCGAAAAGAACGCGATAAAAGGTTTGAAGGCCACTGAAAAAAATTCTGGTCGATTGAAAAAAAAAAAAATGTTGCTGAAACAAAATTCTGAATGCCAAACGTCAAAATGCATTTTTGCCAAACATACATGACATAGCGATAGTCTCTGACCGCGGAATTAAAGGTTTAGTGCTGCAGCTGATATAAGTTGTTTACTCTGCGAGGAAAACAAATGAGGAAGAAAAAGGTTGCCAGAGGCATGTTCTAGAGTTGTTTTGATCGAGACCCGATCAGCACCTGTCCCAGGTTAAGCACATGGAAAAACTGTATGTGACCATGGAGTATAATCCTGGATTGATGTTTCTTGAGCTTTGAACAACTCAGATAAACTAAAGAACTACAAATCACCATATACAGCCACTAAACGTCCCTTAAACATAGTTAGCGTGGAATATGGTCTGACGCCCCGTACGATTTAGCAAAACAGAAAAAAACTTACCATGTGATTCTGATAAGCTGTGACGGCCATGAACTGTGTCTCAGGGAAGATGAACGTTCGTAGATGGTCCTTGTTGGTTTCATGGAGACTCGCCCTGGAATTTCCTTTCTCCGATTCGTCAAGAATCACGTGAAATCTTGGCTGGTACTTGTGCATTGAGTTAAGGATGATCTGCGAGATGAACCGTACATAACAGACTGGTCAGAATTCTACTTGAAAGCAGGGGCTCTTGGCACCGGACGCGGAACCACACATTTCCTGCGTTAAGCGCGGGCAAGCGTGCAGCTTGTGGCAAGTGCACGGTTTCTTTCCCTTCAAATGCGAGAAAACGGACCCCAGGAACGAGATTGAATAGAAGACAACGCCCAAGAACATGCAACCTGATAAAGAAAGCCTGGCAAAACACACGGCAAGTGTCAAGCTGCTTGGGAAGTATCGAACAAGATATAATAATGGGAAACTGATTTGCACGAGCAACTGAATTTCACTCAGTTATTGTTAATTTTTTAACTTAGTTTTTGAGGTAATTGGCCAAGGAGTTAAAACGTCCGAGTTCAAGTAAGGCAAAACAGAACCGAAACTGGGCTCCAAAAGCATAGTTTTGAAATTTGAAAGCGTTATTACGATCAATAAAGTAATTAAAACTACCTTTGGTTAAGACAGGCACTCAATTCTGTAAATTTATCGAGAAGAGGAAACCTTAACCCTTTCTCTCCCAATAGTGATTAATAACGAATTTCTCCTCACAAGATCAACGAAATATCAACCAAAAAGGTGACGAGAAGAAGAAGAGAAAGAAAACATCAACAGAAGGATGTTGTTTGATTTAGCATCAAATTCTCATAACTTAAATTATATGGAATATAAGTAAAAAAGTGTGGAGAATTAATGTTGGGATCTTGGGAGCGAAAAGCGAAAAGAGGGTGGTCGCCGTGATGTTCCTCGGTCGTTTCCTAGAGCCGGAGGCCGAGGGAGTATCACCCAGGGAGGTTCTTTCTGGTAGTTTCAAAAGCGTTCTAATTTCCGTTTCTATTCTGGGAACTTTAACCGCTCACTCTAAATCCCCCATAAGGAGTCAGTTTAATTCTAGAGAATTTTTCGGAAAAACAAATTGGATTATCCCTGATAAACAAATTAAAAAAATGTGTTTACGGGTAGCTGAACGTTTGGTATCCATTTTACCAGTACATCGCCAACGATTGAAATGTTCGAACTCTGCTAAAACTTTTTTGAACGTTTTTATCGTCATGTCCAAAAGGACCCCAAAAGATGTACACAAACAGTACGTGTACCATGTTTTGATTAAAATCTCCTCCCCTTGGAGAAGTTGGCAATGACAAAACCAGATCCTTAGCATGTCATTTGTCTGCAGCCCAAGATTTCCAAGTCGAGTCGGTATGATTAAAATCGCAAGCGTCTTATTTTTTTTTTTAAATAGGGCAAATTTTGTGAAGAAAATTGGAAAGGGAAAGATTAACATCGAATCGGGCCACTTAAGCCAAATTTGTATGGAACATATTTAAGCAATATCCGGTATGTACACCCTTCACTTGAAATAGGAATGTTTTGACACCGCACCTCCCGCCTTCCGCAAAAACAGCCAAATAAGGTGAAAAAGCCAATATTATGATCATTTGCCAATGTGATTTTAAAACATTGCATTTTGATTATTGAGTTCTACTTGGGAGACATAATCCTGGATTACTGCACTTGATTGTAAGGAAGACGGAACTAGGGGCAGTGAAAGTGCGAATCACATGTCCACACGCACCGTAAAAGCGGTTTAAGCTTTGAAAAATAAGATCTTTCGACAGCCAAATCATCCCAAATTTTCGCTAAAAAAACTCATTCATCGCTCTGTAAGTGAGATGATAGATAATGGTCTAGGCAAGGACTTTGCACGGTTAACCCACTTAACTGATGAAAACTACTTTTGCTAATCATGAAGACAGGTGTTAGCCGCGTGCACGAAGTTTTAAAGGCTGCAAAATGAAATTTGTCGGCTGCATTTGCAGTTTTCACCCCCTCTTGTGCTTGCTTCAACAAAAATTCGCCGTCATAATGAAATGTCAGAGAGCAGTTAAAATCACGAGATAAAGTCTGTTGGCACTCAGAGCAGCTCTACAAGATTACAAAATTGAATTAAACATAACGATTAATGTAGTTAACCTAATGCGTACAAAAAATAAAGCGTTTCCTGAAATCTTAGACGCAAAAACGTTTAGGATCAGGTGGAAAATATTCCTGGCCGCCTTCAAGGTGGCTTTAGATGACGAAAATCCTGCGTCGCCTGTTAAATCAATCTGTTTTCTTTATCACTGATTGCCTTAAAATATCATCAGAAAACTAGATTTGCGTCATACACAGTCAGCTTGTGTCGTCAGACTCTGCTGACAGGGATGAAGCTAATTTCAGCTACGGCGTGTACATGAATTTCATCACGCACTGTCCATTTTTGATATCGATTTCGTACCACAACCATTTTTGATGACTGACAAGGTCAAGTGACACAGTTATGCAAAAGCTGCGTTTATGAAAAAATAGTCAAATTTTTTCGAGAGCAATATGGTAGAATAAATAGGCGCAAGTTCCTTTATTACGGGCTGGTGCAAATTTCTCTTCATCATTCACTCTGAATTGTATGAGGAATCATTTGATTGCTCGCAATAATGCGTGTTTGATTTCAACTTTCTGCATAAAATTTCGACTCTGAAGTTTTTATGACAGTGACGCACTCTCAACCTTTGAGCATGCCGAAATTTTTGCTTGAAGAGATTGTCCTTACCAATCAGAAACCGAAATCTAGCGACAACAACTTGCGCCTTTGTGCATTTTCAGACTCTTTGGGCAAAGAACTTGTACAAAGATATCTTCAGCGAAACAGGAAAGCGGGTTCAAAACCAGTTAAGGAACTTCTAAACATAAATGCAGTTTAAATATTCTCAATAAAGGTGATCATTTAGAGTTGATCGATGAGCTCAACTCTACAGATATAGACAGTGTCTTAGGACTTACATGCCCGTTGTCATCCATAAGGTTGTTGGTGAGTTTAAGTTTGTCAAAAGACACGATCTGTTTCATCCATTGCTGTCCAGTACAGGGTGAGTCAGGGTGAATGTGTACTCTCCCGGGTACACTGGCGTCTGCTTTGCCTGCCACCAGCCACTTGGAACTGTGAAAAGCGTACCGATAACGTTTATCGTCGACTGGTATGAAGTCCATCATTAGGATGTACTTAGCCGACGGGTCCAGACCTTGAAGGCGCACTTGAAATGTTGGAAACATACGTCTGAAAAAGACCAGAGGTATTGCAAAATTGCAGCAAGAACTTTCACTTAGTTTTAACCTTTACACTCTCAAAATATGATCGATAACTCTTCCTTTTAACAGCTATTCATTACCTCTTTGATTAGTAACGAGAATTTGGCGATATGAGTGTTATGTAATGAATATACTAAAGAGGTAACTTGACAACTACTCGTGGAAGCCTCAAGTTTAAGGTAGCTATGCAAAAATCGTTGGAGTCGATTTCGCAACATGGGGAAGGATTTAAGTTTGATAGAAACCATGACAGTAGTTTTGTCTTATGGACAAAAACCGACGACGATCAGGGGAAAAAAACCTTAATTCAATCGTAATGAGCAAGACACTGGTGTGAGATTTATATTCTGTACATGAGGAACATGAGCGAGTTTAATCAAGTATAGAGAGGAACCCGAAATTCGCTTTGGTTTCGCTTTACTTCACTACTGAATTGTTAAGAAAATAAGCAAACTGAAACCATCACGACTCAATCACTCGCGCCAGTTTAACGCGGTTCAAACAGTTTGTTTGTTTTTCCTGGGATTCTCGCAGGCTCCTTCTAGAATTTTCCTTTTCTTTTTTTGATTGGCTAATGAAATCACTTTAGTTTCGTTCAAGGACACATAGTCAAAACGCGCTCGAATGGTTTTTGATTTCCTGGGTAAAGATATGAGCCGCAATAAGTGAATTCATGAGAGATCGAGGGAAAGCTCTATTGATGGATGTCTCTCTCAGCATCTTTTCCGTGTCTTTTATAGTCAGTTGGACCCTTTTTTTGAGCAGAAGAATTAAAAGTGACTGATAACTACGGATTTTACTCTTGCTTATATATTAGCCCTCTCATAAGCGAGAAACGACTACTTAATATTCAATTGTACACGTTATACTCTTGGCTACAATGGCAAAGGTTTGAAGAGGGAAACTTTTAATTAAATTTTAGAATTAAAAAAATTCATAGATTGTAATTTACAGAATGCCACCATTGTCCAATTATGATAATTGGATTTTATGATTCACTTATCCTCCAGGACAGATTAAGTCTCAATTCTGCCATGACAGTTTTTTTCAGGAGGAAGACCTTCCCTGACCTTCAATGATTATTCGATTGTCATTTTCAATCAAATTCATCAAGAGCGAAGAAATGAAAAGCAGAAGGTAAAAATCTTTGGCTGACTCACACGTGTTACTGATGGATTTTCCAGACAATGCAGTAATGTTAAATGCTATACAATTCATGAGGAAGGTTTTAACATTAAAATGAAAAAAAACCACCATCTTCAGTTCTACACGTGAGGTTTTCCGGAACTTATTATTCCAATCGCACCAGTAGTGTAAACGACTTCAGAGGAAATGTTGTCTGTTGCAAAGAATGAAAATTCTTTTTAATAAGGTTCGATGAGTGTATTACTGATACAAAAAAGAAAACCACTAGTTTGCATTCTCTGGCTTTATATTTCAAAGTTTTGAGAGATAACTTTTCAAAGGTAACTTAATTATCCCTGACGTCACACCCTTCAAATGATACAGAAACTTGACCGGTGGAACTAGAAATATGTATTAACACGTAGGATATTAGGGATTCTTTCTCAAATCACTTCGATGGTTGTTTTCAGTCAAAATCACTCTGGTTTCCTTCTGCATAAACTCTCTCGCTGCTACGAATCCTTACCAGTTTTTGACCAAATATAGTACAGCATATTGAATTTGATCTGCAAATACCAGAGGTCAGATGTACTTCGAACAATCCTGTAAAAATGGCTAATTTAATTCAGCAAAAACACACAAGCCTTCGTCTTATAGGAAGCATCGTAAAATTGTCTCTTGTCCGGACATGAATCGTGAATCGTGAAATCTTAAAAGGAGAGAACACAACTCTCTTGGACTTATCACCACTTCGAGTTTTACTAAGTCTTGCTTCATGGATACTTGTATATAAAGAATGTGAAAACTCCCTGAGACGTATGTTTCCGATTGATAATCCATATCCTATTTTCACCTACGTTTTTATTGCCAGTGTTTTTATTGCTGTATTGTTTTCGGTTAATTTACCAGTGACATCCATCAACGAGCAACTTATGGTCTATTCCGTCCGGTGTTTCAATTCGTGTAATTACAATAAGGTTTCTTTTCAACATAATAAATCTTTCACGGCTGTTTTGCACCATCGCTTGTTAAAGAAATAACGCGACAATGGACAACCTACTCGTGTCTTATTAACGAAACCTCATTTCTGATGAAAGATGGCCGAGGATCGAGCAGTGTAAACCGGGACTTCAAAAGCATTGTCTATCTTTCCAGTCCAATTAAAAGGAGGTTTTAAGCGCACGCTTCTTAAATTGACTTTTAGACTCTCATTTCATTCAGTGTTCATGTCTGAGATGTAACTATAGATCTTGGGTCGGTCTCGCTTGAAACCTAAAGAGAATCGATTCTCCCCTTGAAATCACGGAAACCATTATTTGAAATCTGATACGAAAAAACCACTGCATCTCTAAAGAATCTTGAGATAACAAAACGAGAACTCGTTTACTTCACCCTGGATTAAACCTTGATAAGTCTAAAATTGAAGTGGAACCAGAGGGCCTAAATAACCCCCAAAACGGATAATGTAAATAAATTCGTGATTGGTTACCTTCCCGCCTTCGTCACTATCATCTCTGTGCCGAGCCCGTGAAACTCTTCCCATAAACTCTTCATTTCCAAGTCTACTCGAGCGTTGATCAGTCCGCTGCATAATGGCCTAGATGCCACAGCTTGAGAGCAGGAAGATTGAGGTGGCGGGGAGTTTGATACTGGGGAGTGTCCCGCATCGCTTTCTTCGTCAGAGTCCTCTGGCATCATATGTTGGTTGACTCTTCTCGCTGGTGCTCTCTTACCCGTTCCTACGTTCATCAGGCGCTCTGCAAAACAAATTATAAGCTCAGACACTCATCAACTCCCAGGAAAACCGCAGGGAAGGTAGTGCCAAAATCTATCCGGACTCGAATTTGATTGATAGCGCGCGCGCGCATTATGGTTGTACCTTCCATATCTTTCAGTAGAACTTGCGAGTTCCAGTTGTAGTTAGGATTCTGGCCGCGCAAAAACGCAAGGTCTGCGAGCTGTGCTCGGTCGATCAGGTGTGCAATGGAGAAAGCGTTCGCCTTAGGAGACAGAAATCCCGAACTGTCCATAACATGAAGCTAATACCTGATAAAAGGTCGAGTTGGCTGCTTATAACTGATGGCTGATTCACGTCGTCTGGTGATTCGGTCTGTACTGATGTCGTTGTGCCTGGATGACCCAATCATGCGTGTTGTTAAAAATCCTTGTCAAGCGGCTGGAAGATATCCCTTGACCATTAATTAGTTAATTGACAGCATATTGTCAGTGGTGGCGGATAGAATTTTTCAGGCTCTGGATTGACGATTCGAACACAGCCAGTCGACCCTCCGAGTATGCACGCCGCACCGAACCGTACACTTATCTCAGAATAGTGCTTCAGTTACATATCAATGGATCTTAGGTTGTTGTTCGAAGACATTTGGTTTGGATTTTGGAGTGGATTGATGAACGAAAAGTTGTTAATGTATTTTCTTTATTAAAAGTCACTCTTATATTGCCTGAGGTCACAACCTCATCATGGTTGGCTCACTAGGTGCAGATGCTGTCTTAATCAGCCGCGTTCTGTCAGTCAACTTGTTCTAAACCAGGTGTAAATGAGTCCCTGTAGATGAAATCCGTTTTCCACAACGACATTATCACACTTAACTCGACAAAATACGCGGTAATCCGTTAGTTTTCAAGTATGCATTTGTTTTACTGTTGTTGTTTTTCTGTTGTTCAAAAAAACCCGTGTACCCAACATTGGATGAAACATTTATGGAACGTCAAGGCAATGTCTGTTGTTTCCTCCCAGGAACACGAAACAGAAATTTTTCCAAATGTTTTTCAGTTTGAAGAAATACAAAAGGTAATTCGCATGAAAATTTGCTCGACTCAAATAACACGTCTTCGCAAAGAAAACAAACGATTTTCAAGACGGAAAACGAGGAAGCCAAATGTTATACAATAAATTAATACATCGATGTATATTTAGAACAAAAAAACGATCATCGTTCATCGCAGCCCGGGAGTCGTTTTGACCCCTAGCAAGGAACATTGGCGCTTTAAGCACGACATTATATAAATCTGTCAGCAGAAATATCAGTGAAATCTCAACAACGTTATACTTACAATGATAAGAGGTATGATCGAGATGGACCGAGGAATTAACTTGTTTAATCTGAGCATCGGCTATCGCTTTCTATTACACTTATGTGTATTTAAGCTACCAAACACATACGTGCGCGCGGGGCAGACGCGCGTGTGAAATGTTGCCTGTCCCAATTTTAGGCTAAAAGTTCGCTGTCGATGTGATTAAATAAATTTTGGAAAGATTAGCCATTATCAAAGGAGGAACGCTAGAGAAACGGCAATAAACATTTTTCTCAGGTTTCTATTGTAAACGGATGGGCCGATGTTGAACCTTTTGCCAAGTGGATTACAAGTGATTTATGATTTTTTAAAGACAGTGTTGTAACCTTCATTTGAGACCGGAGCACCGGAGAAATTTAATATTTTCAACATATCATCAGAATAGTTTAAAAGAAAAAGCATTTTACCTATTTCTTACAGAGATATTGTTGATAAGACTCTCAGACATGGAACGACCTTTTAGATAGATCAATTTGCAGTCGTAGACTGTCTGGCATGCCCTCATGACATAAACAAGGTTGTAAGGGTGAATGTTATTTCTCCCTCTGTATTAGCTGCCCAGAATGAGAGAACTTCGTGTAAACCAATCTCTAGTATGTTTTGATCAGTTGCACCTGCGACGCTTGTTGCCTCATAAGAGTCTATAGAGACTTTTACCCAGATTTAAATTATCATTACTTCTAATGGTCAGGATAACATCGGTGAACTGAACTGGAATGGTCGATGCCTATCTCAAAGAAATATGTTTTCTTTCACCTCCAACCGATTGTGGAAAACTGCGATGAAATTTCTTGTCTGAGATGTCGAACAATTCTTACTGATATTGACAATATCAAAAAGGACTGGAACCTGTACCTGACTTCTCAATCTGTCATGGGCGTGGTGATTTTTACGCAACAAGACCTGTTCTATGCGGGAAAAATAATCTAAAGTACTTTTTTCTCCAAGAAACTTAGGTAATTTGCAGTGAACTAGCTGGAAAGTTGACGGTACACTTTCAACTTAAGATTCTGATTTGACTCAGAGATTTGAAACTTAAAAAAAGTGCTAATAGTAAGCAAGACTTTATAAGAAATGTTTGACGAGTCAGTCGACGGTGTCATTACAGGGTCACTAAGGATTATGGGGGCGAAAAAAAAAATCCCTACGTTAGGCCAGCCAATTAAAATACATTGCATAGTGAGTATCAGGTAGGAGTAATAATAAAGAGACTCGGAAGCCTTGCCCTGCTGCTTGGGCTACAGTTTTACTTCTCAGAGGAAGACGTCTCACCCCTTGTTAGCCCCCCGCATTACGGCCACCATGTTCTTTCTTACTTGATTACACCAACCTCAAATGTAACACAATGAAGTGTGCTCTTGTTTTATGGCCTAACATTAAACTCTTCGAAGCTGATCGGGTGTCCCTAATCTGTAGCAAAACTTCACACGTGCAAAACTTGCTTTTCAACACCGCCCCCGTGCTCTTCTCTCAATATGATTAAATGAATACTTTTTATTTCTATTGGCCACCAAGATTGCTTCTTCAAATAACACGGGTTTTATTTTAAACGCACGCGGAATTAACATAGGAAGTGCGTCGCAAGCAAATAAGAGAGGTTTTTTTGTAGCCTAAGGGCTAAAGGTATTTCACCACAAGGACCAACACAAGCAACCGATGTTTTTCTTAGCTGGAGAAGGTCATGAGTTCTGGCACGTCATGCAGATTAATGCTCATTTGATTGACTAAACTTAAACATATCAGTTGCCATGAAAAATTTGAAAAAACGTAAAAACAGTCTGTTACTAAAAAAAAACGACGCATCAGTGTCCTTTAAGCGCTTCTGTTTTTTTATTGTTTGCGGTATGCCCACCAGCACAGAAGGATTCATCTGAATTATTTTAATTTTTTTTCTTCAGATACCTCTGCCTTGTCGATAGACAACCTCTTCCACACTTTATCCCTAAGGCATTTTCTCCGTCTAAAGACTACAGTTCGCAGTTGATGAAAACAGCACGACAACGAATAACATTCGATGTTGCAGATGATCTCCCCTTTTGAAATGAATTTACCTTGAGGCATCTCTCAATGTGAGGTGGTACATCAAACATCTATTCATTCTAAATTGAGGGATCGTCGACTTTGTCCTTGAGCCGTTCGTATGCGTATACGCCTCAGGACATCAGAACTCCGTTTATTAAAATAATTGCAATAAAATTCTAAACCCAGATCGATAATTTCAATAAGTGATTGACAACAGGTGACAATCGGCCTTACAGAGAGAGAGAGAGGAAGCCTATTGGAGGCATGCCAGAGTCGATATAAGGTGTATGTTAACCCTTCTGTATGTAGCAGGGCTTACTTGAATCTATACCACGGATTGAGCTGATTTACTCAAACCATATCACAGAGCACTTCTCAGCTGAGAGTCCAAAGTCATCTGGGAATTCATCAGTTTTTATTCATATTGTTCCGTAATTAGCTCAAAGAATTCGCGCTACCTTCTTGACCAATCAGATGCAACACTAATGTCAATTGCGACTTAATAACTCACGTTTTCGCGCGCTTCAGGCAGTTTGCTTGTTTTCCTTTGAAAACGCATTGACTCCTTGTGATACTAATCTTCGTTATGATTGACTGTTGTGATGACTTTGGTCAGTTTTGGTTCCACCTGACACTCAATCGAAATGCGTTCCATTACACTGGTATGCAATGCTTGCGTTACTCAATCTATGGCAACCTACTTCTTATAACGATATAGCACCTCATACTGCACTTTAAATCGGCTACATTCTCAGATTGAATTCAATTAAATTACATGATTTCACTCTAGGCGGCTGATATTTCCTTCACAATTTCCATACACTCACATCATTTTTTTTGGAATTATTTCAATTCATTTTCTGTTGATATAGCATCATGGCTAGGAAGCCCGTCATTTTGTTATCTCAAGAGTCAACTTTGAAAGTTGAGAAATTTTCTAAATGAGGATTGCTATTACATAAAAAAACGATGGAATTGGATTGTGTGCGACATTTTTCATGGTTTTTCCATCTCACTAAAATCGTCTGGCCAAAAAAAAAAATATTAAAAAAAACAATTATTGTCTCAAAAAAAACGGGTTGGTTGATTGATCATTACAGTATTAGGAAGATTTACAGCATTACAAATAATGTATTTGATTGAAAACAACAAATTGAAAACGTCTTGAAGGAAAAAAATTCCGGAGAGCTCTGTCTGGCCTATTTTTGACGAGTTGCGGCTAGGACTTCAGAGGATAGTTGCTAGACATTACTATTCGACACTTTCTAAAGAAAGAAAAAACGTAAAAAAATGGCTGTTTTGGCAATATGACAGCTAGCATATTACTTGCTCTTAAAAAATCTATTCTTGTTCCTGAGTAGAAAACTATGGTATCTCATTTCTTCAATTTTACAAATTCTGACCAGACAAAATCTAAATTAGATTCCTTAGATTTTTTGTGGCGGTCAAGCGCAAAGCCGCAAACGACCTCGGGTTCTTTGATGTGAAGAGGTATGGGACTTTTCGAACCTATGCAAAACATTTCAGATCGACGGCAATCAATACAAGAGTAATAATTTAGATATGATACGAGTTGCGAGAGGGAAAACTCAAAATTGTCTGACTCACAAATTATGGAATATTCCGATCTCCCTCGTCGTTCCACTCCAATGATTCCAAGTGGTAGAAAAAGCGAAACCACTGAAATAGGTATTGTGTTGTAATTTAATTTCATGTTTTTCTAGAATATAAGGCTGACAAAAGCCAGTGTACGTGTGTTTGACTCAGTCGGCTTTGCGACCGCAAAATCTTGGCATATCCGGTTGTTAATCCAAGTTTTCCATAATTCCCGAATGATAGTTGGAAACTCTCTAGGAGTACGGTCGAAAAACCTGAGCCAGCACGTATCGAATTAATTGAAAAGAAGAGGAAGGATAACCAAGGGACGGGCTTTCCTCTCCCTTCAGTCTGCTTTATGATTCCCTCGATCTTATTATACTTCCTGGATTATTCTTTTAAGACCCCGCGAAAAATTTCCTCGCCTCCGATAGGAGGCTTCGTATCACAGTTGGTAGTGGGGCTCAACAAGGATCTCGGAAACACGGGTTCAAACTGCGTCAGATCTTTTTTCGCAATTTCTTTAATGGCAGATAATTGTTACAACCAGTTTTTAATTCTCATCGTGGTTTAAATATGATTTGTTTCATTAATTTGAGAGAATCTTTTTTTCTCAGAGCAACAAGCAATACTGGAGTTGAATGACTCTTGTACAAACTAATTATGCGGACTTAGAAATTTCTCCAATGGCGAGATTTATAAAAGGGAAGTCAGTCATAATTTTATGTTGAGCCATCCGGGATTCTCTACCATTTCAAATCACAGTAAGTACCTCTCCACACTTCCTCTATTCTCTCACGAGGGACCCAGATATTTTTCCAACGTCCCATCTTTCTTGACTCCATTGGTTTTACACCGGACAGATACCTGAAGTATGGTCTCGTACACGATCCTGAGCAAGGACATCGAGACTCAGTCAAATGTATTATTTTTCTGCTACGACTTAAACACTTTTTTACCCGGCTAAGAACGGGAGAATTGATTGAGTCGATGAATGATTTTTGAGTCAAGGGTCACCTGGTGTGTTCAAAAGTACTGGAGGGTCAACAATGCCCTTGAATGCTGAATGACGACCTTGAATCTAATGCGTTTTTAAAGATATAGTTCAAGTCATATTCCATGCGTGATAATAATTCCGATTTATCGAGAAGACACGCACCAACACCACAAGAGGTCTGGGAAGGCGCGTGGCTGGCGAGAATGATTATGTCACCTCCTCGGTCAGTCATACTAAATATCCAGATAAAAGGGAAGGTTAAAAAAGGAAAAAAATCAATCACAGATGTCGCAACTCGACCCACTCTTAATTATGCTCACAAAAAAAGAACTTTTTCAAGTCATTTTTCATTTGACAGCCGTTAGCTGCGGTTTGTTCGCAATTCGGCGTTTCACTGCGCGGCCTTTTTGACCTTCAGATAAAAAAATATTCGGCAAGTTAAAACCAAAATACATCATGGCATGTCGCTGCCGGGAATGACAATAACAAAAATAGAAACGCTTAAGGGTCCCATTCAGTAACTCTTGTGTAGGTTTATCATTATTCTTGGGCACCTTCCAATTTCTCTCTCGTCGGCAAACAATTGCAGAGGTCGAAGTTCCCCATATTACTAGTTAGTGGTAAGGTCAACCATTTTTTATTCATTAAAATTGTTGGGGCCTTCAATGGAAGTAATGAAATTAGAAAACACCACTGAATATTTTTTCTTTTAAGATAACATGAAATCCTCGGGGAAGTTGAGTGTGCGACTCTTTGGCTAATGACTGCACCTTTGGGGGAAGGACATAGATTTAATCGGGAGGGGCGAACTAAATAATCCTCGAAACACTTTTCATAATCTTGAATGATTATCCCACGTTAAATACGCTTTAATTTTTTGGGAAAAGTTTAAATATAACATCATTTTTAAACACCTATTTCCTCCCTCGCTAAGGGCGGATTTCTGAATAGTTTTGGCGGTAAGCAGAAATACGCCCCCGTGTTCTCACAAATGCTTTGATCTCGCGCACACAGAAAATTGAGAAAACAATAACACTTGTTTCCGACAGTGTCCCAACTATTATTTTTACAGAAACAGTTTCTTTCGAAATAAAAATAGAGATACTTTCCCGTTTGGGCTTTGAAGTAACTTGCCCCGTAACTATCACGTTTTAACATCTAAAGAAAATAGTAAAAAAATCGTGAACGTGTGTTCTTTGTCGAAATTCAAGACGGTCAAATGACATGTCTGAGGTCGTTCAAAATAGCATTTGTGTTTGCTCCGAATATCAAGTTTTCAACATGAGTGCTTACTATTTTTTTCCATCGCTGTAACAGGCTAACCTTATGCTTTGTAAAAATAATGTACGATCATACTGAATCCAAATGAATGAACACCTTTCGTTGAAACAATGAATAATCGAAGCTGAGTAGACATAAAAAGGTGGGATTATTCGCAAAATCGATTCTTTTCTTGACATCTGGTTTTTGCCAGAGAATTAAGTGAATGTGATGGAATTTCAGTAACTTAGGCATTAGACACGGAGGGTAACCACCTTCATTTTTTGTCTTTTATTTCGTTTGAATATCGCTCGTACTTCCTGATCTTGCGCGAACGCAAAGCCGCTCTCTTGAATTCATTTACAGTTCGTCCTGATAATATGGCCGATGAAAGATGCTTTTCGAAATCCTGTAATTCACCGCCCGATGAAGCCAAACCAAGCAACAACAATCACTCACCCCAATTGATTGACACCTCGTTAATAAAAGGAGCGAAAATGATAACAAAGAATTATGGCGTAATTGTTTTACCAGTACGCTTGTTGTCATTTCAGTTTGTTTAACAATGTCAATTAAGGACACATCTAGCACCCTGCAATTTGGTTGTTTGCGCAGAAACACTCCCCTCAAGAACGCTGCGCCCAGCTGAGGGGAGTCGCTTATCATGAGTTATTCTCGTGAAAATCTCCTTTCCTATCTCGCCATCTATGGCTAATGACCTTCTCTCGAGCGTTAGTTAGGTCATACTACCCGATGATGTGAAATTTTAACAGCCGCGATGCCACCTAAAGAACAGATTGCGTTTTATGGCTCTTAAGTCTCACGTGCAAAAACAACAGCATTGCCCACGGATCAAATGATGGCAATTTACACAGCGTGATTATGCGGTCGCCCTGTTGCGTTCTTAACAGGATAAAGGACATGAGATCATCCTTGACCCGCTCGGAGATTCTTGATTTCATTTATTCGTCGCATCCGAAAATAGCGCTTTAGTGGCCAAATCGCGCAATAAACAAACCCAAATTTTCACGTCTTCGTAATTCCACTGCAATCTTCTTCAGACTATCCACTCGACTGTTTGTCCGCGTGGTTGACAGTTATTGTTTTCGTAATGACTATGATGAATGACAGCAGGACATAATTCGAGAGCAAAACCCAAGATACTGGAAATTCCGCCTTTAGACAAGCGCACAGGCTCGGCTCATCACACGGTTTGCGTATCTTTCGCGTCTAAATTCGCGTGGTAAACACCGTTAGACGCGTAGCCTTTGGACTGCATATTATAAACCGGTCAACAGCCGGTTTATCATTAGATGGACCTCTCCGGGTTGCTGTCTCCTAAGGCGAACGCGTTCTCAATTGCACATTTGATAGACGCTTCACAGTTCCCTGAGTTTATGAACATCAACAACCGACAGACACAATCTCCAATTATGTTCAACTGGGGATCCTTCAAGCTTACGAAAGATATGGAAGGTGAGAGAGAAGATATTTCAGCACCTCATAGGTGACTGATATTACTTACACCTTGGTTTTTTCGCTTCATTGTTTTAGAGAGGCTACGTAATGCAGGAACGGGGAAAAAGGTAGCTTTTCGGCAGAACTCCACAACGATTAACAGCGACGCGACAAGAACGGCGTCCGATTTTCGAAGAGTCGACGAACGATGTTCTTCCTCGTCTACCCCTCCAAGCAGTCCGCTGTCTTGTTCTTTAGCAAACGTGAAAGTAGAAATAGAGATGAAGAATTTATGGGACGATTTCTACGCTTTGGGCACAGAGATGATTGTCACAAAAGCTGGAAGGTTAGAGATTAAGTTCTTCCGATTTTAATACCTAATAAATGGTCTTGGTGAGCAAAATGTGGCGAGCCTTACAAATGAAATGAGACCCTTTCGAATAGTAGGGAACATGCGCTCTAATGGAAACGTTAAACAACGAAACATATGTTGGAGAATCTCCACGCTAAATGCTGACAATGATTGGAGGTTAAAAAAGGCCGATCATAAATTATTCGCAAATTGTGCGAAAATTGTCAGGCGTTATCTCGGTGGACGATATCGTAAGAGGAAATCACTCATTACTGGCGTGTATGCTAGTAAAGCCAAAAAATAACATTGCCATGAATCCGTTTACTTTCAGTGAATGAGTCTGTTTATGCCATTAGCCGGGGAAAATGTTTTTGATTTCCTAATCAGGGTTATCACAACAACGATCCATTATGATTCATTCTTTTGTGTTGCCATGTTTTGTTTTCTCTATGAACAAACGCGATTTGTAGGCCACGAACGCGTGTGGCCAGCATTTGAAACAGCAAGCACATTATCTGCCAACATTTTTCCCAACAAAATTCGAAATGAAGAGAAAACTCTATTATCTCGAGAGGGACAGGAAGTAACATGAATGCTAAGCTAATTAAAGGTCGTAAGATTACACGAATAACAGAAGAACAGAAGTTTGAGCTGATAGAGTGGAAAAGTGCTACGCACTATTTCAATGAGGTCCTTGTTAGTTTAGCTTCAATTTGCTTTAAATGCCAACGGTATTATCTGTTACATTTGGGTCTTGCAAAGTAAATCTTGTGTAGACAATTGTCATGGATCGGTTGTAGACTTTTTAGATTAGCCTCAGGGCTAATTGTTACTAGAATTTATCGTCGAGACCTGCTTGACAATTATTTCTCATTCTCCACAAATCAGAAGTTTCGAAAACTTTCACACTCCCGTCAAAACTCTAACAAATTTTCGTGTTAATATAGTCTCGCCTTGTTTGGAAATTCTGTTCTCTTTTTCTGTCCTTTCTGCGGTTTTCAAACGGAAAGACCCCCAATTTCGGCGTTTTATTGTCGAAGAATTAAAGTGGTTAATTGCCTTCTAAGGATATTTATCCCGTTCTCTTGGCAAACTTTCAGTCACTCAAATAAACATAAACCTTTTTTTTAAAAAGTTGTCTCTTAAGCTATAATGACTGTTTGTTTGTACAAAAATTATTTGCTCAAAATTTTTGGAAAAGCAAAGGCGACCAAAGTTTACTTAAGTTATTGTCGAGAAAGAAAGTCAAATACTTTCGGTTACTCACAAGAAAGTAATCTAATAATGGCCTTGAATTCGACTCACACAGGGGTTGCCTCTACTCTCCTTTTAGATTTCCATTCTTTGATTAAAAAGGGTGAAAACATCATAAGAATTCAATTTAACTGGCCGTCTAAGGCCTTCAGTTGCCGGAAAAACAAACGCCTTGTTTGATAATATCACGTTTCAACAAAAATTACAAGCCCTCAGCTCAAGACCGAGTGCCTAAGAATTCCTTCTGAGGTCCTTCCCTTCTCATTAAGGTCATTATGAACTACTGCGTGTTCAAGGCACAATTCTCTCGGCCATAAATAAGGCCTGTGAAAGAGCTCGTACAAATACAGGACCAAATGGGGGCGAGTTTGGACGTAGGGACCCTTCCTAAGACGGGTTTTTTTTGGAAGAGGAATCGGTGTTACATTGTTTCATCTTTTTTTTCTTTTGCAATGAAGTTCACTTTGCATAAAGCTGTTGATGGATTGACCTTTAGCTTAGTTGGGAATTCTACAGAAATGCGGGAGAAATCAGCATCGAAGAAAGTTAACCTTTTGAATTGAAGTGATTAGCGTGTAACTTCTCAAAATAAACTCAATATGTTATCCAGGAAAAATGTGATGAAAATTGACAGAGATTTTTTTTTTTCTCGTTGTCTGCTTTCTCGTTCTTAATGAAACATAGCACACACTAAAACCAATCTCGATCGTTAAAGATTGACTTTGACAAGGGCGTCATCTTGTCATAGATTAACTACTGTACCCTCGCTCGTCAGTTGCCCTGAACAGCACTTTGTTTTCTTTGGAGCAAGTGAGTCAGCATTTTCAACTATGATTACCCTGAGAGTTGTTTTCCGGTGGAGTATGCCTGAAAATAGATGGCAGTTGACCATGATTAATTAATGTTCTCGTCAGTGTCTCGGTCTTTGTATTTCAAAGAGGAAATCCACTGATTTTGCTCAAACGTTAAAGTAATCTTAAGCCAAATCAAGTCCTGAGATGTGACCTATTTCATTTGGTGATTCGAGATATTTGATTTGCTGACTAACATTGCTCATGCAGTTTTCCTAGTTTGGATTGAAGATGGATTCTTTGAGTTAGAAGTGAAGAGGCGATAATATTCAAGATCTGTTTTTAGATCCATCTTTCTGAAGGCGAACATGACGCCACTTTTGCAAATTTGGTAAAAATATTTATGTTTGTTTGTTTGTCTGTAGGGGTCAAGAAAAACCAGACAGCTACATTACTTTGTCATTACTGAGGAAATTTAGTGAAAAATTTTAGACAATTCTTTAACGTTCGTCTGTCACGTATTGTCTTTGGGGAAGTTATATCTTCCGTTATGGCTTATATCTTATTTTGCTGTGTAAAGTTGCCGCAGAATTTTCACAGGTCAAAACACGACTGTAATATTCTGTAAGAGAACTTCTGAGAAGAACTTAGAAGTAGCAGCTACCCAAATGTAGTGTTCGAAAAGTTGGTGCTCGATTCACGAAAAAGAGGACACCTCGCACCCACTTGGCAACTCCTTCGGACAAAATTACCGGCTAAGACTACTTAGGTAAAAGCGGAAATGGTATTACAAGTTACGAGAATGTAAAGAAAACAAAAACAAATTTGATTAGTACCTCCCTGAGACTTCCCGTGTTTCCACAAAAAGAGTCGTCATTTTTTGTTTACTTTCCTTACTACAATGTAACCTCAGATGCAGATTACACAATAAGTGTCGAGGGAGCCAACAGAAAATATTGGTTTAGTCATCGAACACTTTACATAACAGAAAAGAACCTCCCAAAGCGCCAAGTGGTTGGCCACCTTAGTTGCGGGATTCCATCATACACCGAAATTAGGTGTATGACACGAAATCGAGTCATCCAAATCCAAGATGGATTCAGTACCTTTTATTTTTGCATGAGCGCATCAACTTGAAACCTCGCATGTCTTTCTTTCCAGTTTCGTTTCAGTTCTGTCTCATCTCGAACAACTCAGAAGACATTCCTTTCGTAGTATGGGAACTTCAGCATTAGGTGTCAACAAGAGGGAGAAATACTCAAACAATCGTCTCGTGCTCCAGTAAACACCGCCTTTAAATTATTACGAAGTTCGACACAGAAAAAGAAAATATTATAGCACATAAGATTACGGTTACTCTTGGACAGTTTTCGAACCAATTGATTAAGATTTTGTGGCATGAAATTTAAGCGTAGTGAGCCTAACATATAGTAGCACTAGGGTCCATTCACAGCCAACATCATTGAGACAGCCTTTCAACTAACTTGGACTACATAGTAACCTATGACAGTACTCAGTGTGAAAGTAAGAGTTCCAAGGGCTTCGTCTTCATATTGCGTCATAAGTTTGAACATGGGAAAACTCATTTAAGGCTTTCATTTAAAAAAAAAAATGACATGTTTCCTTCAAGACTTTGATTTGGGAGCCACCCTGTACAGCAAGATAACCTTTGCGACTGAATCAATTCGGACTGAGAACATGAAACAGCCGAGGTAATTTAAAACTGCAAACTTATCATCCCCTCCCTCTTTCATATTTCCTTGCCAGGCGCATGTTTCCGCCGTTCCAAGTGCGCTTACAAGGTTTGGACCCCACGGCTAAGTATATCCTAATGATGGACTTCATACCAGTGGACGATAAACGCTATCGGTACGCGTTCCACAGTTCTAAGTGGCTGGTGGCAGGCAAAGCAGACGCCAGTGTACCCGGGAGGGTACACATTCACCCTGACTCACCCTGTACTGGACAGCAATGGATGAAACAAGTCGTTTCGTTCGATAAACTTAAACTCACTAATAATCTGATGGATGACAATGGACATGTAAGAAGATATGAACATTATAAGTATATGTTTTGCTGACGAAATTTTGAGGTTTGAATCATTGTTTAAGAGAGCTGGTCGCCACAGACGGAAATACGGCGGATTCGTAGCTTTGTACTTTTAATATCCATGATTGCGGCGTTTCTGGAAAGATAATTATAAGATGAAATAATTTCTTGTTCAAAATTCTGGGTCTATATAGTATCACATATCACTTAAGCAGGCGCCTAACACCGACATTTTTTTAGAGGAAGGTTACATGAATGTTCAGGATGTCTTTTTTAACCAAGATTTTGTATGAGATGCTGGTTGTGTACTAAGCCTACAATCATCTTTGGACTCTAATGTCTCAAATCAAAGTTTTATTCTTCGCCACTGATCAATTTTGACTTTTGTGTAAGCTGGGAGAGGCAAGAGATATAATTTCTTGGTATGTTAATGACTATGGTAATCTTGATAATAAAACTGATAATAGTAATAATAATGATGACGAAGATTATAAATCAAGATTATAATGTTGATAGTAAACATAATGATGTAGTTAATTTTTGATGATCATGCCGATGGTTGTGATAGATGATATTCTACATCTCTCTGTTATTTCAGATTATACTCAACTCTATGCACAAGTATCAACCACGTTTTCACGTCGTCCTTGATAACCAAGAGAAGAGTACCATGATCAGCGCCCTGGGAGCGAGCACAGAACACGTTAAAACATTTCTGTTTCCAGAAACACAATTCATGGCTGTGACCGCGTACCAGAATCATATGGTATGTAGATTACAAATTTATTTCTCTTGATAACTGATGAAGATTCCCTCTTTTTCATTCCTGAAATGTTCTATGGGGACAAGGAGTGGTTTTTATCCCGTACTAAATACCGGAAATGTCAGTGATCGTCGAAAACTAATTTCTTTTCTTAATCGACTTCACACAAACCTTACTGTAATCTTGATGTCCGTTCCGAAGTCCAAAACCTACGTGCGTCGACAACATTGTAAGGTCAATAATGACGATGATCATTAATTGTTAATGCCTCTCCGCATAAGAGATGAAAGGAAACCTCATGGCACTATGTGACGTTTTTTCAATCTGTCAGCAAAACACCGTTCAAGTTACCAACAAACGTGGCTCCACGTAAATACTGTTGCGCTCCTCTCTTCATAGGCATATGTAATCTCTTGTTCTTAATAATAATAATAATAATAATAATAATTTATTACTTATATAGCGCAAAATACATGTGGATATGATCTAATGCGCTAAGTGAAACCATACTTTGACTTTAACTGACTGATAAAAAAGCGTAGCACTAATATAGAATTATTCACTGCGGTGAATCGTTTCTCTAGTGTCTTCTACAACTATTTTGAGAGCAAAATGCTTAAACTGACAACAAAATTGATACATATATATTTTTCTACTTCTAATTTGCAATCCTTCAACTTTAATTGTAGCAGGGCCAAAAGATAAAGTCTTATGCCACAAGAGGTTTTTGTTGTTACCCTTCGTTATTCACCCTTAGTGCATCTGTTCTCTTTTGCCTATCTTAAAGAGGGAGCATTTTTTATGTGCTGGAAGGTTTAAAGCAGCCGAAATATTTCGATTTAAGCGGGAAATTAGAATCGACGTTGAGAAAGTGCTGAACAGGTGTTTGGTGCATATACATACTAATTATAGTTCGTATCTGTTTTCTTAACCAGATAACGCAATTAAAGATAGCGAGCAATCCATTTGCTAAAGGATTTCGCGACTGTGATCCGGACGATTGGTATGTTTTAAAAACAATTGGTTTTTCCCAGCCTTTCTCCCTAGTGGAGAAGGTAGGGAGACACCCCCTAAACACGACGTTACGTTTGTCCTTCGGAGTTGGAGCGTAATTTAAGTTGTAAAGGTGTACAGTAAAAGATAAACTGTTCTGTTTAGCTCAAGAGTATTCCATATGTGGTCAATTCTTCTGCCTTCTTAATTTACGCCTTACACAGATAAAGACACGACACGGAATCGCCATTTTTTCTCCCTTCTGTGTTTGCCTCTAGCCCTTTCATGTGGCATTAGTAAATCTCTTTCTTTAGGTGAATGTAAAAATGACTCAAGAGCATTATCGAATAATTCTGTTCATTTGTAAGGAATTACTTCTTGAGAATTTCTTCAGGTTTATGGAGTCAACCCCACCAGCGCCATAAGCGAAGTTTGCCGCTTTTATCTTCGGGCGCTCTTTTTGGACAGCTGAACGATTGGGCACTGAGACGCAAATTTCATCTTCTCTCTGCAGTGTAGTGGAAGTCATAAAACAAATAGAGCCAGGATCAGTAATGCCTACAGCGAAGCCTCGACTTCAAAGTGAAGTGTACCCTCCGAAGTCATGTAATTCTAACCGAGAAGAGGGCAACAGTGTAACAGGTTATTGGTCATCTTTCTGTATGTTTTTAACTGCTCTATGGGCTGATGGTAAAGTTATCTGTGTTTTGTTGAGATTTTAACCATGCTGTCTATTAAAATATATTCAATTTCATTTTTCCAAAATTATTTTCTCAGTTATGTTGCCAGTTTTTAAACTTATGAAGGTCATAAAATTTACTGAACTTTAAACACAACCCAAGCATCCATTCTCTTCAATTACCTTATCTTAGGAATGGACTGTCATCTAAATAGAATAAGGAAGATGGTTTTGTTAAATTCTACCCGCGTTTTCAATCCTTAACTTTAAGAACTTCAATTTGAAACTGAACTATTAGTAAAAATGACAAACAAACCAAAAAAAACTTGGTAACTACCGGGATGGCTTTAAGTTGTCAAAACGGAATTCGATTTTACATGATGTAAAAGTAAAAGACGTTTCACAATTTATTGTCTCCTTTTAAATGGCGCTCTCACTCCACAGAACCCCAAATTTTGAAAGATGAAAGGATAAAAGACTTTCTTAGTGGCCGAGATGAATCATTTTTCTTTCTTTTCATTCCAGGGACAATATCAAATGTGACCACACCTCTGGTTCCCATGAACCGTGTTCTTCCCTCTCTCACAGTCCCCTCCATTACGGTCCCGGCTTGCACACCCATCATGAGTCCAACTATTACGTCACCGCTATTCCATCCACACTCTACCTCCCCTGGAGCAACTACGGCTGTGTACCGAGGCTTCCCGTCTTTACGTGATCACCGTAGTATGCCTTATCCCACACAGTATCTTAGGTACAATTCAGGACAGCAAAATGATGTACCTGGATATCAATCGCCACCAGGAACCATTTCCAGTCAATGATAAAACGCTGACCAAATGAGGACTCACACGAATTTTTTATAACTGAAAAAGCAGTCTATGGACAGCCTTGGGGGCAAGTTTACTTACACTGCTTGGAACTCCACTGACCTCTGGGAGGTATAAGAATGCCGGCTTAGAACTCGCATCGTCCGAATATTACTTAAGAGGCAAAAACAGAGTTCGTTTCTTTGTCTTGACGAAAAAATTTAAAAGAAAATTCCTGAATAAAAATATTTTTCTTCCATTTAACAGAATGAAAATAATTATTTAAGTACATTTTTTTAAATCAGATTTTTTCATACATTGTATGAAACTTAAAATTTATGTCAAGATTATTTCATTCAATAATTCTCCATTTTGACCCAGTCTTCTTTGTATTCGTTTTGTTCATGTGAAGTCCTTAGTACGTACAACGAAAGTTTTGCCTCTGGTTGCTCACTTGAGTTTCATCTGTCAATGTTACAATGAAAAGGGCAACTCGATGCCTCCATTTAATACGTTCACGAACTAAGTTCCAGCCCAAATGAACGATAATCATAAAACACATGAAAAAAAAGAGAACACACTTTTCGCTTGTTTGCTCAGGGTCTTTACCAAAAGGAAGTTTTCGGAGTTTTAATCCAAACCAAAAACGGAGCTTTTCGATAACTCCCTCTTGAAGGGAGACAACGGCGACATACTGTGGACTTGGGAAACTGTGGTCTTTCGAAAACTTTGTTGTCAAACGGTCACGAGATCTGTCACTGTCACCTTGATTCATTACTGTTTTAAAACTATTATGGACCGAACACTTTTAAATGTTAGCTGTTTAATCTTAATTAAAAAATTAGCCAGATGAGTGCGAGTATGAGCTGTTCTTGGTCGATATTCAAATACAATTAGCCTCAGACCATGGGAATTTTCAACCATGTGAGACAGAGGGAAACACAAGCATCTAACCCCTTCTCCCCCTGGTTAGGGAGAGAAGGTGTAAACGACTGTTTCACGGCATTCGGGGGACACCAGAAGGTCGAAGGGCGAGAGGGAGACTAGAGACCACTTGGAGAAGGACTGTCAAAAGAGGGGGACTGCAAGAGCTGGAATGTGGCCAAGACGGCGGCACGCGCGTCGGGGGGTCGGGCGGACAATAGGACGGCCTTATGCGCCTACAGCGGGCGCAACGAGCGATGATCATGATTCCCCATTCACGAGTAGAGCAGTAGAAGTAGAGCGCGCTATGCCTTCCTGACACATAGGATGAGGGTGACGACATTCACATTTGGAATTCTTGGTCCTACGAGGTTCCAGACCAACCTCGTTCATTTCAACGTTGTCACCCTCTTACTAGAATAGCTTTGTATCTACTTCTCTTCAACCTTTCTTTGTAAGGTAGAACCATTGGGGGATACTCAAAAAAGTTGTGCTTTGATGTAATCGAGGCGTATTTGATCAATGTATTTGTTTTCACCATCTCGCTGTCATTAGCAAGAGTAAGCTCATTTGAAGAGTTTCCACGATGAACCCCTGAGAAGCACAAGTTGAGGTGGGGAAAATCTGTTTGGGTAAATGAAATGTTTACCCATTTCCTTCATTGATATGAGGGTTTGGCACAGAGATACAAACGGAGAACGTTTATGAAATGTGGACCATTGTTCAGTGAAAGCTAAAAGAAAGAGTAATGACTACAGCCAAAACAGAAACGTACACTAAAGGTTTCGGGGTTGGTGGAGCCTCTTGGTGTAAAGCTCTACCCACCCTTCCCACGTGATGGTCTTGTGCAGGATTCTAACTTAACGATTTTGTCAGTTAGTTTGATGCGCTGTTCGTTAGCCCACCAACTTACAAGGCTAATCTCACTTGGCATGTTATGTGGTGAGTTCAATAGAACACTCAATTGTTGAACCACTCGGGTTACATCGACGAGTTTTCCGGGTTCAAAATCTGATGGCTGAAACCATTTTTTTAAACTCGAGATGTGATTTAAAATTAGGATCTCGTAGTAGTAGTAAAGATGAAAACAAATGAAATTTAATATTTGCACGTTGCACACCCACGTGACGCATCACATCTTGCTTAGCAAACGTGGGTGTTAGTCGTCACAACGTTCAGATCATGAGAACCGGATTTTGAAGAAGACCCGATAGCCTCCGCCACGGATCGACCTAAGGTAACACGGCATTGGTTCCAAACGAGTGTGTATTCCTTCTTGTCACATTCAGATCTGATTTCCACTTTTTCATTGTTTTCCTTAAACAATCATTCTACACAAGGTTTACCCTGATAAGGATTTTTTAGTTCCTAGACTATTAAATATTAAATCTACTAACGCATTACATTTTGTATTTCGTTTTCCCTTGTGAGGGACTATTGTCACCCAAAAAAATTCGCAGAAAGGGGGAAGGGGGGAAAAGAGGGGAAGAGAAAAAAAAGGAGGAGGTTAAAAATATAAAATGGTTGAGTTTGGTTCAATTTGTATGAACGTTGCATCTGCTCTGTAAAGGTACGATGGTGCCTGTTACAGTATATTAACCTGCTAAAAACCCCCAGATTACTTCACATGGTAAATTAGGACAAAGTATTCGTGGCTCAGCGGAAACAGAGAACATTTAACCGTTTTTCAGTTCCACGGCATATCATTACATAATGAAATTTCATATTACCCTATGAATAAGAAATATCAATTTCAGAATTTCAGGGTTTTACTGTACAGTACTAGAGGTCTGTAAGAAAATAGTTTAAAATATCTAGTTTACAAGCCGTCGTTTCATTCGAGTAAAGAAATGTTCGGGGTGGTCTTGGAGAGGGGGGGGGGAGAGTTAAGTATTCGTTTAAGTCCAAAACCAATTTGGATTCAGTCTTTCGTGTGGTTAGTTGTGTGATCGCTGTTTTGTGTTGGTTTAGTTTTTCTCCTTCCCATAACCTTTTCCCACCACCCAAAACCCCAAAAGTGTTCCTCGTTGAATTTTGGAGCGCCTTGTCTCGTCACCAACTCCCCGCTTCTCTTCCTTTCCATGTCTTGAAGTTCTTTCCTCATGATATCATTGCTCCAAGTGACGTAACTCGCTTCGTCTGCCCAGTCGGAGGAGCCTGTCGTCAAAGGTGTCAGTGGTAATTCTCGGAGAGCTTCACTGCCATCCCCCGAGGCCTCCAGCATTTTCATTCGACGCTTGTGTTCACGCTCCCGGCGACGATTTTCCGATTGCAGACGTTCTTCAAAAGAACCAAGATAAGGAGAGAAGGCTTGGAGACGGTGTTTCTGACACTGATAAAGCTCGCTTTGCATTTCCTTCAGGCGTGAAATGCAACGTTTGAATGAGAAGATTTCCTCCTCGCCGGTCAATATTCCGAGCGAACTCAGTTCGAGCTGGGTGAGCTCAAGATCATAAGCCATCTCGCCCATCATTTCCATGTGCATCTTGTCTTCTTGTAGTGGGTCATCGCTGGGGATCAATTGAAACAACTCATCAGGTGAGCTGGCCGCAGTGCAGAAAAGTTGCACTTTACTTTCATAAGCTGCATCGACAAAACTAAGAAAGCGCCTTGCTTCGTTCTTTTGGTAGATGCTCATCTGCGGTATGTCCTCCAAGAATACCGTGTGAAAAGCATTGCAGATCGTAATATAGTCGGCTGGCCCTAGAGGAGACCTGCACAGCTCGTTGAAAGTGAACCTAGCAATGCCATTTTCCGAAGCGATGGGGACGATGACCTTCCGACCATACACGGGAAGCGAAACCGATGTTAGCCGCCGACCACGCCCCACTGCTTCACAAAAGGCTTCGTCGAATACTTTTTCTGTGTGTTTGGTTAGAGGACTGAAATAATTGTCCTTTCCGCGTTTCTGATTGGTTCGGTAATCCTTTTCAGAATCCATGGCAACCAATTCACAACGCTCAGTGAGTAAAGCGACTAATGACGTCAATGAATCTAGAGCCTCCCTTTCGCGTCCAAAGGATGAAGCCCCAAGTTCATTAGGAGATCTGGAAACAAAAATTTAGAAAGACAAAATCGTCAGAGTAGATCAAGAGCCTTTAAAACTGATTAGTAGTTCTACCATGGTGAAGAAACCATTTTGCTGTATCAGGACAACACCCTCTAGCTGACAAATTTGTTTATTCATACCATGAGTTTGCTGAATTTAAATGTTGAGGAGTTAGTGTAAACCACAAAACCCAGGCTGCCTGCAGGTTAAGTGAATACACTTAACCTTCATATACCCCTATCAAGGAATTTATACCCTTTGTTTCATAGATGTCCCTTCAGGCAAAAGACTGAGTTGACCTGTCAAAGAATTGACAGACAGATGGACGAAAAGAAGAACTGACTGACGGACAAAAGAACTGACCAAAGAACCAATGAAAAAATTAACAGATAAATGGACTCTTTGGATCAGGTCTGACTGAAAGAATCAGAGCTCAGTAATTTGAGAAAAAGCAAAGAAAACATCTTGAGGAATTGCTGTGCCCATGTCATTGGTGAAAGTTAGATACAAGAAGTGAACTGTGATCTGACCTGTTAGATGTTGTTACTATAACTGTTCCATTTTCCAACATTTTACGAAAGACTCCTTCCAAAAGCCGGGTGGAGGCAAAGTCTGCCAGCTGCATTTCATCAAAGCAGAGCAACCAAGCCTCTCCAGCCAGCTCAGAGGCAATGGACTCCACTGGAGTTGTATCAAAGGTTAGCTCATCACTTGGACAACAAAGGTTCCACCGATTAATGGCAGAATACAACCGAAGCATGAAGGAGTAAAAATGCACACGCTTCTTGTTTGGGACTTGTATGCTGTCATAGAATATGTCCATTAACATTGTTTTGCCACTACCCACCCCACCGTAAAGATAGAGTCCTTGAGGTGTGAGCAGCTGATTACCTGATAGAAAGAAAAAGGTGAATTCAAGCATGATAGCTTATGTATTTCTATATTCTAAAAACTTTACTTATTTTGATGTTCTTGCTGTTTCAGTCAATTTCCCTGTCTTGAGTTGATACTCACAGACCTTTTCGAATATGTCAGGCTGGTTTTAACACACAGAGAAGAAATCGGTATGACCCATAAAATTTACCCTTGAGAGCAACCTGGGTTGAAGAGATATTTTCATTTGAGTGAAAAAAAATTATTAATCATCCTTAACCTAATGGAATTTGGAAAGAGAAATCATAAAAACAATAATTTCTGAAAGGAAATTAAGTGAACAAGAAATTAAACACTTAAAAAAAAACTACCTTATGGCATGTAGTCACAGCTAATGTAGGTCAAGGATATTTCAATTTTTTTTAACAAAGCCACCCTTCTTGGAAAGGACTCATACCCATCACAAGTTAAGTATTCTTTACATCTTTTCTCATACCAAACAATACCAAGTTTCTCTTGCAATTTGATTTATGATACCACTTTGCCCACTTTATGTTCCTCTGCCACTAAATGGCAATTTTAATTGATGTTATTTTAATAACCATGCAGTCATGTTTTTAACAATTGTCATTCTAAATCAAACATGTAGGTACAATAGCAAACATTTGATAGTTGAATGTTGCATTATAACTGCAATACAGACAAATACAAACAAAATGTACAAAATATATTTCAGTAAGGTTAAAAGGATCGGTAAAACAGTATTGAGTATCAAAAACAAATGAGAAGTAACACTTTAAGAGCCATTTGAGAAAGAAGTTGTGTACTTTTTTGGGCAAAAGCTATTTTTGGTAACAAAAAATACAAGCCCAACCACAAAACTAATGTAAACCTGTCAAACATTGAAAAATTATTGTCAAATGAAAAAAATAACAATGATGACAACGAAAACAATAACAGTTATAATCTCAATATCCAATATAATTCCAATAAAATTAAAAATAATTACGATGGCTGCAAAATAACCTTAGCAGACAATTCAGTGGACAATTCAGTATACCCACTAAACGAAAAACTACTCTCCTTGGAAATACTAGGATTTTATGAATCTTTTTCAGTTACATTAGTTATGTAACAGACAATTGCATGAATCATGTAACAAACAATTACAGTCCAAGAAGACCAGCCATTCAGCCAATAATCTTCCTCTTCTGGCTAACAAACGATAAAACCTACATAACTTTGAGCAATTGACTTACTTGATTGCTTTTGGGAATCATAATCTTTGAGTCGTTCAAACAGGCTTTGAAGATTGCACACCACTTTCAGCTGTGAGTTGTCGGGCTTCAGAACTTTTCTTTCTAAATATGACTTGTACAACTGTAAAGGTCCTTCTTTAAATTTCATTCCATCGCTATAGCATGCTTTCCTAGCGGCATAGACACCTTGAATACCCAAATGCGAACGGCAAGTGACAACCCGCCTTGTCGAGTGAGTGACTACAGAAAACATGCCACTATCGGAGGAGTAGCGGTTAAGGCAATCCACTGAGAACTAAAACACTGAAAAATGTTTTCGAAGCAGCTTTCGCTGAGCAGATAGCAATGTTGCAGCGATGAAACTAAATTATTTTCAGCTGTTATCAGCTAAATATCAGTCCCTCATTACATCCGCCATGTTGACGTTATGCAACTGCTCCCAGCAGCATTTGCGGCGTCTCTTATCCTCGAACACATGCTCATTCCCAGGGTTTCAACTACGCGTACGAAAACGTGGTGACTGAAGTGGCCCCCTTGAGGGATTTTAAAACTGTCTGAAACTGTGGTAAGTGCGTCAAACATGCGATTTCAACCATGACAGGCAACCCAGGAGTCAAGTTTTACCTTATTAATGGAGCACACAAGTTACATCAAAACATACAACTGTTAACTCACAGCCTTCAAATGCTGATAAGTACCGCTATTATGCCTGTCTATAATGACAGTAATAATAATGATAGAGTTTTTTGGGCTCGCTTACATTACTATAGAGAAAAAAAATAAATTAGTTAAAACCTATTAAATGTTTCTTATAGCAGTAATAAATAAAATAAATGAAATAATTATTTGAAAAATTAGGTGACTTGAAAGCGAAGTACAGTTCCTCGTAAAATAAATCAAATAAACTTTCCGAAACAAGAATGTTTTGAGGGCAGATTTAAAAGATGAAAGATATGTTGTATTTTTAACAGAATCCGATAGACTTTTCTAGACCGTCTGGGAGACCATAGAGGATATTATTACAATAGTCCAGACGTGATATCACTAGTGCATTAACTAACAGTTTGAGATCTAGATTTTCCATGGTGATATATTTGCAAATGCGACCAGTGGATATGATGGTATCAGTTGCTTTCTTTCATGTCTCGTTTATGTGGTATGTCAGTGATAGGCTTTTATCTAAGTTAACACCAAGATCACAAACTCTCTCAGTTAGTTCAATGACGGTGTTGGCAAAAGAGAGCTTCTCGATGTTAGGTATCTTGGTAAACCGGGATGTAAATAGTATACCCTCCGTCTTTTCAGTATTACTTCTTAGCATGTTTTGCGTGTTCCATCGTATTACATCCTCTATACAATTTCAATTTTTGTTTGTTTTACAAATTCAACATTTGTCACTAGTACTCTTTCCGAAGAGTTCGACTCCGCAAATAATCATTTGTGGGAATACTGCATCCCGAAGTCCAAACCCAGAAGTTGTTCCTTTCACGATCACTCAAAGGAAAATTTGAACACCTTTCAATCGTTTAGAGCAGAAAAATACACATCTCTCCAACACCTCATAAACAGGAATAAAAAGATCTGGGAAATCTCTTTTTCTTTTTGTTTGAAAACAAAGGAAGCCACTCTAACATTTCTTCCCATCAACCTCACAACTAACCCACTCTACGTTTTGTTTAGAAGTTTTCTTTGCCCACCAACTCCTTGCAAAATAACTTTGGCATGAACATGACGAGTAACAGACCCCCAAGGACCCCACAACCAAAGTGCATAAAAACCGGTCAGTTAGTCTTCATTTTTTATTCATCTTGAATTACAACGAAAGAGCTAAGTAAATAAATGCCTCTTTGAGGTCACTCTCGACACTCTCAAGAACGAAAATAAATACTTGTAAATAAACGTGCCGTGGAATTTTCTGTTAACCAACATTCCCTTCATCAAGGTCACTATTATCTGTGTTACGTTCTAGATCCATACTACTTAGCTAATATACAAACCCTCAGCCTTTTATCCTCAGATAAGAAAAAATTTAAATAGGAGTAGATTGAGATCAAGACAAGGCTGTCCAGTGGGAAGAAGTTCTGAAAAACTTAAATGCTACAATGCAGCGAAGTGAGGTCAGAGAAACACTTGACCATAAGCACTCGAAAATGCAGAAATTTGCAACAATACTCCGTTGAAACAAAGCTCCATGCGGTATATATTCTTATACTGAAAAATACTGTTTGTTACGCGGGAGTTGGCTTCACGAGTAGGGGCGAGGGCTTCCAGTGACTAGACATCACCTAGTAACTTACTTTCATGCCACCATCAAATATTGCGCGAATCAAAATTTCTGCTCTCTGTTTTCCTTAATTGACATCATTTCCATTTTCGTGGTAAGCTATGACAAAGTCGAGCGGTCTCATTCTTTTACCATTGCCTGAGATATTTCACAAGGGTCACTATAATTCGTGAGTCTGTTAACAAACCGGAAATAAAACTCTTTACAAAGTACCCCGTGAAAATTTACATCTTTAAAGTAAGGAACCCAGGCTGTTGCAAAAGAAAACGCCCGTGTTTGCTTGCTTCTGCTTGGCGTTGGTTACGCCAAGTCTGAACGAAGCAATTTTTTTTCCAAACAGCTACTTCAGCCACAGATGGACAAAACATCGACAACTTCTCTGTAAAGCTTCTCCTTTAGTTGCTCGGATTCAGTTTTCTAACGGATTTGTACTGAATCAACCCCATAGATGACATTCGAAAGGACGCGTTATACGTGTCAAGGTTACTGATCTTCCTTGGCATATCTCCATTGCCATTGTATCTCTCTTTGTGAGGTTTATTTTCAAATAGCGCAGCCCTGTTTTGATTTTCGTCCTTGTTGCGTTTAACCCAATGTCCGTAAATCCTGAACGCACACCCATCGATCATTTTACGCAAAGGTTTCACGCCATAAGGCTCCCGAAGAATCGTATCAAATGTCACTGGTTGAAGTTTATTCTTTGCAAACTTGTAGAATTCTCTGACCGCTATAAGGGCAATCACGGTTCCCTAATAACAAATAAACATTGATTTGTGAGTAAATTAGCAAAGTATTCACAGACCTTTAAATAAATGGTAAAATTCACCGTGGCTAGTCCTTTTCTGGGGACCCATCGATTCAAGGGAAAAAATCTGAAGTCCTGACGGAACAACCTTTAATTCTGTTACCTCTGTAAAAGCGACACCTCTTGCCTGGGACACTTTCCCTTTTCCCGAAGCTGTACTCTAAGTATAGTTTGCAATTATATTTTTGACAGACGAACTCTACATTAATACTCCAGAATAGTTTCCAATTATATTTTTGACAGACGAACTCTACATTAATACTCCATATATTTATCGGGAACCTGTATTGACTACTACATGAAAGCACCAATTATTAATATGTTTAATTATCAAAAAGGAATTTGGAGCTACCTTGAATTTCCACCTTGCAGAAAATCCATCATTTTTCGCCTGCTGCAAATTTAAAATACAGATACAGATAAGTATATTAAATAAAAATATGAATATATAGTAATAAATAGCACAGGGTAGGCAATCAATACATCGTACATATTAAAGCAAAGTTTTCGTTCACGATGACAGTCTAAATAACAAACCTGAGCTCCTTGGAACCAGGCATGTTCTAGAGCTTGCTCTGCAGTTAATCTTCCTTTAGGATGAACAACTAGAAGCTTTGAAATCTGGAAAAGAAAAGAAACCACGTTTGCTACAGTATTTAAAAAATTCTCAAGTTTGTTTTCATACAATCAGTTGCTATTTTCTTCATCCTTAGTCCTCTGTGTTCCCTCTTGGTTCACCATTACTTTCTGTTTATCTATATTTCCAAGTTTCTACCTGGTAGTCTTTTTCTAAGTGGTGCTACTGTAACTTTGCAGATCACAGAAATATGAATTACAGCGCGTGAAATTAATTTTTTTTTCAGATAGCCACTTGGCTCCTAAATTATTCAAAGTGGTAGCCAATTCAAAAAAGTTGGTCGCCATTTATAAAGAAAGACAAAGCCTTTTTTTAATGCTGTCAGCGTTCTAGATAGACCCTTCAAAATTAAATCAGGAAAAAGATCTTTACCATGCCACAACGTGGACACTAGAATGGATGACTCACCTAAATCCAAGATGACGTCTAGTTATCGATCGAGATGCATGTGCTGCGTTTTGGAAACAAACTTAACGAGGAAGTTTACCGCGAATATATCTTTTCTGATCTTTTTAATTCTCTATATCTCTAAGTAAGGATATGATGAAGCATTCTAGTCGCCAATTTAGCGACAAATTTTCAGGATTTGGTCGCCAAAGTGAAAAATTTAGTCGCATTGGCGCCTGTAGTAGGCGCAATTTCACGCCCTGAATTACCCAAATTAATATGGTGACACAGCTCCTTTAAATTATATTTTCTCTGGTAAACTGGAACTCACCAAATTTTTGGCTGACTCAGAAATGTCGTCCCACTCTGGACTGTGAAAATGGTATCTTCCCTCCATTATTGACCGCAGCATGGTAACTTGTCGGCGATGCCAGAAGGGAGGGCAGCCCACAAGCCTGTCAAAATGAAGTGATGTCACAATGAGCATCACCTTTGTTCATGTAACCCTTTAACTCCCAGGATCTGATTGCAGATATCAAGTTTGAGTATTCTCATGACTTGTTTACTGGGTAATGTGAGGATATTACAGGGAGAAGTGACATGTTAATCACATCTAGAGGTTGAGGGGTTGAGTCTAATTTCTGTCGAAATGACAACCTACATGTACATGTATTTCCTGTCAAAATTTAATTTGATTTGCTATTTTGACATTTCAGTGACATATAAAAGATGATACATATTATTTGTAATGATACAGAACAATATGACAAATCAAAATTAATAATTTTTCTTAAAAATACTTACAAAGTGTACATGATCACTCCACATGCCCACCTGGAAAATAAAAACAAAAAAGGAAGTTAAAAACATTTCAGTTGCTAACAGATATATGAGGACACTCTTGTTCCATGCAAAGAAGAAAATACAACAGTGATGGATGCAAGACATTTTTGAATATGACGGCAGATGGTACTCGAGGGGCAAACCTCTTTCAGTAGTTTAGAATAGAATTCTCTTCATCATTTAAAAATGGCAAACGATTTTAGGTTGTTTCATTAAGACTTGAGAATTTTCAAGCCTCTTTTAAGTAGCAATAACGAGATTGTCATAGAGTGCATGTATTGCTAACTTTGTTAATTTTTGATACTATTCTTTCCTTAATGGTGTGGGGGAGGGAAAAGTGTGCATGAACAGGAAATAACGTGACTGGAGAGTAATAGCCTGCCGATGTGTGGGACGAATCTGCTCGGGAAGGGCTTACGATTTTGCAATCAGTTATTAAAAAAGACAAACAACAGTAGCTACTACAGACAGCTTGTCGTTGCTCAACCAAGAGACAATATGACAAAAAATATTTACACGAGCCTTTATATTCCTACTTATTATTCATGCCAGTAAATATTATAGAGCAGGGTTTAAAAGTCTTCTAAATACCCTAGCTTTAAAAATGTACACAGAAGTCTCTCAACCCTGTAACTTTAAAGATTGGATTTGTAATTCTCCTAACTAGCTGCCTTACATTTCCTTGTAAGGCAATCAAAAGAGTTTGGTGTAATATCAAGGTATCATCCAATTTTCTTGCTGATAAGTTTGTCTCTATCCATCACCATTATGCAGGCTGATGTATGTATGTATGTAAAAAATGTGATGTTAGTGTAATTAAAAATTTAAGGAGAATGTTATCTCACATGTCAACTTCCTTTGAATAGCCTGGAGCATCTCCAAACATAGAGCACTGCAGTGCTTCAGGTGACAAATAGCCAGGTGTACCACACAGCTCTAGGGAAAAAAAAATATTATATAAAAAAATACTATATATGCAAATGCCAATGAAATAAAAAGATTACATCTAGTTTTCAAGTTCAAGTTTCAAGTTCAAGTTCAAGTTTATTAAGTTTGCAGGAAAATCTTTGTACAATAATCACCTCCGGCAAATAGCGAGCTAATCTAGGCAGGCGGTGTTAAGGACATACAACACGAATTACAAAAACACGAATTATGCAAATTACTTGATTTTTCATACATTATTTGACAAAAGAGGGAAAAGGTGATAAAAAGTAAATTAACATATTATGTTTGAATTATAATTAAGATGCCTTTTTTATTTCAGAAATAAGAGTGCTAGTGTCAGCATAACTATCCAGACTTCCTAGAGTTGCAAATAGTAATGCTTGAATTTTCTTTTTGAATATGTGCTTCGGCAGACTTCGATAGCTTTCGGGAATACTGTTCCAAATTTTAGCCCCAACGATAGAAAAAGAGTTTTTATGATGATTAAGCCTAGAATAGTTAATATAGTAGTTACCAGAAGATGCTGATAGGGTATTATACTGATGTATGTCTTGTGTAGAAATAAAAAGATTGCAGATATTTTTAGGTGCAGAGTTAGTGGTTATATCAAGCATTAAGATTGATGAAAGTTTGAAGTAGAGCATTGTTATTGGCAGGATGTTAGATTGTGCGAAATATGGAATCGCATGCATTCTGAAAGGCATAGTACATCTCAGTACATCTCTGTACTGAGTTATTCACATGTGTTTAAATCCATAAATTCTGCACACATGGAGTCAAAATACATGTATAGGAGCATAAATGTGTACTTGTATTGCAAGGGGTGCATGAGTTATGGCTAAAACAACTTTCCTACATGTAACTTGGAACTTTGACAAGTAAATGTTATCTCCACACAGATGCTTACAGTAAGTGTATTTTCACTATTCGAGCACATGAACTGATTTGTCATTTTCGTCTGGTATCAACAGAAGAACAGGCTGTAAACTGTATGCTTTCAAAGGCAGTCAAGAGGGGATGTGTTCACAAAGTCATAAAAATGACAAGAGGGGGCACCCTTGTGACAAATATATAGAGTTTGAGATGTTTCTGTTAGTAAACTTAATTTTAAACTACCTCTGAGCTTTTCCCCTTCTTTCAGCTTAACTGCAAAGCCAAAATCTGATATCTTTATTCTGTAGTCTTCATCAAGGAGAATGTTTTCAGGCTGTAAAACAACATTGCAAAAAAATTTGCTTGCAAGTACACAAGAACACATAAAAAGGAAATGAACATCGGAATTTTGTTTTTACTGGTATTCAACTTGGTTCAATAAAGTTTAGGTTACTCCCAAATCTACTTTAGGAAAGCTTATGAAAATACAAATACATGTATATGTCATCCATGTTACAAATGCACTCTTTGTTCTGTGTGCAAGGAAAAAGAATGTACATGTAGATATGTTAAACTTCCTCAAGTAAGATAAAGTGTAATATGTTCACAATGCTGATTCTACACAACTTGGTGTGCACATGGATCAGCCACAAGTAAACAAAGGTGTAATTCCCAAAGGCATTTTAACTCACCTTTAAATCTCTGTGAACAATGTCCTGATCATGCATAAACTTAACAGCTCCGAATACCTCATGCATGATACGTCTAAAATGCAACATAAAAGTCACTATTTTTGAATACATTTATTTAATAAATTGTAAATACTTAAAAATTCCGACATTTGATCTGCTCTTTCAAGATGTAGAAGTAATGCTCATAAACTTGATTTTTTATCCATTAGAGAGATATCTGCAGAATTCATTTTGCAACCAGCAATGCAATTACACAATAAGGCCATAAGTTTGCCATCAATGCAATTACACAATAAGGCCATATGTTTGTTCTCACTCATTCTCCTCCTCCTCTTCTATATATGTGTCACATTGAATGTTCCATTTCATTTTTGTTCTAATGCATTCAGATACCTACATGCTTTTGCTTACTAAATTTGTTTACCCATCAGTTCATTCAAGCAAATTAAGGGGGTGAGTTTCGAAAGAAACTGTGGTGCTGCAATGGTGGTTAAGTATAACAAGGTAATTTGGTGTTATTAACTGAGTTGATAACGTAAATTGGCCTACGTTAATAGTTTCAAAGCTGATGTTTCAAGCGTTAGCCCTTTGTCCGAGCAAAGGAACTGTCCGCAAGAAAAAAAAAACAACAACACACACACAAGCCACAATTCCACTGTTCTCAGTTGATAATACCAAATTACCTTATTCATTCAAGCATTTTCTGCAAATTTTTGTGGGCATCTATATACCTGGTTTTCTTCTCAGATAAAGTAACTTGGTCCGTGAGATGATCAAACAGTTCTCCCTTTACAGCCCTAAATTGTGCATAATAATAAAAACATTAGAAATACACATACTGTGAATTAACTTGTACATCTATGACTGGTCATAATTTGCCAAATTCATCTTTAGCTAAGAGACGACACCACAATATAAAACAGTTGTCTAAAACTACATTTTGAAAACTGATTTCTATTAATGAGAATGAACAGGCTTGTAAGGAAAGATGTTCGTATATGCACAAATTTCAATTGACTGCCCTCTGGGATTCAATTGATTTTCCAATGATAAACTCTGTAAATGTCCACAGAACTTATTACTGTGCTACTTATTCACCCAACCAAATGTAAACCTAAAAACCAATACCAACTTGGTCATCATTTGCTCTTTGCATCATTTTTTTTAGTCTAATTAGCCACAGTGATTCCTTTGGGTTTGGTTCGAAGACACTTAATTGAAAAGCTCTTTAATATACAATCATGTAGACATACTGCAAAAAGTTATTCTCCTAATTTTAATGGATGCATACACATGACAGATTTATGTAGCAAAAAAACAATGTAGTTAGCCAAAGAACTGCTGTGAAATAGACAGTTTTGCACTTACAATTCAAACACCAAGAAGAAAAACACAGGGGACTCAAAGACATCAACTAAGCCAACTGTCGAGAGAGATACAATATAGGACACTAATAAGATAAGGAAAGATAAGATGAGATATATTTACAATTTAAGATACCATGTAACAATCCTGCTAAGGATGTATTGTTTAAACACATTTAACACTTTGAGATAAACTTCATTATCTACTCTATTTTTCAGTTGACCAATGCTTTATTATAAGTTTACTCTTTGTCATGTCAAAAATGGGCAACAATGACAAAAACAAAAAAATTGTGATAAACAATGGCCACTTACTTATATTTTCATGTCCTTGCAGAGCAAGCAGAATGCTGACCTCATCCCGAGTTGTTGCTTCAATGTCCACACCTGCATCACTAAGCTTGTCTATTATTTTCACAGCATATGGTTTTCCAGTGATCTTGTGGATGCATTTTCGTACCACACTGGAAATTCCTCTATTGGCAATTAAAAATATGTTTAATTCATATATGAGGACTTCCAGAAATACAGGATAATACATGGGCATGTACAGATATAGAATTTATCCTTGAGTGTCAACTCTATATCTCACAAATAAGCACAGCAAATGAGTGAGAAATTGAATTGAGCCCAAGAAGAGAAATTCCATACCTGCTAGTAATCATGTATTATTTGTTTATTATATAAACAATAAAGGCCTCTAATGATGACAAACAGCTGTGGATTGAGAATGGTAAATGCTTTCCCATTAATTCATTAACCTGACAAAGTGATGCAGGGGCAAAGTAAACTTTCAACGACTGATTGGCTTTATCAAACACATGTTAAAAAACTATCATAATTTGTGTGCAGTTATGGCATTTCTAAGGGAAGAAAATCCTTATGACAACCTTCCCTGAAGGAAATCCTTGTGATAGCATGCCTGAACTATGAGGGTTTCAGCCTTGAAATCGTGTATCAGGATGTACCACACTTTGGAGCATAAACTGACATAGAAGATTGTAATTCATATTTGATTTTTTAGTAATCATGAACACGATTAGACAGGAAATGCACATGTAAAGATACAACCAACAGCGCTAACGACGCACAGATTACGAAACTTATGAGTAAAATTCTCTAGAGTGTACTGTACTTCCAAAGTGAATGAGCATCACCTTGTTTCGACCATAATCAAAGAAAGGTGTCAATTTGTTCGAGTCACGCGCGACATTTGATCCCATAAATCAATGTTCTGCGAATCAAGCGGTAGGTTATAGCTTGCCTTGCAACAAGTCATGTATGTGTACAGGACCATACTTCGATGCTTAGTCGGTCAAACTTCACTGCTAGCGATGGCCCTATTACGCAATCTTACAACTTCTTTACGATCACAGCGGACAAACATTGGAGCGTGGTGTTCACTGATGTAATAGATAGAGCAGGAATACGCGTTCAACAGATTTCGACATGACTCTAGCTTCCTGTCACATCTGTTCAGGTATTGTGGATCGGTTTTGAGCATTAACGAAAACCAATAGTCCCGTTAAACATCACTGAAGCAACTTAAGCTAGGTTTGCTCGAGTATTAATTGGATATGCAAATAACAGCGTTTCCAGAGGCGTTTACTACAGATCAAACGTACGTGTAATAATGCAAGGTCTTCACCGTACGACACGCCAGGATAGATGTCGATTGTTTGAAAACAACCCTGACTGACTTCACATAAGATTATGGGCTCTTTCTTGAGACATCAACCTGAATTAAAAGCCAAGAAATGTCTACTTACGCGCCCAATTTCTCTTTAACTTCGTATTTGTCGGAAAATCCGCCGGTTGCTTCGCTTCCTAAAGGCCCATCTTCCAAGTCAAACTCTGTCATTTCACGAATGCCAAGTCACAGAGTTTCCACCCTCGAATCTCAAACATAGCTCTCAAGTCTTCTAAAAAGAGTCATCTCGACAAGATGCAAATCACTGGAGAACTAAATCTTAGTGCATTTATTTGTTGCAGCTAAAGAAAAGCCCGACTTCAGTTTTTATTCAGGGAACATGTCTTGAGTATTTTGTGGTCAGCGGTACACTTAATGAAAACAATATAAACACGTGCCTATCGTGACTTACGTCCCATCCAACGTGAGTCCTGACTGATAGGCAAAACCCTTAATGGAGTTCAGTACAAAGTTATAATGGAGAATTTCAGATGAAACCTCGTAAAAATTTCTCTTTCACACTTCAGTCGTAACTTAAATATTGATTTTCCATAATTTCACAACCTCTTACCACTGAAAGGTATTTCATCATTTAGCAATTTGGCCACGTCCAATGTTTTGTGAACATGGCGTGACTTCTGCGCATTACTCAGAAATTTCCACATCATTAATACTTAGTTGGTAAAGGATCTGCCGCGTAGCAAGTTTCACACTAATCGTATCTCATGAACTCGGAAGATCTTTGCCTAACCGGAGTAAAACCTCTGATGAACAAAACCACAATAAAGCTGGTGTTTCTTTTGCATCCTTGAGGAAACTGGGATTCGAAGTTGTTTGGGAAGAAAGCCACTTTGACCTCAACTGTTCGAATGTTGCGGTGGACTCTATCATCTGCCCCCCCTTTTCAGATACTCCGCCGCCGCCCCTTCGGAGCAAGGGGGCGGGGCGGAGAAAATCTTTTATTTACTATGTAAAACTTTGCGACGGACTTAAAACATTGCAATGTTAGATATGATACAATTTTCTATGATAAACAGTCTTATCATTCATTCGATCAAATGACACGTCCATCCCATACCCGTCTTACTCAGAAAACAGGAAAGCGAGTCTTCACGTTGTCCCATAGACGTCGCATGGAAAGTCGGTGACGGAAATTTTTGCAGACTGAGAGCACTTATGACGCAATACATGGAGTGCGACGACAGTAGAAGTTTTTAGCGCGGTCATACCCGGTGAAATTGTTGTCACAAAAGCTGAGATTCCTCGGCCACACCTACCCTTAGGAGCTAGTTAATTTATCGTTGTTACATGACCATGTCTTATCGTGAATTTATCTGACTGTTTTACTAAGCTATGATTAGTGAAACAAAACAAATTCCGCTTTGGCAAATGAAGAGATCAGTCAATGACGTCAGTGTGTGGTTAGAACCTAAAGTAACCAACAATGCCTCAAGTTATTACGGACAGAACACACTACAGAGCGATGATTTGTCCCATGTCAGAGAGGTAGTTTCTACTGTTCTAAGTCACCAAGAACGATGTTCGTCTTGGTTTCTTCGTTTCTTTTGCTCATAAAGAGCTCTTGTCAGTATCGACTTTGTTTGTTCAGATCGGAAATGATCTCTCAAACTCTTCAAAAACATAAGGGACAAAGTTCGTCATGTAGAACCGGACAAGGAATATTATTATTTTGTCACGTCAGCTGCGTGTATGCACTCTTATACAGCATTGGTGATGCCCAATCACAGGCTACCCAGTATTCAGTTCATTCTAGTTGTAGAAGGTGGTTCTTAAACTATGAGCTGAAAAAAAATTAATGGCTGCCGGCGACGATGCTATTTTCAGCCTATTTCTATTAAGTTTTGTCCGTACTCTTTCGTTAGGAAACACAAACAATATCAACTTGGCAGCATGACACTGCCTCACTTAACAAAACTGAAGGAATATCAACGTCATATGACCAATATATAAATAATAATCTAGCCAATTATTTAAGGCAAACAAACGAATGAACATGGCGCGCCAGGCGTCACTGCACTGACTCATTTTCCATTGACGCATTTCGCACTGACGGAATGAAATTACCATGCCTGGCAGGAAGCGGTATTTTTGCGGGCGTAAAAGGCAGTCAAGTGCAAATTGACAACAAATCGCAGTAATTTTAAATGTTAACAGTCCAAACCATGTCTAGGAGGAATCAAAGATCGACTGAGTCCTCTAGTGCACCCTTAATGTCAAGAGAAACAAGGTTTTGGCCATGATTGCCATCAGTCTGACGTGGAATTTCGCTTAATAAGTTTTTTTTTTATTGCATAATTGAGTCGTAATCGCGTATGAAGTCATTCTTTTAGGCTGATTTGAAGTTACCTCAATTATCATTTCGTTTCATAACAAAAAAATTGATGAATACGTGTTTCTGCGGAATCGATAAATTTGTATATCTTAATTTTTTTCTTCTGTTTTCCGTGAGTCCAAAGCTTTAACCCCCTTCTTTTGGGCTATGCAAAGTTTGTTCGATTTGCCCACCAGCTTAGCTTTGATTTATAACAGCTGAAATAAGCGAACCCGATGACGGCTGAAATTATTCGATTGTTGTCATTAAAATTTTGCGCTACTTGTGCTGACGGAGGATTTATTGTCTTTTCTTAAGTGCAACTTTGTAGAGTCAACACCCGACGCAGTGAAACTTCATATTGGCGAATCCGCCCACAGACTGAAAATTCAGTCCATTTGAATCATTGAATTAATCCAATTAAACATTTAAAAAACAACGAATAAAATGAAAATCTACAGGGTTGTACCACCAGTCCTATTACAGCGATGATAGGATCCTTTCGCCAGCGGGTTTAATTTATATGGCAGCAAAATCTCACCGAAAAATTGTACACTTACTCGCCTAATATTTCTCCGGTTTCTCCTTCATAACGGTACTTGTCGGCAAAATCAGTTGATGGTTCATCATCATCATCAAAATGCGCCGCAACTTCTAAGCGAAGAGAGTGTTTCGTGTAGCTGAGATCAACTTGTTGAGAACTTTCCAGTGCTAATGTAAAATCATCTCCGCTGTGGCCCATGTCGAAGGATCTAACTGACGAGAGGGCGGGTAGTTAGTCTATGATGAATGAAGAAGTCAAATGTGAGGTCCATGAACAACAAACAATTACTTGATAATGGAAATTTATACAAGGGAGAACAATGACTCAGGCTCATCATCTCTAGTGATGCGGGAAGATGTATCTTTTTCTATTTTGAACGAGGAAATCAGAAAGAACGAGTAACCGGGAAAAATAAGTATTTGGACGGAACATATTATAATTAAAGATATTTGAATGAATCTAACATCCCGTCAAGCATAAGGATCTTTTGAGGACCAGAGTTAACTCATCCCGTACCTTCAATGAAATTGTATATTCAGCACATGGGTGAGAATTTTACTGATATCACCACAGGCAGCCCAAGCTCACGTCTCGAGAAAAAGCCAACGATTAATTCATGAAAGCGTCACGCGTTGTGTGACTCGGTGTTCAGTTACGAGAAGAACCGTTGAAAATTTGAAGACGTTATAAGGAATAGTAAAGGGAACGTAATATGGTTGATTTACAACAATAAATATTTCGAAATATGAACATTGAAAATCAATAAAACTTACTCACATCTTGTGTTTCCGTCGTAGTTTCCGGCGATTTCTGCCGTTTTAAGCTTGCTTTTCCATCACTGTTATTACTGTCTTTCCTCTGTCTTCGTATTTTCACAGAACGCGTGACGCTTTCGTAAATTAATCGCTGACTTTTTCTCGAGACGTGAGCTTGGACCGCCTGTGATATCACTAAACAAATTACAGTCTAATACTCAAGTGTCGCTTTAGATCATGAAAAAATCTCTTTTTCCCAGTTAGGCTGTTGTATGAGCCAAGTAAAAATCAAGCGAAAAAATATTTTTCTTGGCGCAAGATACCTGTGTTTAGAGTTTGCGCTGATAATATTGGTAATCCTTGACTCCCACGCTTTATTTGCGGTCGTCAAGAGGGAGTTACGCATCGATAACAACGCCACTTAACAAGTTAATGAGCCGAAAAGAAAAACACGCGAAAACGTCTGAACCAAGTGATCGAAGGATCGAGAGTGAGGTACTTTGAATAAGGATGTTGGAAAACTGTTACAAAGATTCTCTCGTGCACATTTTAAATGCTTGATCATGCTAAGAAAAAAATGAGACCTCTAAACAATACAATGAGTTCCAGCTGTTTGAGTCGCTGAAAACTAACTCTCTTAGTCAATAGAAGTTATAACTGCTAAAATAAGAAGAGATCTGTGCTTTCCGTACATATTTTCTAAACAGGCATGCAATTACCAAACAGAACTTGTATTACACATCATTTGAAGAAATAAAACAGCTTTCGGGACGTTGGATGAAGGTAACCCTGAACAAAGAATTCCCAAGTGTTACAAGGGAGAAGGGGTCCTGCTTTAGAACCTTTTAGATCTAGGCAACAGACGGAGATGGGCAAGAATGTTGTAATATCACCCTAAGCTTTATTGTTGGCAAGGATCTTAAGGTAATGAATGTATGACGCCTCTGGCGAACCACTCTAGGATAGATTTTTTTCTTCCCTGTTTATCGAGATCATGATATATTAATCGCGTCAATCAGTAAAATCAAGAGTACCTCAGTTAAAACGGTCAATCATGGCATTATGTGATCATTAAAAAGACGTACACACTTTTTTCCCAAATTTTCACTGACTCTCTGCTGAGTTTTGTTACAAATGTTTCCTACACTGTTATCATAATAGAGAATGTTGTGTCCAAACTGAATTATTCTACGAGACGAATGGACAAAGCTAAGAAAACTGCATACTGATTCCTTTCAGATAATTACAAATTCAATAAAAATCTCATGCCCACATTTCTTTCCCTGATTAGTTCGTTCACAAAATATTTTGGTGCGTGTTTATTTATCAGCTTACCTAATTAAAAATTATTCCTGTTTCCTTCATTTCGATTTCATCTGTTGTGGCCAAAAGGTCCACGAAAGTGATCCTTAGGTTTGTCGATAAAGAAATAAAGCTAAGTTTTATTTCGCTCACTCTCACCCAGAGATCGATATACATGTATCGGTAAAATAGATGAGCTCATTCAGGGCCAGCGTAATTCCAGACAAATTTCCAGCCTCCAATAATCCCTCTCTAAGAGTTACAGAGTTGAAAATTTCAAGTAGTAGAGGTAGTATCTTTATTTAAACTCGATAAAAAATCTTCAGGTCAAACAAAGCGTCCCAATCTATCTATTTACAATATTAAATCGGTTAAAACTACCAATATACTGTTTTGTTTCTTCCTCCTTATTTCTAGTCTGTCCCATTTAAGTATTTCGAGAAGCAGGTTTGAACTAGTATCGTAATCGGCTTTTAAAATTGCTCTAGCTGCTCGGCTACGTAATTGTTGTACTTTGTTTCTCAATTTACTACTTAAGCCGTCCCAAATGAGGCTACAGTAATCAAAGTGAGGTTGTATTAAGGTGTTGTAAGCTAGTATGGCAGTAGATACGGAAATTAGAGGCATGATACGTCTACGGCCACCTGTTGCGGAAGATACCTCAATCGAATTCCAAGCTAAAAAAAGTATTTGACAACATTTGTTTTTTAAAGTATCTATGATAAGACAATCCGAACATTTCGTCAGTTTAAATGAAATATGCGTTGTTATAAGTAACAGAAACAACAGGTGGAAGAAAGGCAAACAAAAGCCTGCCTTTCTCAGCCAGGCGTTTTCACTTGGAGGTATGCGACCAAAAAGCTGATACACTGAAGACTTGATCGATAATTGACCGATTAATCCAATCATAATAAAGATCCTCGCCTCTAGAAAACGTTCACTCCATGCTCTTTGTGAAGGATCTTTGAGGCCCTTCTTTCGACTTGACAGATCGGGTCGCGAGGGAACGGGACTGTATGCCCATTTTTGTTTGAGCCCTTCAAATGAAAGTACGTGCCTCGTCCCAGGTTACGTTTACCATATATCGTTGACAACCGATTCCTAGAGAGGAACAAATTAAGAATATATATATATATATATATATACACACATACATACATACATATACACGTCAACTTTTCACGTCAGGATAAGGCGCCTTTTCCTTCGCAGGTACAAGGTACCCAGTTCTACACACTACAACTATACACTAACTTACACACACTTGTCGACCAAAAGCCGGCAAAAATTTAAGCAGAAGAACAAGCTATGGGTACCTTTCGAGGTTCTATGAAGAAGGTGCGGCCACCTGAGGCAAGGAAGTGCTTAAACCCTTCTGCTCTCGGAAGTAATTAACTTAATATCTTACAATACAAAAACACGAGTCAGGTTGATTGGAGATGAAAGTTATCAAACCTATCTTCCTGTTATCTTAAAATAATACAATTTCTATTTAGTAACTGAATGGCAGCCAGAGGAGAGAATTCCCTATCAGGTCTTGGGAGTTTAAGGGTAGCTTTCTCTAATAGCGCTAAAACTATGGAAAACTTTGATATGTGGGCATGATTACAAGTGCTGTGAGACACCACCTTGCCTTTTCCGTCTTCAAAATTGACTAATAGGCACACATTAAGTTATGTTGTGCACTGTAACGTCGATCTAGTACCTGAGTATAACATCCTTCAGGGTTGGACAATTTTCAAACTGCTCGTGCAAAAGCTTGGTCGTCTCACAGAAGGAATGGTCCACTTGATACACAAGCTCATCAAGGTTGCCTAAACACATGATACAGAACAATAACATACGTATATAGCCCCTTAGAAACCCTACGTCAAAATGTTCATTACATTATGTGCAGATTAATAATTTTAGATTGAAGAAACTGCTAAATATAAAATGATTAAATTGTGAGTAAATGAATTTGGGGACAAATAAACGGTGTGGTAAAGATTTGGCTTCTTTACAATCTGTAAGTTAACTATTTCATTTATGATGTTCAACAATGGTAGGATTACAATGCGAGTTTGATCTGTACGTTTTGAAGAGTTGTGATACAGTTCTTGAAATGTCTCGAGCGATAAACATGTATAAAATTAGAAACGTGCAGCTTCTCATTTCCGTGACACGTTTTCTGTTCATTACCTTTCATGTTTCTCTCAAAGCTGTCATACAAAAGGAAACTATATTCATCAGACTGTACCTGTATATAATGACACATCATTAGAAACTTCAACCATGTCTTTTCATAATTCTACAATAACCCTTTACCTCCCAGAAGTAATTAACGTGAAACTTCTTCCTATAGTATTCATACATTATCCAGCAAACAGCAAATGAGAATACCCAAACGTATCAGGTAGAGGTTGTTACCTTGACAGCATATATAGATTTTTACTTTTAGCTAAGCTGCAAGGAGCAAAATTAATTCCAAATTCATAGAATAACTTACATTTTGGCGTCTAAGTACCGTTAAAGGTAATTAAACAAAAGTGCACCTTAGGGCTCGAGTAATTAAGATCTACGGTTTTGAACTAAGTGTGTTTTGATCTTTACTTACAGGAACTGATTCATCACCCAAAGATTCTTTGACCAAGAACTCCAGTTCACCAAGTTGATTCAGTGATGTTTCCCACTGTAAAACAGTCAAAGTACTGGTTAAGTTATATTAACACAGCAATTCCAACGACTTTGGCGACAAACAAATAGAATGGTGTGGTTTATCTACATCCTTACCAAAGCCTTGATGCTATTACAGTCATTGTTCAAACCTTCCTCGGCCAGGAGAATGAGGACAACTTTAGAGTGGGCTTGTACATACAGGTTGACATGAGTTAAGCCTTCAACCTATCAAATCAAAGCATGGAAAACCGTTAAGACATGGTGTATTCCTCTTGGTCAATCCTCTCATAGCTTTCCAAAGTTTCTTGATGTCCTTGATACGCTGCCCTAAACGCAACTTAGGACGGCTCGCAGCAAATCTGGAAACAGGCCAATATTTAAAATCGTATACGTAACTAATTACTTTTCTCTACGAGAACGTAATGTGTGTGCGCAGGTTGAGAGTTGGAAGCGCCTTTGAGGACGTTAGTGTGCACGCGTTTATGAGAAGTACTTTGTGATAAATGAATACGGGTGCACGCACTTTAACGTATAGCGGTTAGTGACGTGTGAATGCCAATGCACGCGCGCGTATATGTGAGCTGTCAATGACGATAGAATGAGCATGTGCCCACGTGATCATGAGAGTTGTTCAGTAACGTGCAAATGCGGGTGCACACGCTGTGAGGTGAACTGATCAGTGACGGGTAAAGACGAATGTAGACGCGAGGTGTTACCCGGCCAGAGGTAAATTAATGATCGTGTGCCCACGCGATCCTGAGAGCTGGTAAGTGACTACTGAGTGCGGGTGCGCGCACACACTCAAACGGGTAGGTGAGGAATGAATGCGAGTGCAAGCGCGCATTGGTGCGCGTTGATTTGAGCTGGTCAGTGACGAAAAAAAATCGGACGTGTGCGCGCGCGCGCTCATAAGGGCTTATTAGCGATAAATGAGTGTATGTGTACACAGGGACATGAACGGGTCGATGACCAATGAACATAAATACACATGCGCGTTCAAATGAGCTGCTAGTCAGTAACGCGCGATCATGCGATCATGCGATCATGCGATCTAATAGTTGACCAAAGAATCACGCCTATAATGAATCTGAGTAGTGGGTCCTTTATGAATCTTTGGAAACTGTAGGCGCAAGAATGTATTTTTGTCTCATAGTTTCGTGTTAGATGTTTAGTTTTCGTCTTCATTAGTTTCCTTTATCAGTTATCAGTTTTGTACTTGTTATGTTTATTCGCATATTGTATACATTCTGTTCGTGCGTGATTTATTTCGTTAGTTGTCTCTCCTAGTTTGCGGAACATATTGTCTAGTTGCTTCGGGTTTCATTTTTATGTCTTTTGGGTTTTTGGTCACATCCGTCTTGTAAGTTTCCTCGTTTATTTCGCTTTGTCGTTTTCCAGTACTTTTCACTTCGGATGTTGTAAGTTATTTTATGCTCATTCGTGTGTTGTAGTTTTGTTATTTTAAAAATAAAAAGAAGTGCAAAATGGTGAGAAAAAAAAAATCCTAAAGCACTCACTTGATTCATTTCATCTCCTTCTTCGTACGGCAGTAACTCTTCCCTTTCCCTATCTGTAGGGGAGGGCGCGTCACCCAAGGGCGGTTCAAACCAATCAGACGATTCCTCATCTTCCACCTCTTCAAGAGCAGAGTCAATCGGTGGCAAGTCAGTGCCATCAGCGAAGTATGTTCCCTCCAGGCCATTAGCGATATAAATCCCAGAATCAGGTTCAACTATGTCGATGGGTGGTACAGAATGAATTCCTTCGAACGCCACAGTGGGTCCGTCCGACACCACATCGTTATTAACTGAATTAGGATGTTGAGACGCATTGTTCTCCACACAGGCCCGCGAATCTCGTGTATCTTTACCAGTACTGGTATCCAAGCATGCGAACGACTTATCCAAAAATTTCTTAGCTCCTTCGTTAAGATTACGAATTGGAGACGAATCGCATATTATCGGGGTCTTGACTAAATCACTTATCGAGCTGTTTTCTTTGCTGAGGTTTAAATCGGTCGGACCCGACTTTTCAGCGACATCTGGAGCATATGATGGCCTACTGTCATTGTCTTCGTTGCAGACACTATGGTCAGAGGAGGGAAGATTTATTTCCAGAATATCTCGATGATTAGCGACTGAGTGCTTACCCAAAGTTTGCTCCACAGAACAGGAATTGTCATTAGAGAGAGTTTTGCTGCATTTTTCCTCACAGCATTTACGTCCAGATTGACAAAAAGAGTTACCACACGACACGTCGCAGGATTTTTGCAACGCAACGCACGACTGGCAGCACGCAACACGATCCGTAACGCTTTTACTACTATTCTCTTTCATCTGGGAATTTTTCTGATGAGCTATGTCTATAGCCTGCGTTATGAGATCGTCCAAAATTAACTTACACAAATCTACCTCGTCATTGGAAAGTGACTTAATTGAAGAGTAACTCGATTCACACGAAGACGATGAACTACAGAGCGCACCTTGGTCTGTTTCCTCTTCATGATGCTGCCTTCCACAACACGGTGAACTGGAACAGTCAATTACTTTTTCACCCGCAGACGAGACATTACACGGCATCTCTGTGCGCTTTTCTTCCCCATACTGTTGCTTCTCACATTGAGGATTGGGATTTTCGACGACTTTTAACCCAACCACGTCAACGGTTTCCATAATAACACTAGTATCGGCAGATGACGAACTTTCAATAGAACTGCTGTCAAATACCGAGTCGGAGCTGGTCGCTCCGAACTCAGCCTCTGCCTTCCCCCCATCAGAGTCTGCACTCCCTTCCCCAGCCCTTCTGTCAGCTGAGGTGGTGGTCACATTCTTATGTTCCTTCTCTATTTCATTTGAAGTTTTACAGCTTTCTTCCGTAGTTACCATAATAGTGCCGCAACCTTGTTCGTTCGCAGGTGCAGATTCATCAGACTCTCTCACAGGGTTCGTCTGCACCACAAGCGTTTCACTTGACTCGTGTTTAGGCAGTTGGTTCGTGGAGTCTTCATGATCCGCCACTCGGGAATTGCCCTTAGAGCTTTTTGTTGTATTGAGAGGTGTAACAGACGTGGGATCTTTTGCAGAATTTACGGTAGATTTTCTTTCTCCTCCTGAAGATCCAAAATCTAGTACTCCGTTTGAATTCGCACGAACGTCACACGAGAGTTGAGTCAAGCCGTCGTTCAAGTGCTCACCATCATCTGCATTACTCTTCCGCCAGTAGGACAAATCCCTCACAGCAGCCGACGAGGCTGTCGTGTATACATCTGGAAATGTCCCAGACGATTCTCTCGAAGGCGGCTGTCTATAAGCAGATTGGGCCAAAGCTTCGTAAAGGTTCAGGTATTCAGACAAAGTGAGGAACGCATTCAAGATGCGAACGCCAAACGGAAGAGCACATTCTAGAGAAAAAGATAACCTCAGCATCAAATGAAAAACATTCCCACCACTTACTCAAGAAGTAGTTAACAACGGTCCCTGAGCTAATTGTCAAAACAAAAGCAAAGTAAGCAGAAAAATAAAATGCCTTGTGGGGCTGTTCTGACGCCTTTTTTTGGCTCTAAGCATATTGGTACAAAATGAAGCTTACCAGTTTTAACAGGCCTCGAAGGATGCTGTACCAAAAAAAGTAATTATAACAAATTATGATATAAATATATTCATTACACAAAATAAATATATCATTGACTGTAAATTACACAATGAAAGAATGAAAGGAAAAAATTTTATTATAATGAATAAAAGTGCACAAAAAAAGATTTAAATAAATTAAGCTATGGCAAAGGAAGTCAAAACCGTATGATGTTTGGGAAAGTAATAAACATTAGGGCAAAGTGTTACGTTTCTCCTTCTTCGTTTCGTTTTTTTTCGATTGGGAAGATATCTGAGAAAACGTCCAAAACCTTCAGTGGAGACCTCTCAAAAATGCGCCGCTGTGTGTCTTATTTAAAACTATGTTTCCAGTGTTTGAAGATGCTCGTACTCAATTACTTACATGACTTTGATAAGGTTTAAGAAGAAGAAGCCTCTCTGTTATGGATGGCTCCAACTGAGTGCACAATATCCTGAAAAAATACATAAGAACAAAACAATACTTGAACAGATTTCCCAACTGAGACACAATTCTTCTAAACTGGGATTTATAACAATCAATTATTACTTTATACATTATTACAAGAAATTTTCGTGTGACATCTATTCGAAGGCCACCTGTGATAAGATATTCATTGTTCAATGCCAGACTACAAGTTCTGACCTAAATGCTATGTAGACAACACCAAAGGATCATTTACAGTGGGGAATCCAAATTGATAGCTATTGTGCCAAATGGCTTTGTACTGTTTGATAATGCTGTTGATGATGTACTTCTTGCTAATAAGACGTTTGAATATTTTGAGTGCTTACTTATTTCGGTAGAGAATACACCCTCCAAGAACATGTTGTCTGCGCTGGCATGCCTGGAGAAAGTATGATGCCTTTGTAAAACAAGTTGCTGCAACTCTCTGTCAACAAAAGAAGTCAGTTTAACAAATAAATAATGATGTGTGGGTTTTTAAACTATGAATGAAAGGATTTTCTTAGTATAAATGACTATGGAGTGACACAGGGTCTGGGATGGACTTTGGAAAAAATATGGGCCTTGAAAACAGTAGATAGCTCAGGAAAAAATAGATGGGCAACAAGAAATGCAATATGATAGGATGGGATGACACTGGATGACACTGGATGAGCACAGAAATAACATGACTGAGTGAGATAAAATGGGTAGGTATGGCTGAAATGGGATGGGAGACTACATGAGACTGGATGAGAAAAGATGAGAGGAGATCGAATACAAGGGAGAATATAGGATGGGATGAGATGGGATGGGTGGAGAGAAAGGAGATGGAACAAAATAGGACGGGATGGTATGCATAGCGACTGCATGGCAGATGATTAAATGAGATAGGATGGGATGGAAAGGATGGAGAAAGGATGAGAGAGGATTGATATGATATGGAAAGAGAGATGTATAGGCAAAAAAATGAGATTGAATGAGAGAAAAAAATGAGATGAGGAGGAATAGAAATGAATGGGAAAGGATGGATTAAGATGAAATAGAAGTAGATAGAATGGGATTGGTTGAAACAGAATGGGATGAAAGAGGATGAAATGCAGTGAGGTGAAAATATGATTAGGTGGGATAAGATAACAAATTGTGAACACTAAATTTGTGTTGAAGAAAAATTCCATGACCCTAGAAAGTGACTTAAAGACTTTCATCTGGGCTGCTAACCATAGCACACACTGGGGTGTTAACACTTTTCCGGAGCTTAAATTAAGCATTTTAAAATGATACTGTTACTTCCAAAATACACCAATGAAAGCCCAATAAAGCTTGATAACACATACTTTGGGCAGATCAACAAATGGTAAAGGATCAAACACTCCTGGTAGGAAATCACCATAATGACGCACAAAATGTAAATAACAGTCCCAGATCATATTCATCCAAGAAAGGAACATCTTTTGACTTTCACACATCTGCAAAAAGTCAAAAAATTACATCAATTCATTACAAATAATGAAATTGCAGACATGAAGATAAAATTAGTTCTGCCATGTTGACCCTATAATATGATAGTAATTTACACCATATATGAAGTAAGGTCCACCTAAGATCAAGCACTTTTTATACACAGTGTACTGGTATATTCAGTCTCACATACCATTTCACTGGCTTTGGTCTATAAATATCTATCAATAAGAAGCATTTTTTTTTACCAAGTACCATGAGACATTCCTTGTATGTTGGTGTTTAGTTGTTTGAGTAAGCGAAAAATTAATCGCTTGAGAGAACTCTTGGAGAGCAAGATTTGCCGATAAACACTCAAGACACAAATGGCTCCTTTAGGAGCCACCACTCAATGAAAAAGTCGATGAACTACAGCAACACGTTCTCAGTTTCTTTTATATTTATCTCTTGGCATCTAAAGAAGTTTTATGAATATGAATTAGGTTTTTGAGAACTCCAAACACAGATGTATCCATGGATAAGCTGCACCCTTGATTTTTGGCTTCAATTTTGTGAAAAAAAGTGCAGTTTATACATGGACGTTTATGGTATTGATCCCTCCTTTATTCCATTCCTCTCCTTCTTCCTTCATTCAGTTCCTCTGTCACTCACCCATTTAATCACTGGGATAAATTTACATAATACATGTGCAGCAAATTGATAAATCAATGATTGAGCAATTGAATGAGTCATCATATTATTCTTACAATTTTCATTTCAAATTTGTCCTCCCAACAAAAATTCCTCAACACAACTTGGATATGACCTTATAGTCACTGATTATGGTTAATTTACACTAAAACAGTTCATTCAAATGGAGTATCACAACATCAATATTAAAGTAATAACAAAAACCACACACAACAAACCCTCAAACATCAGAAAAGACATGTAAACAAGTCACAGTTGCCTTTATGGAAGCTTTGCATCTGAGTGGTTGAATTGATGGTGTAAGTTCTTTAGACTCTTTGGACCAATCATGGAATACAGAAAATATAATCACTGCAATAGTAGATTAATTTCAACACTCAGTTGAAAATTACCCTTCACTATAACTAAAATTCATATTTTGTAGTTTTCAACTGACCATTCTGATCCGCTCCAGTGAGCCATGGTAGAAGTTGAAGGTACTGTGAAGTGTCTGTAGTCGGGTTATCAATAGTGAGTCAGGCTCACTGAGGCTCCCTCCAAGTGCCTAGAAAAAAATGTGTGTACACTGAACCAAAGAATAGAACAAAAATTTCTACATAGCACTAAAAGGTGTGCATAGTAACTACGTGTTTATAAGGGTGAAAGGGTGACATTTTTACACAAATTGCTAGAAAACAAAGTTTGTTTCATTTCCCTTTCAGTTTCTATACACTTTGGATCAGCTTCACTCTTGATTGCTTATAGTTTGTTTGATCAGTGTGATTTAGCTTGTAGATATGTAAGGTCTGGGATAGGGTACAGAAACCAAAGTAGATTAGTTTAGACTGAATTTAAAGAGAAACTCATAGTTTTTGAAGAATTTACTGACAATGGACTAAAAATTTAACTTTAAAATCTTAATTCCCTGCTTACAAGGGCTACCTAGCATATGATAAATAGTGATAAAGTTTCTAGGAAATCAAAAAAGGGGTTGTGAAGTGATTTGCTAGCACCAAGTCTGGAGGAAGGTAAACACAACATATATCTGAAAAATGGTCTGGGATAGGCTTGTACGCCAACCAGTCAACGACTCTAGCCAAATCAATATTCCATTCATATTACAGGCATAAAAAAACCACATTGGTTACCTATGTTACTGAATACATAGATCTAGAACAAACATTGTTGTACAACGCTATGCAAGTACATTGAGTTAAACATCAATAAAGATTCTCTGCGATTATTACCAAGGTGTATTGGCCAGAATGAACCGTTGCCACTTTCTCTGACTGCAGTTTACAAAGGGCTGGTCTGGCATTAAGAAAACCATGAACAAATTGTGACATTCCAACAAGTTGTCCACATACTGAGACTCGATCTTCAATAGATGCCTTTCAAAGGAAAATAAATCATCTTAGGAGCAAAGCTAACCATCACAGTTCTTTTTAACTAGTTTTCTGGCAGTCAATTTTAAGAAAATTACCTGTAAAGAGGTAAGGTAAGATCCCAATGCCCATCTACACCCCCAGGTGGGGAGAGGGACAATGCCACTAAATTTGAGAACAAAACTCACAGCTTTTAATCTAGAGGGCCAATGTAGGAACATTATGCCACTGCATAACGTGTTCTCTAACTTATTTGTTGGATGCAGGAACATTATGCGACTGCATAACGTGTTCTCTGATTTATTATAATTTAAAAAATAATAAATAACGAAAATATGACATAGGTAATTGACACAAAGCTAAGCTCAAGTCCCGAACAGCTTGAAAGGAAGAAGCAGTAAGAGAAAAATAAGTACAATAACAAGCTGGTTGTCGGACTTTAATGAAGAATAACTGATGTTAGCATGTTTAAACTTAAATACTCCCTTTCTAGTGTGGGCTGCGGATGTATTTGGAACCGTGGCTCAATCTGAGACAAGTCTTGAACTTACATCAGAACATACGGTGTCTTAGGTCAAAACTAAAGCAGAATCCAAAAACATTACCGATGGAGGATAGAAGTAGACGATTGCATTTTCTGGTGGATCGGCTTCCTTTTTCACGGCATCTCGATCGTAAACAAAGAATATGAGGCCCTCAAAACTGCAATTTAAATTAGTTTTTCTGTTGTTTTCAAATCAGTGAATTACAACTAATCTAAGTAAATTCACATACAATACCTTGTTGCACGTACAGGGGTGATTAGAGCCGTCATACAGTTACCGGTTTTCACTAAAGTAAATCAGTATACGAATCGCTTTCCTGGAAAAAACGGAAGAAAGACGAAGAAACCGCTGTAGCGTGATGATCAAGGAGCGGCAAAGCATGTCTGTCACGAGACCCTTAGTAACCGCCCTCGATTCACTTGGGGGGTCACGTGTCACACACCCTTGGCACAACCAAGAGCGTTTCGTTATTAATTTTTTTGTTTTGTTTTTTTTCACTTTGGCAATTGAAAACTTATGTAAAGAGAAATTTTTCCACAATCTTCCATAAATCAATGATTAAAAGAATTCTGATGTCCACCCTGTAACAAAGAGGTACACAGTTTTTATCTCATGGAGGCGCGAAAACGTTCTGAAAGAATGTGTAGACAAATCAACAGTAAAATTTAACACTTTAAGTCACTGAGAGAAAAGGTGGTCAAACTTATGAAAGAATTTTTCACGTTTTTTGGGGGGTTAAGTTAGGACGTTCTATTTGTGTTAAAAATCACTTTTTAAAGTATATCTTAAAATCTGACTTAGCCATGTCAGCGACTTATATTTCTTCATAGTTTCTTTGGTAGTTGGCAGTGTACTTCACATCTCCCGAAAATTTGAAAATCAACTCTGTACAGTCGAAACCGAGATAAACTGAGAGGTAGATCTCTGTGCAGTATTTATTTATAAAACCTTGAATATTGGACATAATTTGACGCTATTTGCATAAAAATTGCAAAATATGTAGCCAGGGGATCTAGCGACTCGACCTACATTTTTTTTTTTGAGTGGATACCAGAAATGTAACCTTTACCTGACATAAGGTCAATTCAATCTCAAATCAAAACTCAAAATACACCTAACTACTATCTTGCCAATTTAAAGTTACTATTCCATGAAAACTTAAAGAGGAGAGTTATAATTTATTTTTTCTCTAACCATTGCGGAACAGAGAGGTGCCGCTAGCTGTTAACTCTTTCAAAATTGGAAGAAGTCGTCGCCTGTTACTCGTAAAGAAGCTCATGAATACTTCAATTACAGGATAAAACTGCTATTTTTATGAAAGTAAATAGCTTTGCTATCAGCTGTCAAATGTAAAAGGGTCAAATTAATGTAAAGAAAAGGAAAAATCAATAGCTGTTTGGGAAAAAAAATAATTCAATTACTACAAACACTTGAGCTGCTTTTAGCAGGATATTAAATACATCATCTCATTTGATTTAAGCAAAAGGAATTGCTTTCAGATAAAGGGACTTAAATCTTGTAGAAATCAATTCAGAAATTCATAATTATTATTCATTTTACATATACAGTTTTATTTTGCTTCTCTCAGTCAAATTGTGGAATAATGTGACAGTCTGAGAAGTGTCCTTATGTATTCAACCCTCTTCACTTTGATCTTCCCCGGAGTACTTATCTTGACATGCAAGAAAACTTCGTCAGCATGTTTTTAACAATCTCTCTTACTTCTGTGACCCTCCAGCAATATACGATGGGATTCAGTGAAGAGTTGAAGTAAACAAGAGTGATGGAAAAGAACTTTCCAATAATTGACGTAGAGTTAGCGTTCATATCGGAAGAAAGGCTTAAGCGCAAATTAAGAACTGTAAAAGGTGTATAGCACGCCACCAAAACCACGTGAACCCACAATACGGCTGAAACTGACTTCTTAAACTTCACCATGCTCATTCGAAAAGTTCTGTTCTGTTGAACCCAGGGAAGATTGCCTCGCACCTGTACTCGCACATGTGGTTTTCTGAGCATCCAGTAAATTTTTAGGTAACAAAATGTTGAGGTGGCTAAACACAGCAATACACATACCCAGCAGATGACAACGAAAACACGAGCATTCCACAAAGGCAGAAAGCTGTTCATTATATTTTGAACACATGAAATTAAGAGGAAAATTTGGACGCGTTTGATAGTCACGACTTGTCTGTATCTTAAACGCAGTGTAAGCGCGAGAAGGCGGTCCACACTGATTGCTGTTAGGACACTCAAAGACACACCGCATAAAATGACACCAAAAACGTACCCTGCAATTCCTGTCAAGTAGCAGAGTTTCCAGTTTTCGACAGCTTTTGATGAATAATGGGTTACACTGATGGGTATGACTACAATCCCTACCATGAGGTCGGTGAATGCGAGGACTCAATAGAGGAGTTTAGTTGGCGGGTGGAAAGAAGATTCTTTCTTTAACGCAACTAGGATGATCATGTTTCCCACGAAAGCAGAAAGAGCAAGAAGAAGGTGAGCGCCGGCAAAGCTGTATTGCACCAGTGACCAAGAGGGAGTCCCATAGAAAAATCGCGAGCAAAACATCGCTTGAATAAAACTTTCCTCTTTCGCACTTTCACTGAAATTTTTCATCGTTAGATTACTGTAATTTAAGCTTAAACTGATTGACAGGTGTAGAACTTCCAAAGACTTTTTATGCCAAACCTACAGATTCCGCTTGACTCGAACTTAATTTACTTAGTTTGAACTGTTAGCGACGGCCTCAGTATAACAGTGCTGGGATATAAACTATCTATAAAATGTCTCGAAATAATTTTGAGGGTAGTTAAACGGACACCTGTTCTAAGAGGACTTCAACAAAAATTTGATCCTAATACTCTATTGTTGCAGCGGTACGTTTATTTTGTAGTAGAATAGGACGTTATTAGTTCAGTTTAAGTCCAGTAATGGTTACACACTGCACGAAACCTGAACATCGTTTAAGTTATTCATCGAGAGAAAAAAACATAAAAATTTTCAAATCCAATAAAGCAGCTGCAATCTTACAATGGCATAACAATGGCATAGAATTGGTCGGGAAATGAAATGCTGATTTCAATTTAAACCTTTCAGTACCTTTCAGCTTAAGCAATGGGTTTCAATTTCCAATTACTGAAAAGGAGTTAAAAACTAATAAACCGACGAATTGCATGACAAAAAGAAATCACTGGGAAGACCGTCACTTGCCCATCAGAGAAATCAAGGTTACAAAGCCATATTTATCTGTGTGTAAAAAAAGAAATTGAAATGAAGTGTCATCCTTTTGGCCAACGAATCTCGAATTGAAATGTGAAGGGCTAACAATTATATTTTTAATTCAAATCTATTCTAACCCAGGATAAAACTAATTTATCCTGTTGGGGCCCTCAGTCAATTTGTCTTCAAACATTCTTATGATTTGATTTATCAAGACAACGTTTCATCATTAGTTCCTTTTCATAGCAGTTGGTGTTAACATATTAGTAGACTTACTATTTCAGTTATATACCGAAAGTTTTATTACGTGTAATACCTTCCAGTTATTGACTTTAAATATTTTATATGTATACAATGGATCCAAACGCGCAATACAGCGACAATGATCGTGGGACAAAAAAAATATTTACATCGGCACAGAGATATTTTTCCAAATGTGTGGATTTTTCCCCCATACCTCCTTGCGGTAGTGCTCCGATTATGCAGCCTTAAGATTTTCCTGCCTTACCTAAAAAAAAAATATATAGCATCACATACTCCCTCATTCTAATCAAAATGGGGATGTAACTTAGAGAACAGATTCATATTTCCTTCCAGATGTGGCTTGAAATTGAGTTTTCCTCCGAGTACTACTGATTTTGAAAACGAATCATCTGAACGGAAGAAGTTCTCCTGAGAAAGTTTCGATTCGTTTATGACGGGGAAGGAGGTAGATAGGAGCTCTTTGTCGTTTTATGGAGACAAATAAAAAGTAATTACGATGTTGTTTTTCAGAGAATAACACAAAACGCTGATGGATTTGTATGGCGTAGGTGGGACACAACACTGTTACGTATTAGTGAGGCAGTGGTCACCAAAGTATCATAACTCTGGCCGAGATTAAAATTACAAGTACAAGTTCAGTTGCCGCACCATTCGTACGTCTTTCGTGTTGGCTTTGTGAAGTTACTCCGGCACTCGTTGTTTATCATATATATAGCAAGAGATTGTAAAAAAATTATAATATCTTGCATATAGACGCTCCATGCTCTAAAAGAGCTTTGGCACATTTTACCTGAAAAAAATAGAAGTTTCTCATGTTCGTGTTAGAGCGGATGTGGACATGTTTTTAATATTAAAAAATTTTTCATTGTCCGAAAATCCATATCCTAAACTTTGTTTATACTACTTCCTCGATTAACGGAAATACAAAAAGGGCAAAACTTGTCTGTGGAAAAGAAGTCCTCGTATTTAAAATGAAGTGGTACGATAAGGAAATTAAAATGAAGTTAGTTGATATCTAAACAATAAGAAAAAGCAAGAATATTCTAACCAGTCACATGACATGTTTGCCTGAACCACGAAACACGTGCACTATCTGAAGCAGTATATAATTGCAGTAGTGACCATATAGATGACTCACACATCACATTGGAGGACCACAAGGTGAGTTTGCGTCTGTTCCTCCTTGGTAAATAGAATAATCCACATTTAGAGAATGTTTTGCTCTTTCCTGTTCTGGTTTGATCACTCTACTCTGTGGGTGATTTAACTTATTTTCATCACGCCTGCCAAGCAGATTCGAAGCTTTGTGTTTCAAATATCACTGAGAAAAGGGGTTGAAAGTTTACGCACTTTCTGGTTAAGCGGCGAATTCAGGTTCATTCTGTTAACTTTCTCGGCTGAAATTTCAGGTTTACAACAGAGAATGTTTGGTTTTTTTAACCTTTATATGACAATTCTAGGAAAAAGATAATATCTGATAATGTTTAATATTGTATGTACCAGCGGTTCAGTCTGTAATTAAGGGTAATGTGGTGTGATTATTTCCTGTAAAAAGTCTCTACAATTAATATTCTGAGATTTATCCGCTGGGGTGGAAAGAGTAAAGTCTTCAACTTGAATTGTGTCCGAAAATAAATTGATATAATAAACCAGCAACTGCAAGCATACAGGCGTGCAATGTAATTATGTTTACACGTGCAACAAATGTTATATAAAAACAAGCAAAAATTAGGATGTGGCGTACTTTTGTACTTTATCAAGTTATGACTGATGATAAAAAACATTTCAAGTGGAGTTTTCCAAAGTAAAAAGTTTCTCATAGTTTTAACCACTATTCTTTTCCATTTTCATACAGTTTCTCAGTTACTCAAAAAAAAGCTCCGCACGCAAATCAGCAAAATTGTAATAATACCCAGTCCCTCAAACGTTTGTATCAGTAGGCGCTGAAAAGCCAACATTTGTAGCCATGATTTAGTAAGAAGAAAAATGAAACAAGTAAGCAGAATCTTCCAGCCAGTGTTTTTTCATGTCGTGCTCAACGTGGACAGATCAGCTCAAAGTAGTATAAAAATTCCCACTAAACCTAACGCTTTAATTCAATCATAATTTGTACATATTTACATCCTCTACACCTGTAGAAAATATAATTTTTCAAATCCTATTTCGACTCTACAAATGTCTGCTCATGACTCTCTGTTATCCAAAAGATAAAAGCGCCCCTCCCATTGTCAGTATAGAACTAAGCTCTTTTTTTGTTCGCCACGTATGCAACTTAATTTATCACCAGATTATACATCGAGTTTCCTTTAGTACCAATGATTCTGACAATCAAGTTAAGTAGTTTAGTGCCTGTAATACTAATTGGTAACTGAATTGCTCCTCGGAGTTCACCTTAATGAATAGTTACGCCTATTACAATTAACTTCAATAATGTTGGTTTAACTTGAACAAAAAGCTGGACGACTTAAATGGTTTCTCCTTAAATCAATATTGAAAAAAAATTCAATTGAGGATAATTTTTTAAAGCTATAATGACCAAGGCTTTATGCGGAACACTTAGGCGCGACATAATATTTCATATCTTAAATCTTGCTTTGTTTTCGCAAGGCTATGTATAACATGATTCAGTAATTATCTTATGGGCTATCTTACTGTAAGAGGGTATTTTTAGCTTTTGTTTGATTTCAACATGGATTGTAATAACAGCACGAGTCTAAATGACGAGGGGGAAGTTCCAGCAAAAGCTGTTAGGAAGGTTAAGAGCTTCGAGTCGAACGAGGTAGAAATGTTTTCGAAGTGGTCCAACATAATGGATAATAGTGCTCATTATTGAAGCCTCTCCGTCTGTCATACCTCAAGAATAAGGTTTAGATCGCTTTTGAAGTTTTATCCATGAAACAATATCACTATTTAATTTCACTGATACCTATATCACAAAATCCTTGCAAGTTTTATTATTAATATATTGTCTCGATGGCTTAGTTGGAGAAGCCCGTGCTTCAAATTGCCATTCGTTAACAAGCAAAGGCTGTAGCTAAAGGAGGGTTGGGTAGGCTTCAGTGCATTTGACCCCCTTTTTAACGGAAAAGGATGATGACGTATAATATGAGAACAACCTGGCAAGACCGACGCTGGTGTCGGATTTCCGCCCCCCCTTCCCCCCCCCCACTCCGCTCCCCCGTCGCCCGCCCCCTTTTTACCCACTCACCGTCAAGTGTTACTTTTATTCAATTCAGGCTTTTTGTATTGATCGTTTGATGAAAATTTAACTCCACTTGCTTGTGCAAGTTTAAGCTATAGAAGTGTTTGCCTTGGTAAGGAACTCCTTCCAGAGTCAGGTAAGGCGAGATGATGGAGTCACAAAATCAGTTACTTTTCATAGGCTATGCACCAAACTTGAATGATTTTGAAGTTTCCACATCAGAAGAACCAGCTAAATACATCAAACGAGAACATATGGAAGAGGATGATAGATATTTTTATCTAATTTTAAATCATTAACTGCCATAAATATCGTGAGTAAAAAGAAGACCCTGTGTCGAACTGCGCTCAAAAGTGCTTCATTCAAAGAAATCCTCTGTACCTCAAAGCCTTTTAACAACACTTATGCCTTTACTTGATTAGTTATTTCTTAGTTTGTATACCGACACTCAGCAGGCTTTTACGATTGTGATTCACAGTATGTGGTTTCAAAAGCTTTTAAAATGAGTACGCCGTAATATGTCGTAACGCATGGCAAATAAAGTTTGAATCAAAGTTGAACAATAACGTTTGGAGACTAGTTTTGATATGTTCTCTGTTTCACCAAACAGAATGAATACCAAAACGTCCGTTATCCTCATTTTCGCCGCGGCCTTGGTAACCACGATCTCTTCAGCCAGCGGAGGTTTAGAAGAGGACATGCCCTACAAAAGCCTTCTTCGTGAGCTATGGAGGAAAGAAAGTGACATGAAGGAAACTTTTGATGAGGTAACTCAGGAGAGGTTTTTCGGATACTTGCTGTGATTCTAGCTCACACTTGCAAACTCTTCTTATAATCACTTCTCCTAAATTCTTGTTTATTTCTATAGGCCACTAGCATGAAGTCGAAGAGAACCGAAGACTGCGACTTAATCAATCAACCATGCTCTGTTGCAGTGGATTGTGAGATTTCCACCTGCGAAGGCGAACCCCTTCAATGTTATTATGGTGAATGTGGAAGACAAGAAAGCTATTCATACAAGCGATAATTAAGGCTTGTTGCTGGATCATTTGTTCAGTTATTGGTTACAGTTGTCTTGTAGTAAATGTTAAACTTTGCCTCCTTTGATTTTCAAGTAAACGATGAATGCACAGCAAAATAGCCGAGTGCTAAAATCGATTGCGTTCAAAACATTCCCCATTCTCTTTGCCGTCATTCCCTTCTTATCCTCTTAGCGATGAAACACTGCTATAACACGGTTGTGCCGATTATCAAGGAGTGTATCGTAGTTATCTCACTCTTAGATCTCGTAGTTCAAGCCGATCAACAATCCTACAACTCTGCGCACTGGTGATAAAATGAATTAAAACCTTTTAAAAATCTGTAATTTTTAAGAGTTCTCTCCCAAACAGGAATTATCACGGACCTTCAGGTCTTCAGTCACAAATTGAGCCATCTCTCTAGTTTTTAAAACAAATCGGAATGAAAAAAGGAAAGGACATCGTGAAGACAAGTGTTACCTTTCATGTTTCTTTTTGTACGTAAAAAGAGACAGTAATTCAACCAACCTTTAATGTCCACTCGGTAATAGTAGTGTTTGTTACTGAAACAACAAAACAGAATTGAGCCTGCGAATTTATCTCCGAGTGAGCCTCTGCAATTTACTTCTCTAGTGATATATACAGCAGCGAAAAAGAAATGAAGTTTCACGACTTGAATCAACACAAACTGCTTCCGAAAAATTGACTGAATAGACTAAAATCATGTGCCGAGAGCCGGGAATGTTCAGAGTACAAATAAGCTTTCCTGCATTGAACCAGGGGACTTTCAGATTTTCAGTCTGAATCTCTCCCAGCTGAGCCATCTTGGCAAATGATGAGTAAGGTTGTTACTTTTTTTTTTAAGATTATTTTTGCGGAATACACCTAGACGAAATATCGAATTTAGAGTAAAATAACCAAGTCAAAATACTTACCTGGTTTACCCAAAGCCTTTGTGAACATTTCTTTAACTTGCTTGTTATTATATTATGAATTGACAATCACAAAGGAGGGAAACTCTTTGAAAATTCAAACCACAACTGGAAAAATTTAACAAGAGATTAAAGCAAAACACAAATGAAATCTTTTTAAAAAGGGAAATGCCGAGACCCGGGACTGTTCAGGGCTCATATGCGCCCTCCGAATTTGAACCAGGGACCTTCAGATAATCAGTCTAATCAGCTCTCCCAACTGAGCTATCTCGGCACCAAGCGTCCAATTGAAGCTTGGTCAAGAAATTTCTATCAATTGAAAAGGGATCTAAACAACTGGACACGTTTTTGAGATCTTGTGGAAATTCATTTGGTCACCTGACTCTGTAAATGCAAAATGGATGACCCTGGATGTGTATCACTGAGCCTCAGTGTAAAGCAAACTAAACGCAAACTAAATTAAAAGGGAAAATTCATTTTCTCGTCGCCTGGCCTTCCTCTTAAAAGCTTGAAGGGAAAACGCGCATTTCTCTCTCCCAACTGAGCTATCTCGGCACCAAGCGTCCAATTGAAGCTTGGTCAAGAAATTTCTATCAATTGAAAAGGGATCTAAACAACTGGACACGTTTTTGAGATCTTGTGGAAATTCATTTGGTCACCTGACTCTGTAAATGCAAAATGGATGACCCTGGATGTGTATCACTGAGCCTCAGTGTAACGTAAACTAAACGCAAACTAAATTAAAAGGGAAAATTCATTTTCTCGTCGCCTGGCCTTCCTCTTAAAAAAGCTTGAAGGAAAACGCGCATTTCTCTCTCCCAACTGAGCTATCTCGGCACCAAGCGTCCAATTGAAGCTTGGTCAAGAAATTTCTATCAATTGAAAAGGGATCTAAACAACTGGACACGTTTTTGAGATCTTGTGGAAATTCATTTGGTCACCTGACTCTGTAAATGCAAAATGGATGACCCTGGATGTGTATCACTGAGCCTCAGTGTAACGTAAACTAAACGCAAACTAAATTAAAAGGGAAAATTCATTTTCTCGTCGCCTGGCCTTCCTGTTAAAAGCTTGAAGGGAAAACGCGCATTTCTTCAATTTAACGTCAGCGAAACTTTGAATTCGCTCGATTACCGTGAGATAATGGACTCAGTAAGTGAAGTAGGATGTTTGATCCCCAAGTTACTTCTCCTTAATATTTGAGTGCGAAAAGGATTGTACCGCACAGCATCATCATGGCCAATATTTGAGTTTTTATTTTTGAATAAGTTTTCTGTATAATTTTAAGTTTTCTGATAAATCTTCTTCGAAAGAAAACCATTGCGCACCCAGAAAAACACTTGTGGTTCCTCTCTTTTCAATCGTGCTCAAATACTCTCAAATCAGACACTGTCTCTTTATTTAGGGAGTGAACTTAGCAAAGTTGGTGGCCGGGAAAAAGTTGTTTTTTTCTTTAGCAAACAAAGCTGCCTATTGTGTCTTCAACATAAGTGCAAAATTAAGGACTGGTTTCCGCCCATCTTCGATAAAACGAAGAGCTTCAACTTTAAGACAACTATGATTAGAAAAATGAATATGGTCTTTGGATGGATTAATTTCGTTAATTCCAAGCTAGGTTTATGCCTTAAAACAACACAATGGAAAAATTAGCGCACAGCCGTGTAATGCGGTAAATCGCTTTATCACTCCATAGTTTCTGAAGCGTAGTTGCTTCATGTTTTTTTTTAAAGTTGGCCTCTCGCTAATTGCTTCATTTTTAACTCAAAATAATGTGCACGTAGGCCGAATCTTTGAGAGCAAATAGCTTTTATCCCATCAAAGAGTAACCCTGTAGAGAGGTGTTCCTTAATCGCAGTTTGCTTAGATTAATTAAACCTATTTAGTAATTGACTGCACGTGTCCATAAAAGCTTAAGACTTTCTTCAGGAAATGGCAAAATTCCTAAATGGTATTTACATATGAATCAAGCCAGACTACCTTTGTAGATGTTAGAGCACTTTCAAAAAGCGCAAGTTGGACCATGAAAAACCTCCCAAAAACTAAATACCGCCCACAAAATTTACATGCACTCGATCTGCTTTCGAGATATGAAAAATCTGAATGGTGAATCTTTTCAAATCCAAGAACCAATTTGGCGCAAAGCCACTTGGCGTTGCTTTCTGAGTAAACACTTTCTTCTCGAGATGAAGAGCAGGATAAAAGATACATTAGTCGTTTTGTGGTGGGAGCGAAGGCGTAAATGTGTTTGCTAACATGGAACATGCTCTTCCGCAATGTCAATTTATCAAAATAACTACGGAGCCGAAACAATTCAAACTCCCTCAAAAAAGACTTTCGCAGTTTCCCCTTACGAAAATCAATTTTGAATTATTGTATTCTTAAAATTTGGATTTGTTCAACCAAACTTTATCAGCCAGTCCATGATTGGGAAATAAGCGGCTTACGTATTGGCATAAAGGCGACGGGCGGAAAATAATACCTTGCTTGCTTAAGTTATTTCGAAACCATTAAGAAATTAAGTAATCATGAGCTTGATGAGCTCAGAAAAGTTTCGTGAAAGGCCAAAATTGGGACCATTACTAAGTGGGTCAAAACTATAATGGAGTGAAAATCTACAAGATTGTTTTATTGATGGAATTATCGAGAAAGATAAGGGGCTGCAAGGCGCCGGATCTACCTGCGAAGATTTATTATGGTGCAAACAATTGAAATAACACTTTAAAACCAAAACAGGGAGATCCAAATAAACGGTGTTTTCTTATTAAAGATACAGTTGTCTCTTGGGTGGTCGATTGTTTCAGGTTAGATAACCCAAGAGGAGGAAATGTATAAAGCAAGCCAATAACGCGGGAACGCGTCTCATGTATTGAAGAGGATAATGAACAAACAAAACTTCTAGCGCCACTTAAACTAGCGAATCCATTTTGTTTCCTTTTGTTTCGCGCTTACTTTTAAGCGTAGTGAAATTAGATCCGACCAAAAACCAGCTGCCACATTAGCGAGGCTCCCGAGCTAACTTGCGCAAATTACTTTTCAAATTACCATCCAAAGAATCTGCAAATGCACATTGCTGAAACAGAGCGCTTTTGACCAACAACCTACCGGTGTGTTGATAGCGAACGTGTGTGCACTTCTGTCCATGACGAAGCTTCATTTTGTCGGTTTTTCGACGGAATCCACCGTCGGGTCAGTTTGCAAACACATATGGCGTGAAACCTCAAAGGAAAAATAACCGTCTAGATTCTTTTTAATGGACCGGATTTGTTTTACAGTTGTGGTTTTTATCACTGAAATTACTTTAAGCGATTTATAGAACGGCAATTAATGAGTTTTGCTAGGCAGACCACACATTTTGATCGACTCATACTTGTTTAATGGCCTTAGGGACAATTTGATTAATCTTATTCACTTTAAAGAAAACGAAATCATGCTAATGGACAGTATGAGTGTATGCTTCGATGCTTGGGTCCGTGGATTGTCGAAGCGGAAAGCTAACCGTAGACTCACAAGTGCCAATTGACTGACAATTACTTAATGTTCCTTAGATAAATACATCGAAGCGGCACTATTTGATATGTGAATGAGTCTATCCACAATACATAAATATGAAATAAGTAACCGCCAACTCACTGTTCTTATAAAAGGCTTCCATTGTGTTGAGTAACAAAATCAATTTGTTTGTGTCAAACTTGAAATCAGGAGTGAATTGGTCCATCTTATTATATTTAAATCGATCCTTATAGCTTTTGTCTTCAGCCCAAAACACTGCACCACTTTCATACTATTGTTTTCCCCGCCGAAAAAAAGCCAAATTACTTGTACATATTTAATGGCGTTTAACAATAGCTAATGGTTTTCGGCCATTTATCCGGACTGCTAAAACCATTTGTCAATTTCCCTTTTATCTTCCCTAGGCGGAGAATACACGCGCCGACAAAGGAAATGACTTATCTTGACTTTTCTGTATTTTGTGTTTTAATAGTTAATTGAATTCCACCTTCGATTATCTTAAGATAATGATTACTAATTGACACCCTTTCGAGTAATGATATAAACTAATTGTGTAATGATCACCGTTAATTTAGCTGCCCAAGGAGGGACTGATACAAGGGAATTAGCTCTCGTACATTTGTGCACTCAGTTGTATCACTTTAACGACGTTTGCTTTGAGCTTTTCTGGTTGACGCCTGCTTGTAAAGCTTTTGGTATCAACTTAATAAGCTCTGAATGCGTATTCAAACAAGAGAAGCCCTGCAACTGTCAATCAGCTAATCGACGTACTGTAGCCGTAACAAAGAACACAAATAAGTTAGCCATCTGCTTCGAAGACATTTCAAGCGATCCGCACATCTGCGAAGGCAGAAGCACTCACCTAAAGGAAACACCAACATCATGTTTTACCAAGATCCTTTCCTGCTCTACCAACAACCGCCATTTTGTCACGGTAGTTCGAGTGCAAGAAATGCGCCAAGCCGTTCTTCTTTCAGGATCGACGACATTTTGGTCCCACGTCAACCTTTCCTTGTCCCTAAACAGCCAAGTTTTCAGGAGCCTAGATCTTCTGTTCCAAACAACAACCCGTTAAAATTTGGTATGCACTCGATTCTCACACAGAGGCAGCGAGAGGAAGTTCCAATGTTTCAAGGTGGGTTGACTAACTTTATGCCCCATTTTGCACACTAAAACTACTCTGCGAACCCACCTACCTCAAAATCCCACCGTTCAACCTCCAACATTGCAGTTTTATATTCAGGCACGATAATGTGCTAACTGATCAATGCTATGCACGGTTGGCTCGACGGAGTCAAAGAATACTCCATTTTCTTCGTGAGCTACAAAGCTATCAAATGTGTTTGCTAATTAAGCATTCTGTACTGTTTTTGTCACACGGAACTTCTCTCAATGTCCTTCTTGTCAAAAGTTAAAATTAGCTGAACTACGCCTGAAACAACCTTTCTTTTGTTGTAAAAGATTGGTAACTCATTTGTTTGTCCTTATTAAATGGCGTTTTAGAATGAATTGTATCCCTGGTGAAAAATTAAATCAGAATTGGCGGGAAACAATTCTTATTGGTGTCAGTGAGAGAGACATTTTCAGATTGTCAGCTGCGATTTCGAAAGAAAGGTTTTAAATTGACAAAACAGAAAGCTATCCTGTAAATGTAATCGTAGGAATTTGAACAGAGCTCAAAGAGTTTGGGAACTTACTTCAATTATCCAGTGGACGTGTGTTTCTGGAAAAGAAACGGCTTAAACCATTGCGTGTCCTCTCAGTAAAACTAGCTTTCATAGACATAACATCTCTATTGAATCATTATTAAGATAATCTAATGAAGCGGCAGTGAACACACACACAAAAAACGTAATTAAGATTAAAGGGAAAATCCTCGATTTTTTTGGTGAATTTTTTAATACCACATGGTAAAAAGGAACTTGATAACACGGGAAATCTAGTGTTTCGAATTCAGGCACTTACATTAAATCAAATATAAAGAAAAAAAAATGACAAAGAAAATGTCGCTGTAAAACCTTATCGGTCGACAAAATCCCAAGTTTAGTTGACACCGAAAATGTGCCTGAAATTTAACCGTTTGAAATGAAGAAACGGATATACCAAAACTTGTCGAAACTAATCATAGATTTTTAATCAAAGCGAAAAAATGCACTCAGGATTTAAGACCTTTAGATTCAGGTTATCAGCACTATTTCCATTCACTGAGTAATATAATAAAAGTAAAACAGAATCATTGAAACAACAACAAAAAATTGTCTTTGTTGACTTGAAATAAGATGCTTTCGAGCCGTAAAATGATCTGGAAAATTTGGGATTTTTTTCTTTTAAGGTGTGGAATGACTAGTTTGGTATTTGTCAGAAATCAGAGGAAATTTTAAAGACGGACAAACTCTCTGCAAACTGTGAAAAACCTTGAATTCAATCATGTTGTGTTCGCCACTAACATGATTCTTTGTATCTTGAGCAAACGGCTTTGGTTCACCTGTTCTGAGTATAATGTTACAGAACGTAATTTGCTTGTTTTCTGTATTATAACAAAAAAGTAAGAACGGCTTTAAAATCCTTTAACAATAGCGTAACCCTTTGTAGTTTCCTCTCATGACTACAACTCCTCAAGGACCTTATGCCTCGAGAACCTATGCAAGGAAGCATATCTGCCAAAAGATGTAAATCGAACAGAGCTTTCAAGCACTTCAATCATCGATCATTGGCTGCTTTCTTTTGTTGTAGCAAAGCAACCCTTGAAATTTTGGCTGCTTTTAATTCTGTGTCAACACTTTTCAAGCATTAAGTATTCTTTATTGAGCCTGAATTGTCCCTTCGTCTGTTAACGTGGTAATTCTTCGCTCTTTTACAGATCCAAGTCCTGAAGTTTTAAGCCAACTGCCAGTGTACTTCCGCGTAAAGCCAACTTTGCGGACACCGAGTGGACGAAGATGTCGCAAGTCGCGCACGGTTTTCACAGATCTGCAGCTCCGTGTTTTAGAGAAAACATTCGCGGAGCAAAAGTATTTAGACACGTCGAACCGCGCAAAGCTTGCGCAAACGTTGGGATTGAACGAGACGCAAGTAAAGACATGGTTTCAAAACAGAAGGATGAAGTGGAAGAAGGAATCAGTTCCAGCAAATAACCAGGAATCCTCAACAAGTAGAAACGAAGACTCAAATGCACCAGGAGACGAAAAATCCGATGAAATCGTCACAGAGACCGGAAAAGCCTCCATGGACAAAAAGGTAGAATGAACAGCAAAGACAAAACTTGGAATTAAACTTTGTAAATATCCGCGAGAAATATCAATTTCAATTCTATTAGAGTCAAGACGGACAACTATGATATTGGAATTTAATATGTTTCTTACCGAAACTCATAACTATGAATTTATCAAAATTAAAAACCACGGAAGAAAGTCAAGGTAGCTGCTCACGCAGAAATATAATTTTCCAAAACCAGGAACTTACATGTATAGCATGGACAGTTTATTTTGAATGTACTTGTAACTAACTGATGTAAATAATACCTTGTCCCGGTGTAAAAATTTTGCATGGTTCTATTCTATTTCGCGTCCGCCGCTTGTCTTTTCTCTTAATTCTCAATGAAATAATATTAAGACATGGGAAACAGGTATTCCGATCTTGACTGTTTCAATTTTGACTTCAGCGAGGTCAATACAGAGATTAGAGAAGCTTGTGAGCATATTGTTGTAGAGTGGGATTTATTTAAGAGCGGTGAAGAGCATCTTGGCCGCGAAGCTTTTCATTAGAAATGTTCCTTTGATGAGAGGCGGTAGTATGACTGACAGCCACGATGCGTTAATGGTGAAAAAAGGCACTAATTGCTGCCTATTCTACTCTCAGGAAGACAATTATAGTCATTTGTCATGAAATGACAATAATAGTAAGCTTTTACGAATTCACCTTTAATTTCACGATGATAAAAGGGACAGGTCGATTGCCGTCTTTGAATGAACGAAGTGGTTATGGTTGGTTGACTCTTCAAGAAACATGCAAGTTTAACTTAAAAGCTGACTGTAAATTTAAAATATACCACGAGTAAGAGAGATTTCGAGTATACATCAAATTGTGGGAATTTCCTTTTCCTTCGTAAAGAGAAAGTCAAATAGACCCGAAATTTTTTAGTCTGAAAATGGGTTTCCCACCCTCTCCGGTGTACTGGCTGACAGAAGAGCGACAGTACGTCTATTTTCAAATTTTCCATTTGTCAAGTACATTTCGTTTAAAGCTTTGAACAAATTTATCATGTACATATCCGGGTCAATTTGGTAGAAGCAACCGGACAAGAATGATATATTATCGAACAGTGAACGTAGTTCTTTGTTTGGCTTCAAAGACAAATATTTTATTCATTTTGAGGTTTCAAACTCGATCAAATCCAAAGGAATGATTTTAAAAAAAATCATAAGACTATCAGTCGAGATTTGCCCAGCCTTTGTTGATATTTTGGTTCAAACGTTATGGTAATAATTTTGGCGCTGCTACAATGATTACATGTTGTTCAACCGTTTCTGAGTGACCGTCTATAACATGACACCATTTTCCGGTTAAATTAAATTTCTGGAAAAGAGGAAAGGAAATTACATGCCTCCTTGAAAAACAGTCGTTTGCAAAACATAGGATTCTGAGTATTATAAATAAGCGATTTAGTTTTGATAATCGAGGATCAAGTTTTCTGTCTGGTTATAGCTTAATCACTGTTATTTCTGTATTGGTTAACGGCGGGGCTGTGGCGTCTGTTGGTGTCTAATCATGGATAAGGACTCGTTCAATTTGAGCGTAATCAGGCAACATTACAAAGAAGGGAACAATCGGAGGAGTAATAATTTCCCCAGATATGTTTTGTTGTTGTTGTTTTTTTTAGTACCGTCTGTTTTGCCTTTTGGATCTTGGAAACCCAATGGCTGGCTCAATAAAAAGATAACACATGATTGAGCCAATTAAATAAATTAAGTGCCTCCCAAAGACCAATAAGAAAGCAAGAATTTTGAACATTTTCCCGCGTTTTAGTACAAAAATACGGCTATGGATATTCGGCAGCCCTTTGCGCTTGAACGAAATCTCACTAATTCTTGGCCTAACTGGGTAGTATCTTAGCTGAGTTTAAGTTTCCGGCGCTTAGTAAGAGGATTGTGTATCTGGCTCCAGAAAATATTTTTCATTGGAATTTTTCTTTACCGATTACAGTGTTTTTCCTGTTTCAGTATACCGGTGCTCAGTCCATAGCTATGCACCACTCATCTCACGCAAATATGTCGCACTAGCAGGATGAGAATTATTTCAATTTTTTTTTTTATTGACGATGATATGAGAAGAGTTCTAAATCAATTGAGCAGTTCTGTTCGAAGGCACGAGAAGTTGCAAATACAAGTTCGACCATGCATTCTCGGTTGTCTTTAGCCCTTATAATCCTTTTTTTCAATATAATCGAGGATTTAATTATTTTCAACCAATCAATTCAAACCCTGCCGCAAAAAGGATTATTTTTTCATTACCATGAATTCCCTGTTTTTTTTATTTTGCAGATTTGTTATAAAATCTGGAGCAAACAGTAAGGATAGGACTAAATTTTCTTCGCATGTTTTGACCACGCTTGATAAATTTTTCACTTCTTATCTAAAAAGTTTCTAATCATAATCTGTGAGAATTAACGCTTATCTCAATTCAAATTAGACTTCAGAAAAGTCACTAACACCAAAGCCCCCACGAACTGTAAATAAAACATCAAGTTTTGACTGAATTGATACCACAGCCGCCCAAAAAGCAATTATTATACATTGTAGTCTGTTTGTGTTCCGACTGATGCACTTTAATGGACTAATCCCTTTATTATGCACAAACAACACTTCCTTGTAATGATAGGTATAAGTTGTGAAAATGCTTCTACTCTGCAATTACCACAGTCTCAAGGTTTGATGATGTCACAGTCGGTTTTATTTTTGTGTAAGGGGGGAGGGGGTTCTCTACCAGAGTGTAGATGTGATTTTGCGACGTGCTGTTCAACCCTCAGTGATACCTTAATTCAATTGGACCGAAGCATACAATTCTACATATAATCTGAGATTCGTCCCATGAAAATTGAAACTCCAGTTTAGATTAAAGTTACTGTACAGTGGAGATAAATGATAACAAATTACAGCAGGTTCAAAGTGCACATACCATAACTATTTCACACCAGAAACGCGCGAGATCTTACCTCTAGAAGGAGCCCTGGATGTTTGAACTTTTTAAAGTTCCAAGATTAAGTCGCGTTTGATTCAGTAACAAGACTTTCAGAATTGATCGTCTAGGATTGAAAAGGATGTACGGCTACGTATGTCGAAAATCAATGGAACTTGCCCTTATCAAAGAGGTCTCAATAGTTTTCGGACCCTGGCAAATAATACTTGGCTATTTTTGGTTCCTTTCAAAATTTTCCCCGATTTGTAGACTGATATGCAGTATACGTGGAAAGGAACAAATTCTTATTTTTTTCCCGTCCCGCCCACATTAACAAGAAAAATCACGTCCTTTTTTTAAACCATCAGTCGTGACTTCCTGTTTTGTTACGAGGAACCTGAAATAACTGCAAAATGCAGACATATTTGCGCCTCAAGAGGCTATCCAAACCAAAATGTAAAAAACAAATATTAACTGAAAGGGATTATATATTTTTAGCTGTTGATTCATTTCGAGTTCATCACAGAGAGTTACCTCTAATTAGTTCGCCTTGAGAAAATAACGTAAGTCTACACTTTGGTTCTATGATCTATAATCGAATTTCCAGAAACATTCAGGTTTTCTTCCCATAAAGCGCGTTTTTTGGGATGCAAACAACCAGCACGAGGTTAATAACACTCAGTTAGGAACCAAAGGGAACAAAAGCTGATGCTATATGTTCATTCAAGTTTTGGTATAATAATGTGAGGAAATACACCTGCTAATCAACATCAGCAATCTGTCGTAAAACACCCAGTGATTCTTCGCACTCTGAAAAGGTTCGTTTTTTTATTTATTAAGAATAGTTAACCCGGAATGTTATTAGAAAATACCTGTCACAGAAATCTCATAGGACAGAAACGTTTCCCCTTCGCATGTGCGCAGCCACGTTATTCTTTAGACCGGGAGCCAGTTCTCTTTTCTTTCAAATCACTTCTCTAACTAGTCTTTACACTATTTTACTTTCTTTCCCTAATTACTCTTGGCATGTAATAAGGCGTAGGTGGAGTACGTCAAGACCGTTTACAGGAGGTTTTCAACACAAAGGCTTGATTTAATCCCGTAAGAACATTCGCAGGCATAGTTCAACAATAGGGGAATTATCCCGTCGCTGTTGACTGTTGTTAAAGTAAGGAGATATTTTGTTTTCTTTGAGCTCTGAGTTGGTCCTTTGAGATAAATATTTAAAAATGTCAATGGCAAAGTCTGGCGTAAAGTAATGTTGAAAAAATGAAAATTATCTGGGGCAGTTCAGTGAGTGCTAACTCAACCTACTGTCGATAAATTGATGTTTTTTTTTCTTCATTTCGAGGAGGTGACTATTGGCAAATGACATTGATAGTTCATAAGTAAACTTCCTTTGTGAAATCAATGAAATCGATAGATGACTTCGCCCTTGGCCCACGAATTGTTTCCACACTTTCCGCCTCCTTATCTTGTCTGCGGTTAAAGAAAACGTGAGCGCGCGGAAAATAAAGACATCATGTGCTACTAAAGTACTATTAACGACATATCGATCTCTCGTTGCGTGAGGTCTGCCTGAAATGAACTTCACCGGCTGAGCTACTGAAGGCTGCTAGGAAACAAAGGAGTATATAACTTGCGTGTACAATGTATGTAAAACAAAAAACCACATGGAAACAGAAATAATGAACATGGCTATTGCTAAAGAGAAAGGAGCTTCTTTAAAACTTTGCACGTTGTGTGATTTCATTTATTCAGACAGAAATGTAGTTAATCTACGAAGTTGGCAAATAGTTTTCCATTTTGCCTTTCTTTTGTAAAGTGTTTTGACTTTCGTTGATCGACACTAAGTCAAATACTACTCAAAATTTTATGGTAAAAAAGTCATCTTTAACTGAAGGTTTTAACAAACACAACTTAAAGCAATGATGTTGCATTATCTCTCAGAAAGTCACTTAAACTGATCAGACCGGGAAAATGACGACAAGCCATTTTCTTTTTCAATTTCAAGTAGACATGTAGCACCATCTCCCAATAATGTTGCGTAGTAATTCTTTAATGTGGTTGACAACAGAACACAACGATATTATTTCATTGATATATCACAAATCAATAATTGTAATGTTACTGAGCTCTGATTCTTTTTCACAGAGTTATAACGATAATATCTTTTATTGTAACAAGGTGGATTACGGAAAAGATTTCATGTCAGCTGCTCTGTATTTTGAAACTACTGTAAGATACGATCAACGTATCGACTTTGAAATCCATTCAGCCAAAGATTTTTAAAACATGTTCTTTTGACCAAGCACTACTGAACTGGTGTTTGCCTTTCAAACTACATTTGCTGAAATACACTTCAGCAGACTGAGAAGAACTGAGAAGTATGAGTGCCACGTGCGATTCAGGAAAAACTAGCCGCAATGATTTATCGGCACATTTGACAAAGTACGAACACCTCTGATAAAGAACCTTTTAGGCAACGTCTCCGTAGCTGTAAAAACTTCATGAATATTGAAAAAGGTCGTGAAGGTTTTATTTGATCTTGCGCGCTCTTTAACTGCACAAAACATCTGCGTAAAGTAAATCAACATCACCGAATTAATTTTCCGCCAAAAATGTTTTCAACCGCCATCACACTTTGTTACAAAGAGTAACACCCTACACTTTGTTGTTTTCATCGTTCACGAGATCTCTCTACTCTGAGTTTCTACAAAAGTTGGTCCGTATGGAATATTAATTCAAGCATGTATTGAGTGTGCTTGCTTTGTCGTTGAAAAGATTTGAAATACCCACCAGATGTTTACTCAACGTGTAGAATGCATTTTTGCAGTTCTTTCGGTTTCTTGGCTTCATTATTAGATCTTGGTACCAACCTACGCCCTCAAAGAAATGTTTTTCCTCGTGATTCCATTGTTTTAAGTTCTAATTGAATTCTACCTTCGATTATCTTGTGATAATGGATTCTAATTGACACTCCTTCCGAGTTTATAATAAACACTAATTGAATAACGACCACAATTAATTTGGGTGGTAATGTAAAGTAGTATAATAAAAACCTTTATGATCTGACCTTGAACTCAGCGGCACTTTTATAATGTCAATGAAAAGACAACTTTAGCTCCGTTTCATAATTACATATGACATGAGGCTAGTTGATGCTAAATGCCTTTAATAAACGTCAAAACGGCGTTTTATTTGAACGAGATACTTTTCAACCCGTCAATCAACACAAAGGTGTCGTTCATGGCATTTTCTAAGGCTCTTAACAATAAAGATATTCATTTGCCAACGATAGCAGTTACTTTCAACGTAAAAGCTCCACGGAACCACATCAAAGTTAAACTTCGAGATGTTCAGGTACCAAGATTCCTTCCTTGCGGCCATGTATCAAACACCGCAATACGTACAGAATAATCAGCTTCTGCTACCACCTCCACCTCATTATAGTTCTCACTTCATGGAAGAGAGCAGAATTTGCAACCCCTCACAGCCTTGCTTCATGGCCAAACAATCCACAGCCTACAGTCAATCTGCAGCAGAGACATTTAGCTCAAACGTCCACGGATCTCAACTGCCTTTTAACTTCGGATCAGACCAAAGAACACTGATACCTCAGACTTCCTCTGCTAAGCTTAACATCTCTGGTAAGCTTCGTTGAAATACACCTCATTAATGATTTCTAGAATTGTTTGACAGACAATTAAGAACTTCTTGGCTTTTTTCCCCGTCAAATGCTAACTCCGTTACGACTTAAGAGTCGTTTGCGCTCAGCCTTTAGTTTATTTGTGGTTTATCAAGAGCTCGTTAAATTTCGATTTTGTCACGAGAGGCACGGGCTACTGAGGAAAACTAGGAAATAATGGTTGATGATAATGCCATGTTAATCATATCCTTAGACATTTAATTAATGTTCTGACGCCTGGTCTTACTTAGCGAGTAAGATGCTGTCAGCAACCAGTACGCAGGTTACAGCGAAGCTTGAACTCTACAATGTTTTAACTGAATTTTCCGTGACAGTTCAGGAAAGTATTTTCTTCTTCCTTATGTATTCTTAGAATCCATAAAGAGTAAGAGGAAGAAATGTCTTTCTCACGACGCAGTGAAAAACTATTTTTGAATCAGTTCCTGAGGGCACCAAAAAGAGAAACTGACGAAAGCGAGTTTCAAATGATCATTTTGTTTTCGGGTTAAAAAGGAAATAAATATGCTATTAAAAGCTTTCGTTCATTTGACACTAAGTTTTTATAACCATACGCAATGAATTTTTTCAGTAATACGCCGCAATATTTTGAACGACAAAATATACTGATTAGAGATGCTTTAACATGTATAACCTAGTTTGGAGGCCATTGAAAAGCTCACCTAAATTTCTGAAATAGTTAAATAAGCTTTTAAATAATTCTTGGAGGCTTTTATTAGCCATAAAAGATATCCCTCCACAGAGCCCTGCACATTTGAAGAATTCGCTTCCCCATGGTGAACTTTCGTTGTTTTTTCCTAGAACCTTCTACCAGTTCAGAGATAATGCACCACCCTATTCCAGTTTACTTCCGCGTAAAACCGAATCTACGAACTCCAAGCGGCAAAAGATGTCGAAAATCACGTACCGTTTTTACGGATCTGCAACTGCGTGTCCTGGAGAAAACCTTTTCAGAGCAGAGATACTTGGATTCAACAAATCGAGCAAAGCTTTCGCATATTCTTTGCTTGAACGAAGCGCAAGTGAAAACTTGGTTCCAAAATAGAAGGATGAAATGGAAAAAGAAAGCACAGAAAGCGGAAAAACCTGATAGCTCGACCACGGTCAAGAAAACAGACAAAAAAGAGCCAGCTCTGGAAGAGAACGGAGAAGGAAACACCAACAAATGAACACGTAAAAATTTCCCAAAATTATTTTCAAGTTAGAAACTAAAAGATACAATAAGAGAGAATTCGTAACTTAACCTTCTACAATCATTTACTGTAACTAATTATAAATGTGGAAACAGATACCAGTGTAACTTAGACATGATAGCGCTAATTTTACGGAAGTCGAGGGAGACGTTGGGAAATTGGCAAAAGTAAAGTTACAGTTTTGTATCAGATAAAAAAAATTATCAGTCGAGCAAATCTGCAAAAGAAGAACAAAATTAAAAACACTTTCCTTTATCTGTGCTGGCGGGCCCCGTCTTTCATCTTTAAAAAGCAAATAATTAGGACACTTAAGAAGATCACGTCACAACAGTTGTGAATGTCAAAAAAATTACTGAGAAAAAAAAAAGATAAAGTAACATTTTGTAGTTAGGTTACTACTCAAAAATCAATTTTGGGAAAAAGGAAACTGTAGAAAACGCCCTTTCAGTCCCTAGGAGAGTTATCCTTCCTTTGAAAGGAACTGTTAGCGTGAGCAGCGGACGAAAGTTTATTAGTATTTGTAAATATCAACTTTAGACGTTTCCTGATCTAAAGAAATATATAAATGATGAAGTGATTTATGCCTGCTAAAGTTGCCGCGCATATTTTTGTTAAGAAACAAAAAAGAATGAAAGAACTTGGGTGGTGTAGAATAATAAAAAGAGTGGACCTTCGACGTGTGTCCATCCGACCCTCTTGGACTAGGGTCAAAAGAAATTTCACTATGTAGATAGGACGAAAACGACACACGTTAATCCCTTTTTATTACAGCTAGATCGAAGATCTAAATGAAACACAGAGAAACATTTATTCACGTAATGGACTCTTTGTTTACTAGAGGGATACAAAAAATGGTTGACTGCCGCTATTCTTCAGAAGTTAATAAGACAATTTTGAACATGTGCGCCGGTTCTTTAATGTTCCCATGCAAAGTTAAGGGGGTCGCCGATTGGAATATTGTTGAAAACAATTGTAAAACCTCTTGGTACATACACCAAGAAGACAATTTTGCGTCCGTTTTCAAAATTTCGCGACATAAACGTAAATGATTGGCTTTCAAGTTGGCGTGAGAACTGGGGAAATCTATTCAGCATGTGTTTGTTTTTTAACTGGAGAGAAAGAATCCCGCAATGCACAAAACTCTTGTCAGTATAGAGCATGTGTTGTACAGCCGGACTATTAAATCCCGTGTTCCCTGGGTGATAAACACGACTAGGATTATGGCATTTATTAATCTTTTGTGCACCTATGACAGGTGCCATCACGCAACATAAGGCTCTTTAACCGTTGCGTGAAGAAGGGGGGGGAGGTGGGGGAGCCCTCACAGGGCGCTTTCAAAGTCGACAGATCAGTTCAAATGCTATAATTTTTAGCACCGAGTCTATGACTTAAGTTCTCCGAAAACTTTGTGAATAAGTTAATTTGGATGTATTATTTAATGAAGAAAAATAGACATGAAGAAGCTTTTATCACTCAAGCAAAGGTCACGCATGGTGGAACCTGCGAACAAAAAATTCAGAAATTTTAACGTCCACTTGATTTATCAAGGGAAAACGTCAATCTCTTTCCTCTAGTGTAGCCAATAATTCTTGGCTAGCTTTTCCTGTTAACTTGTAAAGACAAACAAAACTAGGCTCCGTTCTCATGACACAGAAAATACAGAGGCTCAGTAATTTTTTTTAAAGTTCTCTCAGAAGAAAGGGAATAAAGCGCTTCCACTAAACGACAGGAGTACCAAACCTTTATCTTATCTCTACCAGGACCATTTAACCTCGCATGATCTTTACCAGACCACACCCAACATCGACGAATCCCGCAATTTTTCATTTGATGCTGTTATTGTTGTTTTTTAGTTGGTGTTGTATTAAAAAATGTTTGTGCAAAGAGCTATGTTCGTTGTTAAAGAATTTAACAAGTACATGTATGCGTTTTCTTACTGTTGTTTTCAATTGTTTGTTACCTTTTCTTTTTTGATATGCCCCTCACCTTTTCTTTTTCTCTAACTACCGCGTTTATTAGTTGCTGATATAGCTCGGTTGAGAGAGTCTAAACCGTCATCAATCCCGGGTCCCGGCAAGAATCATTTTCTTTTAATATGTTATTATAGAAGACAGAACTGAGCAAAAGGGTGAAACATTCCCTTTCCAAATTTTTTCTAAGTAATTCTGTGATACCCGTGGAGCATGTGTGACTTTGAAAAAATAGTGCCCCTCCTTCCTGAACTATGATTGTTTCCCTTCTGCACTGACTACAGGATCGATCCTGTTGACCTAATTCAAACACTTTGATGATCCTACAACCAACTTTTGTAAATATCTTGAAAGAATTTATCGAGCTATCTTTTATCATAAAGGCGATATTGAGAGATTAGATACCTGCTCAAAGTGGTTTCTTTGACGTAAATATCCTTTCTTGTTTACTGTGATGGGTTTCCACTTCTCCGAAACCCAAAGAATAAAGAGATAACTAACAAGGGCAAGGGCAGGACAGGGTTATGTTTAGCAAACTATTCATCGAAGCTCAGCAATTTTAAATTACTCTATAAATGGGTGAAATATGCAAGTATGCAGATACTTTGGTAGGTATCTTGCGATTATATTTCATAATTTTCGGAATTTAAGATTTTTGCTAGTGTTGCTAACCCCTTTACCGAAGTTTCAGCGATGCACGTAATTACATGCTTTGTAAAATTTGATACGTATTGACAAATCAAGGTGCAACTCAATTTTAAAGGCATATTAAAGACAAACAATTTTTTCTATTCTTGCCTAATCTGCTTCTCACTCCTACAACATGTTTTCGAAAATGTTCCTCACTTTTTGCCTTCCGTTCCGCAACGTCTGCCTAGAAGTCCAGCGAATAAGTGTGGCCACGTTTTTATGCCTCAATCCGTATATCGCGCGCTTGCTCGCTGATTGAGTCGAAACACTGAACTTTCTCGTCTCTTCGCCGCAACCTCAAAAGCAATCAACATATATTTGAACCGCCTTCTTGAAGAGAGCTGAATTTCCTCTCAGGATTTTTTTTTAAGCCTTGTGTATGAAGCTGGAGTTTCTCGGTGTGTTTGTCTCTGTTACGTGTTGCCACCTACGTCGTAGATTTCGCGCCAAAACGCGGCTGCCAGCTGCACCGATCCGCGCCCCTTCTGAATCACGGGAATTACGGACTTTTTATTTTTCCTTCTTCAGACTAACGGACATGTCACGTGATTAATTCGTGTTGACATTTGAGGGTCACATTTGTACTAATTTCAACCCATACTGCATAATCATGTTTGCAAGCAAAAGTGAGTGGCATTGTACGTTGTAACTAGTACAGGGACATCTTTATCACCTTCCATTCGTATGGATGTTTACTGTCCCAGTGTCCGCTGTGACGAGAGTCGACTTTAAAAATTAAGAAGGTGGGCATGGGTAATTATGAGACGTGCTTCACAGAGAAAGGGATGGTCTGCGAGGTTAGAGCATTCCTTCCCATCGTGTGTACCACCTTCTGAATAAGAGTAATGCCTATTCACTCTGCTGAGTTTTCTCCAAAGTTTCCAGAGGCCACATATGGTTAAAGCCGAGACAATTTAAATTCAAATTCAGAAAACAAAAAGGGCTGTTTACGCAAGGGGTCGGAGTCATATTCCTTATCATACAGACCGCTACCTCTCCCACAATTTGAATTGTGTTGCCTTGAAATTCCCATCTGTTAACAATCAATCCGTGATATTTCTTGCATGTTAGGATCACGATTATTACTAATAAATAGACGTTTGGTCCCTATTTCGCATGAAGATGTTATTGTCCAGCATCACGCTGCAACAGCGCACATAAAAACTCCTTATTTTACTCTACTTTTTCAAAGAAGGCAAACCATGAGGTTTAATTTCTCAGGGTTACTTTTACAACGAGTATGATACTTTTTACCTATTTGAAGACCACACAACCAGCGACCACAATCGTCACAGGCCCCGAGACTCTCTAACATACTATGGCCAATTTGTGTTAATTGAGTTTAAGTCGCAAAGTCCCTAGTATTTAAAAGAGACAGGATATTTACTTAACGTTATCCGGTAAAAGAAATATAAAAAGCCTATAGATCAACACAACTGTTTCTTATTTGTAGTCTCTAAAATTGGCTCTCGGAGGAAGATTAATTTTTAAGTTTATAGAATGTAATACTTTAGGCGACTTCTATCTTTTATTTAATCTTTTCGGGTTAGCTCTTTCGTTCGTCAATGTTCTCGCCGATCATTCGATTTCCATTTGGAATTAAATTGTTAATTCTACCACCTCTGAATCGTCTTTTATAAGAAAAAACTAAATTCCCCTCACTTTTTTTTTGTATCATTATTTGAAGGAAGCTAGGAGAATTTGGCTTTTGATCAAAGCTTATGAACATGATCAAACTCCTCACTCCCCTCCTACTCTCAGCTTAATTGGTTAGACCAGGGTAGATACTAATTTCCAATTTCCAACTGATCACGGAGGTACTTTGCCGGCTGACTAATAATTGAAAAGAAACCTTGATATAAGTTCACCTCTACAGAAGTACTAGCGATCTAAAAAGTTCGTGGAAGTTATGTGAAGCTTTCTCGAGAATACAAATCATATACAAGGGCGAAGACAAACTTTCAGGGCCATCTTTAGACAGCGCTACAATTATATTGTCTTGCAAATAAATACATACAGCGTCGACAAGAAACATTACCCTTTTTCCGTCCGATCACGTTGATATGGTTGAAAATTTGCCGCTGTGTCAGTTCGATGTAAATGTTCCAAAGTTCTGTTTTGTATATAGCATTATTACGTCTAATTGCATCACTCTCCTTCAGCGAAAAGCCATCTACAACACATCTACATTCAGAGATGAAGCTGGCAGAAATCCGTTAATGTTTTAAGTTAATTATTACTTTCGAATTTGTACAAGTGAAAAAGTTGAAGAAATTTCATAATAAACCTATGGACATCATAATTTTCTTTCTAGTTGTCGCTGCACGAAGGGGTCTCGTATGCTGTCGGTACTTGACAGAATCGATAAAGACGAAAGTAAAATGAATAAAATGACTGATGAATAATTTGCAACTTCGTGGGCAGCTTTATAACAGATCTAAAACTACTAATAAAATCTTCTATACTCGATTCTTAATGATCCCAAACAATTCTCTTCCCAGTCCCCTACTGTACTGCGCAATCTGCGTATCATACACGCTTAGCGCTCCTGACTCGCAGACAGGCCATGTACACAATGGACAACTGTTGCACCGATCATTACAAAGCCTATCTACTGCGTCACGTTTTACCGTGTGTAGCATTAAAGGCTTGATCAAGTTTGACTTCTCTGTATCTGTGTATATACAAGTTCGAGTGATTTGCGTGAGAATGGGCAGTTCACGGCGACACAGGGCCGTTTTCTTCTTTGCTGTATTGCGTGATGTAGCGATGACCAGAGCTCATAATTTTGGCGCCTGCGCGCATCATGACTTGCGCTTGCTGGAATGACTGTTTGATCTCCTTCATCCATTCTTGAAATTCAGTCTCGGTCTGAAAGACGAAACATTTTTGAATGAATTTTTAATTTCATTAAGTAACAACGGTTACCAGAAGGGAAAGGGTACCAACAAGATTGACTTAGAGATGTTTTCCGTCTTGTCACGAGCGAAGGTCTGAGGTTCGATTCCTCATGGGGACTCAGAATTTTTCCTTTGTCCAACGACGTGACAAGACGAAAAAAAATCCTTTTTTATTTCTTTACCGGGCTCAAACTTACCATCTCTTTTACTCTATTTACAAAAATTGACTAAATTTCAATTAATACGACATGTGCACGTAACACAACTTTCAGAGCCCGAAACATATAGTAGTTACTGAGGTACCAGTTAACTGACAGCACAATAATGAGCTGCACTACAGAAGCTGCGCCTCGACTCACCTCTGCTCTGAGAATATGGTCCCTGTTATCCCGGATGTTAGTGCTGATTTTTATGCATTTAAAACCTTTGACGTGCGTCTCTTCCACTCCTGTTATATTCTCCATACACAAAAGACTCGGCATTTGCTGCACAAAGGAAGAACACCATTAACACCAATAACCTCGAAGAAATTTCTATCAACGTAAGACTAAGTAATGAAGAGCATCTGAGTCTCGGCAGCTCGTGCAAACCAAACGTACCAAAAACGAGGGAAAGGAAAGGGCTTTTGGTCAGCCGGGCAGCACATTTTGAGCTTCATTCAAGGGAAGAAATCTTTGATACCGACTGACGAAAAATTTCCAAAACCCTTTGAAACAATAATTTAAAAGATGCCCCCACTTGATTTGATTAAATGGTAAGACCAAGCGATGTGCCCTCTGAAACTCGTTACATTTCCTGGTGAATCAAATTGCAAAAAATACTCTCGCTTACCCCAGCTTGCTCGCCTCGCCACTCCAGTCGATTGGGGAAGAGATGAAAGTACTTTCTTGGCCAATTACTCATGAGTGTGCCTCCCAACTTGTAAAGGTAGCCTTCCAACAAACGGTCTCCATCCTCTGCTACTATAACAATGAACGGATTTTAATGAGAATTGAGCGCTTTCCGAGTGCCGTACGACAAAGAACACGTGCATTCTCAGGGCCTCAAGCGGGCCAGGAATATCCAACTTAACGACTGGCAATTGGGTTGGTTTTGCATCTGATTGGTTGAAAAGTTTATCCGAGTTTCCAAGACCAATCGTATATATATATGAGGAAAAACCGATGCAATATGGGATTACCTTCGAAAATAAGCTGGAGATTGCTTGATGAATATTGACTGATAGCAGGAAAATCAACATACGTATCACTAAGAAAGTAAGTTGAGATTTACTTACAGAACATTGTACCACCAGAAGGCAATTTAAAGCCTCCATTCAAGAAATTTGTGAGGTCGGTATTTTTCGAGCTTAGAAAAGTAACGGACCTTTGGCCCGGTGTTCCTTTAGTGCTGCTGACACTTATCCGAATACTTTCACTCACCCGTTATGGAATTTTGATGTTTCGCTTTCTTTTTGGCTTCTAACTTATCGTGTTCTTCGTTGACAACTTTGAATACAGTTTCTACAAATACACGATAAAGGTTAAAAAAACAAAGCCCCAAGTAATAAGCACACAAAACACCACAAGCACATGCATATCAAACTGGAGATATCACGAGAAAACAAGACGCTTAACAACGAACTATTACAGAAACAAATCGCATATGTACTTTGGTTCTTTTTTCAAATCTGCATCGTTTGTGACGACTTCACTGGGAATAATGGAGGTAAGCTTTCTGTGGTACTGCCTCGGTGGTGGGGGGAGGGGGTACTCCAAGATGATTTGGTTTAGAAAACTCCGCTTTGGAAACTCTTTACAGTAACCAATTTACATTATCAACTCATTTGATAGAACCAAATTCTATTTTATTAGGGGCAAGTGCATTCTCTATCGTATAGACGATGACCCAATAGCTTGATCGTTACATCAAGAGGCTTTTTCCAGGATTAGCCATAGGTAGAAGTCAAAATGCAATTTCTCCGAACATTGTTGCATATGACTTCCCTTACCGGCTATTTCTTGCTGCCATCTCTCTGACACGGTTAAGTTAAAGTCTTTATAAATCTCTTGATCTTGATCTGTCATCTAAAAATCAATGTTTATAAATTAACCTGTTACATTAAAAACAATCTCAAAATTGGAGATATTTTCTTTGGTTAGGATTACTTTTATTTGAACGGATTACCCAATTACTTGGCCAAAATGGAAAGGTATTGCTAAATACATTTGTCATTTACGGGTGTCTGAATCGAGTTTTCATCTTAAAGTATTGGACATGGTTAAAACAAAGAATAAGAAACAAAAAAAATTAGACCAGTAATCAAGTAGACCCGTAAGCATTCCTCCATTTAGTCCTTGTGCACATAGCCTGCAAAGCTCGTGATCTCGAAGGCACATGCTGCTTTACTATACACTGTGCTTACCTTAATCCCTTTGACGTCATCTTCATCGAATGAGCCGATATCAAATGCGTCAGCGGCATTCACTTCGCCTCTTGGAGGCACAAGTGGCGGTGGATACTGCACAGACGAGTAAACAAACAAATAAACAAAGAAGATAAACAACGATCAATAAAATCTGTCATCATGTATTTACCTCAGCGATCTGGGCATTGCAGCCTTTAAATTTTCAAAAACCATGGACAAGGCGTATAATAAAAGTGTAACCTTATTTCAACTTCTGAAAGACTAGACCAGTAAAATGATCAATCGGCACATATAACACCATTGAGACAGTTTCATCAATCGAAAATTGGAGATTATCCACGAAACTTAGCAACGATTAGAAGTACCCCGTATGATCAAGAACAAAAAGGAAGATTTCAGCATCAAGAAGTGCATTTCAAAGAGCTCAAGAGCGTCCATTTTTTTAAGATAACATGCAACGGCTTTTATCAATAACTTACAACAAACAAATTGTAAACGTTTCCTCAAACTACCACTGCTCACAAACATCAATTTGTATCTTCATTAGTAACCGTATTCAAAGAATATTACGCGGAGTAACCGTTGACAGTTCGTGCGCGCAAGCGTACACCAAGTATTTGTGTTCGAGACAAGGCCTCTTACCTTTAAGAGTTCAACTAATTTCCAATCATTACTTTTGAAAAACTCGTGTTGTCTCACTTCTGTAGCCCTATGGAAGAAAAAGCAATTTTCATTTTCCATTTAGTTTTTTAGTGTCGTTCCCTTTTTGGGGTTTTTCGGTTTTCGAGGGACCAAATTTTTCTTACTCCTTAACACTCGTTTAATGCTTTTTCGAAGATTGAGCGATATCGGTTTCTTAGACTCAAAAGAGTAAAAAAACCAAAAGGCAAACTTACCCTGAGCCTCTGCACCCAAGTCTGCTGGGGACATCTCTGTTGAGGAGACCGGCGAGTAGTGACTTCATTTCTTCAGAAAACGTTTCTGGATATTCTACGTCCTACAAGACGGATTATGATGATGTTAGCCTAGCCATACACGAACGTCTTTAGAAGCCTCTTACAATTTCCAAGAGGCATCAAAGTCTCCCTTAATAAGAAGACTCCGTTTTCAATCATACTTACGTAAGTTAACGTTAATCTATCGATCTCGTGCTTGTCTTTCGTTTTGTGCTGTCTGAATGGACTATGCCTGCAAACCGATGGCAAAAAGGTATTAGTGTTTTAAACAAATTACAACAGCATATTCTTTGTGAGGAGTAGCATAAAAGTTAAATCACCCAAAATTTTTTCGTGATGACATGTAAAGAAAGAAATATGGGTTGCGAGGCGGTTCATTACGTCTCGGGAAGGGGACAAGGTCGATCTTGATAGTCATTTGTTCATAGTCATTTGTTGAATTTAGTATCTCGGTTACCCAGCTCCCTGTCTTGCTTTAAAAACGAAAGAGGGAGTCCCAACACCAGTCCTCTAAATTTGCCACTGCTTTTTCGTTCCTGAACTTAACCTAGCGCAGACGCAGCAAGCGTAGCAGGTGGTCTTGCACATGGCAAAAATAAGGGAGGTGCAAACTTGAGAGATGACGGGCTATTTTCACTTTCATCTTACAGCTTGTTTCCGCTCCTCTGCCGCTGGAAACTTTCTCACAATCAGTACACACTACGCAAGCGAACGCCGACATGCAGCCATGAAACACGAATTTCAACCAAATACAACCACATGCAATTTAACGATGTACCTACCCAACAAGCAATTTGAAAAGCATACAGCCGAGAGAAAACCAGTCGGCACAAGAGTCGTATGCTTCACCCTTCTTTAAAACTTCAGGCGCCATGTAGCCGTGGGTTCCCCTAGAGACCAAAAGAAAGGAGAGAGAAAAATCAAGAATGGCTAATGGGAATTCAAAGTAAACACAAGCACATTGCCTAAGCATGGGAAACACGATCAAAGAAACTAGACTTGGTTCAGCTTCAAGTGTGAGTGATTGGGAAGGTAACCCGAGTTACAAAGCAAAGGGAAGCGAATCCAACGCTTTCCTAGTTTACTTTCGACTCTCAATTAACAAGAAATTCAAGATAACAGTTTCTGAAAGCTAACACCCAAGAACGAAGATCTACCACAAAAGGCATCCAACCTTTCGCGGACTATAAATTTGCAGATCACTTACACACTGGCATGTGGCTTCTTCTTTGAGAAATCACAGGCAAGGCCAAGATCTGATATTCTCACGTGACCATGTTCGTCTAGCAGAATATTTGCGGGCTGAAATATTGATCAAGGTAACTGATTAGATCAAATCTTTAATCAAAAAAGCGAGGACAAAGAATATCAATATGGGACGACGTACAAAACAGATTTCTCCCAGGCATTAGACACCCTGTCGCAAAAAGAGGAAGCCTGGGAAAGAGTTTGCTGACCGCGAAAGATTTTCCCGCCAATGTTTCCAATGACTACTGTAAATTGGTCACGTGGTTGCCTGTATGCCATCAAAAGCAAACACATCAAATTTGCGAAAATACTTTTGAAGGAAAAGACAATGGAGAATGAAACTAAAATTCTTGATTAATGAAGGAATGCTCGAATTAACGAACGAAACACGACTGAAGCCCACTTGTGCACATGTAAGTGCCTTGAAATGTCTTCATTTCATACACCGTGATTGCAATTTTGTTGCTTCAAATAGCACAGAATTTTCTGAGCTGCTTCGTAAGAAATTCATCAACTCGCACTGCGAATCTACAAACGCTACGATGTTTTTTCTCCCTCTCTGTCGCTGTTGGCTAAAATAAATGATTGAAAGAATTCTCCGCTGTTCCAAAATATACAACTAGGGAACAACATAGTTTATCAAATGCATTTTTCAGCGCCTGTTACCTTTAAATCTCTATAGCAAATTTTTCTATCGTGCATATGCTCCAATCCCAGAATTATTTCTGAAGCATAGAATCGTACCTGAAATAAAACAAGTAGGGAAAAAACTGTAAGCGCAAGTTAAGCAACATTTCTGATTCATACATTAATTTCTGTGAAAAACAAACAGCTTCCTCAGTTCATTCAAGCAAATGAACCCTGAAATAATCTACTTTAAAAGCTAATTTCACTGATTAGCTTTTACCAATTGCTTCATTAACTTACATCATCTTCACTGAAGACACCATGTTGGGACAAATGATAATGCAAATCACCACCTAGAAGATGGGCCAAAGTCAATTGGTACAAAGTAAGCACTGTCTTTACATAATACTTTTAAGGTGTCTTGCATATCTTTTAAAATTGACCTAATCATTTTGACCCTTTTACACCAAAGATATCAACATCAACATCATCATTGTACTCAATACATTTGGCATAGCCTTGGCTGTCAGTATTGGGTGTTAAATCAAACAGTAACCCCTTGTTTATACAATTGTATCTTCTCATCACTTTTCTAGTTAATATTGTACAGATGATTTTCGAAGAAATAACTCATACGTCAATACTGGAAGTTAATTGTTTGAATGAATTGTTAGCACTCATGGTTAGATGCACTCAACAGTAAACTCAAAACGAAAATGCTAATTACTATTTGAAATATCAATATAACTCATCTTTACCTACCATTCATTAAGTCCAAAACAAAACAAAGTTTGTCTGGAGTTTGGAAGGCATATGTCATACACACAATGAATGGATTATTCACCTGTAAAGTAGTTCATAAGAACAAAAAACAGTCATTTCAACTTAAGTTTTAATTTTTTAATAATTGCTTTTCACATGTAGAAAAAACAGAAGCTCTACTCACCATGGACAACATAATTCTTTCATTCAGTGCCAATGTTTCTCCCTGTTTCAGTTTGATTCTCTTCTTGTCAAGGCATTTCATGGCATACCTATCACAGAGAGAATATTAAAAATATTTTCATACTTAGTCTTTCCAACTTATCATGACCAGTTCATTTTAAAGAATCAAATTTGACAAATGTCTTTTTGAAATGGAAAACTCCACACACAAAATTACATAGTTCACTCTTACATTTTTCCAGTGTCAGCTTTTCGGCATCCATAAACCTCTCCAAACCCACCACGACCAATAATTCTATGTACACTAAAGTCATTCATGGTTAGCTGTGAAGAGAAAGAAGAATTGCTCACTACGAGGCCCCTGCTTAAAATAATATCATTAAAATCCCTCAAAGTACACTGTACTTTAGATATATACTCACGTTAATATTAAGCTCCACATTTTTCCACTGACAAAATCTGACATATCTATCGCTGTTAACAAAGAATTAAAGAATTACTGAATCAAAGATAGCAAGTAATGAGAAAAGAGAGGTATTAGCCAACACAACATAACAGCCATGATATTTGCTCCTAAAGATGAAGTTTATGGAGGACTTACCTTTTCAAGAACTTCTGGAAGATTGACCCTCTTAAGCTGTTTCTGATTTCCAACATGTATGGCTGGAGAAAATAAAGTAACATATTACATCACCAATAATTGCATTTTAACTTAAGAGGAGAGCAATAGAGACAATAATAACTAATCAATTATGAGGATATAGTACAGTGTACACAGTCTTACCTCAAACAGCGTAGATGGAAGTTCTTTTTTTGTTATTGAACTCTGCACTTGGTCCAGAGCACTTGTAGAGAAAGACTGCAAAAAAATATATTTAAAACATGTTCTTCACTATTATTCTGACATTTTTTTCCAACAAAGAAGGATGATTACCATGCCCTTAAGCAAAAAAAAAAAGGTGTGATAGTGATAACAGTATCAATAATGATAATGAAAATATAATGAAATGATAAAATGACAACAACAATGGTACCCTAACTGTTATTGTTTGTAATACATACAAGAACATGTTATGTACAGTAAAACTGCTTAATCTGGGTGGTGTAAAAATACTTACATGAGAACAGGCAAGGAGCTCAATCATTATGTACTTGTCAAATATTTCTCGAGCCATCTTCAGTCTGTCCTCTTGGAATTGGAGTTTTTCATACTCTCTAATCTGCATTGAGTCAGAGAAGTTTAATTTTTTTTTGGGTTTCTACCACTTTCCCATTTCCATTTACCACCTAACTTTGGGGTGTTTTTATGATGTACAAATCATACACCATGTTAAGTTTCTCAAAGGTATTACGTTTCTTAAGTATTGAATACAAATATCTTAAGCTTTTTTTATTCCAGTTATTTTTTTAACTCAATTGTACCCCATAAATGATTTGAATAGTATTAACAAATGAAATAAAACAGAACGAAAGATTATACTCAAGTATAGGATTCAGGCTCCCTAATCAACCTAAAGCTGTATGTCAACTTCACTTGGTGTGAGGTTGTTAAATAAATTAACCTGATGCACTAGAAAATCAGTTGTTTATAACTCTAATTAATTTGATGACATCGAAATGTAGTAGGAACAAAAACTTGATAAATGTTCTTTCCACTTCATGATGTTTTCTGTGATCTATTACTGGACAGACACTAGACAACATAGAATATTATTGTTAAATTTTATTCAAGGATCATCAGCACAAGCTCATAATTCTCTGCTCCAGCCATTGAAAATTGTCTCAAAGTACAGTGTACGGAAAGGAACTTCACTGTTGCACAAATGGTGTACAATGCAGCTGTCTCCAAAAATGTAGCAGCATATGCATAGAGGAACTTTTCCTCAAGCTATTTCAGGAATGCTGACTAAAATGCAAATTCTCTATTTTACAAAGAATGTTGGCTACATGTCGTTAATGCATTGGCTGCCCATTAGCTCTACAAATTCTATTGTATGACTCAAAGCAACACTTTTATTAGGATGCTAGCCCCCCCCCCCTTGCATTATATATTATATCATTTTCCCAAACATAGTGAGGGAGTGTGCAAGCTTGGTAACCTACCCAAAACATAAAATGACCGGTTACACCAGTGCTAGACCTTTCCACTCTGAGCCCATTGCACCAAACCATAAGGTTATTACTACTACCTTATCTGTTTGGTTAAATCAACCACAGACTACTTCATTAAATCCATTTAACTCATCATAAAGCTAAAAGGTTCAACAATCATCATCAAACAACATCTCCGATCCAAGATGAATTAATTGACTGAGAAGAGCGAGAGAGAGTTAGAGCAAAAAGATCACAAAATGTTAATCTTAACAAGCAAGAAAACTACTTGCACTGTAACCTCGACAAAGGCAGTGAACCAGAGGAATATCATAGTTATAAATATTAAGGAAAACATTTCTGCAGCATTTCTAATGCACATGTACAACCAAAATCATCAACTGCTACTGTAGCTGAATAAAGCAAATAAATTTTGTAGTCATCTTGTTTATAGGAACACAAAAAGAAAACTTGACCAAGAGAAGAGGTTGGAAAAACAGATGTGAATAAAAAGGTGAAAAACATCATGCATGTTGCTGAACAATGTACCTTTCTTCAGGCCAGTGTTTTTATTTTGCAAGGCCAGCTACAGCAAATATATAGCACTGAGCAATTTTGATACTCAACTAGTGCACTTAAGAATCATAGGCAGACTGCTTATTCTAAGAAAAGTATTTCTTACATGCAAGTATTTCTTTGCATGTTGTGGACATTTTGTTTGGATTAACATCTGGTTATTTCTGAGGGGATAGACATCTCATCTTGGTTCAAGACTAAACATTTAATCAAAGAGTGTCATTTATAATTAACACTTGATGATGACAATCTGCTACTGTTTCTCAAAACCAGTTCAAAGCTCTCAATGACATTTTGTTCAGCATAATATTGTTGCAGTCTCAAATTTATTGTTGTAATGTCACTGTGTCGGTGATTTTACAAAACAAGGATTCTTACGATGATCAAATGTCAAATTTCATAGGGAATACATGATAATTAAGCCAGTTGGCAAAAGGTAACTGTATGATTCCTGATTAAAAAAAGGGTAGATGTTAAAGATCAAAAAGTGCTGAGGACAAACAGATAGGCTTTTCTAAAATGAAGTACAATTGCATTAGCCTTAATCAAACAAGGCTGGTTCAATATTCAGGCAGCCCTCATTTATTCAGAACATATGCAAATAGTTTATCTGCACCTGATTGAATAATTTTGAAAAACTTGACTTGCATTATGACAAATTGTGCCAATTTTAATATCATGAATAATATCTAAGATTACAGTTGGCTCTAAAAGTTAATGGGCAAATCAGCTTTCACAATCTTAATTTTACACCAAGCATGATAAAAGTGTGAAATTTTAACCAATGTTGTCTACAAAACATGCTCACGAAAGAAAAAATTTAATAAAACTTGATCACCTGTTTGAGAAGAGTTTTAAACCAGGGGTAAACAAAAACACTTTGAAATTACAAGAAAAGTACCAAATGACATGCACTTCAAATAACCAAGCAACATAAAATACATGAACATATTTTCAATACCTCCTGCATTAAATCTTTTTCAAAGCAAAATTTCACAATACTGAATTTACAAACTATTAGAAAATAACTAAGAAATTTTGGTAAAAAAAAACCTATTGTCAAAATTGCAAGTGTCACTTTTGTTAATGAATTTAACCAAAGAGGTATTCCATCCATCTATCTTTACAGTACGAGGAGAAAAATTTCAACTGCATCTAAATGCGAGACATCTAATTCTAATTCAAGACCACTGTGTGCCATACATTCATAAATAATTCACTAAAGAAAGCCTGACTTTGATGGTTCAAAATTTCGATGAAAGTATCTAACCAAAATCATGAAATTTCATGGGGCCTTGTTAGATCAATATTTAAGGGTGATCTCCCTAAACTACATGAGTTAAACTACTATCAATATAATTGTACTACAGTATTTTATGCCGCGACTCCGTGGAAGATATTCCATATTTATCTTGAATCATGCGATGGCCAGCACGACAGGGAATCGCAACAAAGACATAATTTTTCTCAAAAACTTTTTTTCTCTGTTTCCTATATTTCGACACAAGGTACGAAAAAAAACCGTAAAAATTATGTATGATCACCACGAAAGAGGAAAAAAACCCATTCGCACCCATGACCATAACAAAAATAAGACTGCAGTCGATTGATGATTTTCCAGCAGTATGGTGTTTACATGAATAAATTCAAGCAAGTAAATGGAGAGGTGTGCTAATTTTGAATCGACGCACGATCCATCATCTAACATTGCTTTGATCTCTCATTCGAATTGCGAGTAGAAAACGATTGTAACGGTCTTTTGTCAAAAGATGATACCGAGAGTCGAGTTTCAATATGCAACAATTGAGCCAAACGTGTTAGGTGTCGATGTCAAAGCTATTTACTCAGAAAAGCAAAACAAGTTTAAATTCAATTCGATGTTACTACGATTTTAGGAATTGTATATCTTCCCCGATTGCAACACTACTCTAATTACAGATCGTAAAATTTAAGCCCCCTCGTTTGTGGTAAATGTTGCCATTCGAGCGATAATTTTACCGGTGATTTCCTCGCGACATGACATATAACTGGTCACAACCGAGGTAACAAAACAAATGGTATAAAGGATAAGTCTAAGGCGAACAACAGTTGAAGTTCCCACTCTCAGAGGAAAATCTGCGTTTGCATTATTTATTGCAAAATCTTGCGCGGTGAATAAAGTACCAAAGTACAAGCAGGAAGAATGTTTGTATAGTCTGTGGTCCGCGTGGATAAATCTTAGGTGCCCCTTACAATACCACGCCAATCTACACTTCCTTTCGACGTTAAGTGAACACAAGCCTTTCAAAACAACAAATACTGCATATTCTCTCGTGCAAGATAGTGCTGATGTTCAGAACTCGCCAATGGGAAGAGGAGCTACATAGTTCAAAATCCGACCTGTATTCACAGATCGCTTGTATATCTCTTCAAAACACTCCCGAATTGTAGAAATCGGTCGTGGATTATTATCGTTAATTTGAACACAGTCCAGCCAGATTATCCGGAGAAATTCAGGGCTGAATTTGATCAGACTCTTCCCTTTCTAATAAACTTATACAACCAGCATCCGCCCACTCGAGAAATATTCTACTAAATTTACGGCTGCCTATTAGCTTCCTGTGCTGAGCTTGGAAAATATACAGGTAAATAAATAAATTGATGTAAGGTATAAAACTTGGTTACTCACATCTTCATAAAAAGCTAGTTGAGGAACTGGTTCATCGCACTGAGTTTCGCAGAATTCTTTGAAAACCAGGTATCCTTGATCATAAGAATAAAACAAGGTCATGATACATAGGGGGAAACCAAAAATATTCTAAATGAATTGAAGTGCTGTGTTCGTCGACATCGAACGTTCTGCTCCTTCGAGAATGCGCGTAGAAAAACACTGTGCATCTGAACGATACATTATGTTTTGGTACCAAACCACTTACCTATCCTTTGGTCGAATATTTTGTCGAACTGTACCTCTCCCCTCTCGCTCAAATACTTGTGCATTACATGGTAAACACTGGAAATATAAAGCAACAAAGCTCTCGATGGAACAAAACTAAATCCTGTGGTTAACAAACTCAATCCAAGAGATATAAATTAAAAGCGATCGCAATAATCTACGTACGATGGATCAGGTAGGATGATTTTCTTGCTTGCACGAGCCGCTGGCGTGGATTTCGATTTTTCCATCGCCATTAGGTAGGAAACATCAGCCAAAACCGCCTCTAAGTCCGCCATCTTGGCTGGGCAGCTTGGTTTATCTTGCAAATTTCGTCTCGCGATGAACATTTGCGAGCCCTTCATTACAGTTTGCTCGCATGTCATTGGTTAGAAATAATATCCCACGTGATCATCCATGATGGCGGCCTATTTGATGGCAGAACGGGCAAAAGTCAATTACGGCTTCCTTTTCGCTTCGTTGCTAAAAGACGTTATCTTTGATGTGTTTTACTAATCTCCTCCAATTGTTTTTTAGGAACATATTTTTTTATTTTATTTACGAGGACTGCAAATGAAACTTTATTTCAGAGGATGAGACCACTAAACGCATCGCTGACGACCTGCTAGACAAATAACGCAGACACAACCGAGTGGGTTTGAAACACTCTTCAAATGTTTGTTTTTGCAATATTAGCATTGGACGCACGCATAATTTATAGTCAAGATATTGGCTTTAGACGCCTCTTTTCTGCCTCTAATATCGTGTTTTATTAAAACCGTCCCAGGAAACTAACCGCGGGTAATTTTTAAAAAGTTCGTCTGCCCTGAGGTCGCGCAATTCTTCCAAAAGACGTTCAGTGAAATGCTGCATAAGTGTCATTCTAAAAAGGGAAACTAAGTTTTGTATCAGGTTTCTTGGGATGGTATAAAGTTTTATTTTCGTTGTGAAGTTAGTCGATATTCCGTATCAACTGATGTTGATTCAAGGGCACGGGCAAACTAAGTTAAGTTTAAAACTCAACATAACCTAAAATAGGCGGGTAGTTTGTAAGTAATTCCCAGGGGCAAAATATTACTAACAAGCGTTTACAGTCAATTTGACTTCATTGTGAGGAATTTGGTTATGAATAACAGGAAATGACTTGATTCAACGACGGAAGTCACTGTAAAAGGGAACTTGACTGCTTTCACTCCCTCAGAAGGAAACTTAAGGAAGTTAACATGTAGCGTATATTTGCCCGGAATTACGTTGCTTTCGAATAGACTCTCGAAGGCGCTGTGATATTGCGCACAGAGCTTGTTTACTGAGTTATAATACATTCTGTAGAGTGTACAGTACTCACTTGCGTAGATAGGGTAAAAGTTGACCCCCCTTAGGATAACCCACGTAACTCGTGTAACTATGACGCTCCAACTTATCTGTTATCAGCCTGTAATTGCATTTAGTCAATATTTAGTCTAGTCTTTAATTTCCAATCAACGCTTTTCATTCTTCGTGATCAATGATTCGTGAAGGAAGTGTTTTCATTCTCTTCACGGACTTTACAAGTTAAGACTCAAGTGAAAAAAGTCGCGGATGTTTCGTTATCAAATCTGAGATCATGGACGTCATAGTCTCCGTGTGACTTTATTTTCTTTGACTTAATGACTTGATACTATTACAGATACAGGGATGGGTCAAGGCCTGTGCATAAAAAAAATTGAAATTTTTGCTTAATTCTTCAAGTTTTTCATTTGCAAACTGTATGACCTTTTCCATCCCTAACCGTCGTTCTTTCTTTATGCTTTGCCTTTCTTTTAAGCATAGCTATCTTTTTGCTATTTATTGAACTCACGTCACAGATAGTTTCTCTGGCTTACAAACGACCGAGCGATTCGAACGAAATAACAGCAACTATGACTGACATTTCCTATTTAAGTCGCTAGAGCTTCAGTGACATCCACGCACTCTCAGCCATACAAAGGCAAAATACGAATGAATTTTAAGCACAGCATGAGCAAGGATAAATCAGAGAGAGCATTTATAAGGAAGTCACAGGGATATAATCTGTTTAGTGGGCGCTTAAAGTAACAGGTCCCAAGTATGGTAAAGGTGTGCTCTCCCACCTGTTCCTTGTGAGACGCTCTCACCGAGTGCTTAAGGCTAGGTAGGCAGGCAGGCATATTTTAGGAAAACACCCGACAAAAATGTGTCTCCTGTTGTTGTTGCTATTGTTTTTTCTGTCGCTCTTTTTAAATTATTCAGCAAATCAATTTTGTATCAAGCGAACTGTTAATTACTTCTTGGCGCCTTGTTTGATTTGTTATCCAGTCCCTTTTTTGTTCGACGAAACAAAACCGATTTTATGATAGTTTTCACTACTGAACGCCAGTTTCATTGTGTTTCGGTATATATCATGGATACAGTCTCGAAGCCCTCGGGGTCAACGTTTGGTGAACTGTAATTTCAAAAGAGATTGATCTCGTTCTCATAAGGTTCTCTTCAGTGAAAATAAGCCAATATTACTTCTAGTATTGAAAAATGTGAGTTGGTTGGTTGGTTTTGCAGGTTGGACCGTCAATTTGTACGAACAACCAAGTGATCCTTAAAACAATGAATATCAGCAAAAATAGTAACGTTAACACATTAACTGACAAACTGTCTGTCTATTTTTGTACTTCATTTTTTTACTATGTATAGCACCCGTTGTATTATTACGCAATAAAAGGTACTTATAATTCCTATGGGTAAATTAAAACACATTCCAGAAGATAAGAATAACAAGCTGTCGTTGCGTTACAGTATTGTAACGGTAGTTCTAAGGCCTTTCTGCAAAAAGGACATAAAATCGCCTAAATACATCCCTGGAAAGTTTCAAAAGCCTCTCTTAGCTATCCCAAAATTCTCAGAATATCGCATATCCCCTTATATAATTTCCCTTTCTTTCAACAACTGATTTTGAGCCGTTTAGGTCAAACTCTGCGGTTGAGGAAGTCGAAAAAGTGCGCAAGACAATGTAGACGCAGACGTTAATATCTATAATGTTTATATTAATCACGAAAATTCTGCCACAGAAAAGCTGACTCAACGGAAAATGCTTAAATGTTTTAAAATATCCCTAAATTTCAATGTATCTAGATGTTTTTCTAAATATCTCGATGAAGTATGCAAATGTTTGTGGAAAGGTCTGGTACATACAAGATTTTAACAATCACTGTGATTAGAAAATCGATCAAAGTCAAAAATCACTTCAATATAGCAATAGTTTGTGATTGCTGTACTAGAGATCCTTAAAAGCTTGGAATTGCGCTTATTGTCAGCGCAGCTGATGCATTAACTTGACGGCACTAGCGTTTGATCTTCTTGTTTTTCTCGAGAAACTGACAGCTGCTTCTTCGGCAACGACTACAGAAGTGCTAGTTCATTGTCAGAGCTGGAATGTTAATAGCAAGAGATAATAACCACTGAATAGCTATCAAAATTACCTCTTTTTTCATAACCAGTTGCAACATACGTTATGAATGTACGCTATGAATCGAGAATGGACACTGATGACAAGCTAGTTGATTGAGAGAGAATCCATTGTTATCCTTGACATGGAAAGGGACCCTTTTTCCTCCTGAGAGACTCGAGATTTCAAGCTTTATATGTTGGAGACTAACTATTCTTGATGAGGAAATATTTCACTGAGTTAAGGGAGAATTCATTTAATGGGGTTCGTGAGTTACCATGGTTTATGCGAATAAACTTTATGCTAATTCCACCGTCTCAATGAATATTCTCCTCTATTGCAGGTTTTAGGGCGAGAATCTGTAAACATAAATCATAAATTGACCTTTGAAATTCGCTAAGAACAAGTGTCAGAAAAAATTATTTGAAAATATTAGTCTATGACTTGTTTTCTTTTTTAAGTGAAACTTCACAGCAGTGATTTTTTTACTATGCTTGTTCGTGACACGTGAAAAGTCTCCCATGTTTCTACCTGAATTATGAGTGTTTTGATATAAAAACCGCCGCCTCGTTTAGGGTATTTTACTTCGTACATGGCTGCTTATGAAGAGTGGTTACCGAACATTCTCCATAAAATGCTAATTAGCTGAACTGAGAAAAAAGTTAACACGTCTATGGAGAAACTTATTATTATGTTTAACATGACAAATGATGGCATTTAACTGTCAAAAACACCTGCCAATTATCACAAACACTCATTGCATGCAAGCCACAGGAAACTAATTATATGAACGTGACCATGACTTTGAAATGCGTGGGGTAAGGAGCCGGAGTTATGCGAGCATAAGATCCAATTTGCGCGCTTAATTCATAGAAAGTTACTTGCGTCTTTATCTTATGCGCCATTTTTCTTTACGACTTACAAACTAATGGAAGACAAACATGAATTTAAAGGTCTAACCTTGAAAGCTAAAAAACCAGAAACTTTCGAATCACTTGTTGCAACGCGAAAAGTTGCCTTAAAAATGTAGGAAACCACAAAAATATCAGTTTTGCAGGATAGGAACACACTAAAATGAGTCAAAAGGGAACGAAAAAGGTTAGGGATACAGGACCCTGGCCATGCAAGGATTGCAGATGAAGAACTTACAGAATGCAGTCAATTCTTTAAGATATACAAACACTGACTTAACTACTTCAAGGAAAATTGTACTTGGATATCTTCCAGCTACCTACCGCCCCAGCCTCACTTAACGTGCAATAGATCAAGGGGCAACAGCTTGGCTGGATTTGAAACAAGATTTAGTGAATCTTTTAACAGAAATTAAGGGTTTTCGTTGATCCTGAACATATGCAATATCAGAATTTGCTGATATTAGTTTCCGGCTCCTTTCAACAGAGACTCCTTTCTGTTAATCTTACTTACATTGTGGTTGCTAAGTGAGATATACCACAATTTCCACAATTCATGACACTGGGCTGGCGTTGAGGGCTTTCCGCACATGGAAAGACATTATTTGTATCTGTTGAAAAAGTTACGCGTGGAAACAGTACATCCTTTTCTCTCATCTAACATTAACTTCCTTCGCGGTCCTATTGCAGACTTCTTCCTCAACTCATCAGTACGCCTATAAAAACTAAGGAACTCGCCATCAATATGAAATAGCAACTTAACAGCATATAGCAATAAGTAAGAAGTGTAAGGTGAGAGTTATTTTGTTATAAAATTCTCTAATTACCAGAGAGCGACTAACGAAATCTCCACAAAGTGTACAATAACAGTGGTGTTTAGAACAACTTTTTCTCGACTGATAAATAAGGGAGGAGGACACTTATGAAGTATGACACGCTCGTATTGAATTCTCCATTCATCCTCCCTTGCCTCTGAAACCAGAACACACTCGGCAAGGGTGTCGTCATAATTAAACAGACTGTTATTTCTTTGTAATACTAGACTGCCAGAACAGAGAAACCACAACTGCACCTTTTGTTTACTTGAACGGCGACATGTGCCCAACAGGTGGAAGAGTGAATTAGTTTTGCAAACGATAACAACGGAACTGATTAGTAAACGGAAACGAAATGCCACAGACTTGTCAAACCTTTTTATGTATCTTGTTTCTCAAAGGTCTCTTTGTAGAGGGTTTTCTCCGAGGTATGCTGTACCCCAGGGAATCCGAGACTCGGCAAGTGAAATCTTTGGATGGGATGTGGGATTTCCGGGCGGATATTTCCTCAATTGGGTTCGATGAGATGTGGTATTCGTTGCCCTTAGCACAGGTAAACAGCAGCTACAAATCAGGAAATATTGGTTACTTTGATTTCAGGGGAAAATCAAATCAGATCACTTGACCAGACAGGGACATGCCCTTGTAGGAAAAATGATGAAGTTTGGACAGAGTGGACTCACAGGAAAATTTTGAGAGCCATTTGCACCGAAGCCTTCACTTTCACTAACTAATTTTGTATAACGCTTGACTGATTATCATTTAATTCATACATAAATCTAGATTCCTGCGAAATGGTGTCAGCACATCCTGCAGACTAGATGTGTTTCATTTTATATTGAACCAGGCTGTTCACTCACTGCGAGAGTTTTCTTACCGTAGAGACACATGACAAGAGATCATTAATTTGACTTAAAATAACATCCCCGAAATAAAAATAATTACACTCGATGAAGATTGTATATTCAAGGATTTGGATCGAATCGGTTATCACCTCATCACCGGCATGCACGAAATATATCGACTTTTAAGGAATAGTTTCTCTTTGGTCACTTCTGAGAGTGAAAGGATTTGTTATCATCATCTCGTCATCAATTAATGCAGGTTGGCGATGTTCTTGCGATGCCTGTTCCTTCCAGTTACAATGATGTCACAGAAGACCGCTGGCTTAGGGACTTCGTTGGCTGGGTGTGGTATGAGAAAGTCTTTTATGTGCCATCATCCTGGAAATCGACCTCCAAAAGAGTGGTCTTGCGCTTCGACAACGTATTTTATCGTTGTAAAGTGGTAAGATAACCGAGAAATGAATTGTAAGACCCCTTTTCGATCGTAATCGTCCTTGAAGTCGTTCAACTTTTTACACTGCAGAACCCCAGTAAGACACAAAGGGGTTTACTTTATATGTGGAGGTCAGAACTTCTAATGGAAACAAATATTACGCGAAAATTATAGCAGGAGAGTACATATGGCGATAGAGAGGGTAGCTGCTGGCCCAGGTCATGAGATATATCATGGCTTATGTATAGTCACACCTTAGTCCATGGCAAGTACAAAGGAACGTTCTGTTTTGGTTGTTGTCTGATAATTATATCCATGAAGTTTCAGGGAATACAAAATACTTCTTGGATCGGATATGCTGCTTCGTTGATCAGTTCTCGCCTAGTATTCAAACATGCAAATGATACTGGGAATGGCCAAGCGGCTTAGAGGAAGAAGCCCCACTGAATGAACCTGAAAAGTCTGCTGTCATACCATGTCTGATATTTTCCTAATCATCCTGCCACAAAATTTAGCTAAGACTTGTGTGACTAGTCGCTATCGACACATTTTTTGCTTTAATTTGATTGTAGTGGTTGAATAGCAAAGAGATACTGGAACACGAAGGAGGAGACTTGCCCTTTGAGGTTGACATTACGCACCAGCTTGATAGCTTTGATAGAGATTCACACAGACTGACAGTGGCAGTGAATAATACCATAAGTCAACCAAGAAAAGTAAAGGCTAGTAGGAGGTAGTTATTCAAACAAAAAACGTGCATAATTATTACTTAGAACGGAAGATTGAGGTATTCATTTGAAGTATCTGTCAGCTGTCTCTACTCGTTCACAAACCTTACTTTAGGCCAAGCGAATCAATCCAGTAGCGTATACTCTTTTCTACATTTGACTCAGTTCAGCCACATACATAGTCGAGAGTTGATCCATCCCAAATCAGTGTCGTATAAAAATAAAACTGATGTAATCGCAACTGCAACTAGGTAATAACAGCTCAAAGGAAAAGCGAGGAAGCTGCCTGAAGCACGGGAAACGCTAGAGACCACGTCGTGATCGGTTATAGTCTCGCATTTTATTATTTCCAGGTAGTTTAAGTCTTCCCTTTTTTTTCTTCAATCCAAGAGAATATTAAAGTAAAACAAATCCAATCCCGAGTTACTTTCGACCGTGAACTGAAAATTCTCCAGCTTACCCTTAGTTTGTTTGGCGCCTTCCCACATAGAAACATTAAACATGTTAAGTACTAATATACCATTGATAGAGTTCATGCCGCCAAATGCAGGAAATAATCAATGCAATATCTTTCTTCCTTAGCTCAAGTTACTGCGATTCAACAAGTGATCAGTTGACAGAAGTCGACTTCGCCGGAATCCACGGCTCAGTTAAACTCTACACCACTCCGGAAGTGCATTTAACAGACATCTCTGTATTTACGGAACACACTTACACCAGAGCCATACTCAAATTCGTCACAGAGGTCGCAGCCTACAATCACGTCAAATCAAAAGACATTATCATGAGTTATGAGCTGCTCGACAGGAAGGGAAGGGTGGTGTCATCTGCGGGTGGGGAGGGGATGTTCAGTGGGAAGGTCACAGTGTTTTTCCCAACCTTGTGGTGGCCCATAGGTATGAGTGACAAGCCTGGTTATCTGTACAATCTCAAGGTAAATTTATTTCACTCATACATAAAGTATTTCTTGTAGGTGTACTTATGGTTATATCTGAATCGAGTTTCGGAGGTTGAAAACGAAAAAAACTTTCTAATCCTCGTTCCCCAACATTTTCGATTAGATCATAACTGGATCCTATTATGACGGCCGTCTATGACGTCATCAAGGGAGGCTTGTCCTTCCCTTCCCAGACTTTGCACAGACAACAAAACAAGAAAGAGCCCCTGAAGGCTAGGCTACGACTATCTTTCTAAATCTAGTCTCGTCGATCTACAACATCGAACTCCAGCAACCTTTCATGACACGATCATTCCTTGCCTCACTGAGAAGATTAAAGATGTTTTCCATGTGCCCGACTCGACATACTTAAATTCCAACCTTCACTATGTGATCAGTAAGGATTATAAGATTTTGCTCTTCTCTTTTAGGTTATCACGTCTTATAAAGGAATTAATGATGTCTACAATCTTCCGGTGGGCTTCAGGACCGTCCGAGTAGAGGGCTCAAGGATCCTCATCAATAATGTTCCATTGTACTTAAAGGGGTTTGGAAAAAGGCAGGATAGTGACGTAAGCCCCTTGTTAAGGTGTTCCAAGAGTTTCCTTGTAATTTTCAGTGCTCCTCAGTCCATTTGAAGCTCTTCACTGTTGAGAAAAGAGGTCACATATGATTATATTTGAGCACTTCTTCTCATTGCAGATTCGTGCTCGAGGTTTTGATTATGCCACCTTAATTAGAGACTTCAATCTGATTCAGTGGTTTAGCGCCAACTCCATCCGCACAAGTGAACACCCACCACCCGAAGAACTTCTGGAACTTACAGACAAATATGGAATTATGGTCATCAACGAAAGCCCAACTGTGGCACCCAAAGAAGTGTATCAGTACGTGTTCACATTAATCCCCCCTCCATTACATACACTTAAAGTGAATGGAGCCTCCCCCCTAATAAAATTGCTGTAAAGTCGAAGAATCTCATTCATGAATTAAGACGGCATCAGATCTTTCCCTAATTGAGAAAGCACCACCCAAGCTGTTCAATAACTGATCTCGTTCTTTGTATGTTGTCACTCGGAAGTATATAAAGAGACCGCTTTCGCAGATGGCGTGCATGAACTCGATTTGTGTGAAGTTTTTTGTCGTTTCATGCTATACCTCCCTTCGTTTTTGGGCGTTTCATTTATTTTACAGGCGTGTAACGTAAGTGAATATCATTGATTAGGTGTTTCAGGTATATCAATTTGAGCCTATGGCAACATGGCTGCTGCCCTTTCTTTTCATTTCATGAAAACTATCATCAATTGTTTTTACTTCACCAAAGATTATGCCCTTAAGTTAACTGTTTATATCTTACTGATACAAATATTAGAGACCATATTACAGAGCATGCAGTCAACCGCCATGTTGACTTGCTGTCAGAGTTGATACAACGGGATAAGAACCACCCATCTGTAGTGATGTGGTCTGTAGCAAGCCATTCAGTAACAGTGCGCAGTGGGAACATTGATTCACATCTAAAACGAATGATGGACTTCACACGAGAGATGGATTTACAGAAACGGCCTGTTACGTACGTCACCTCTTCATATGACAAGTTGATGATTATGGAAGATCCTGGGGTAAGAGAGAGAAATTAAAGTTTGCAATTTTTTTTATCTGATCGGAATATCTGGTTCACACTTTGGTGCTTCTTTAAATTGCGCCGACTCTAATCATTGATTACTTCGGCTTCTCTTACATGTGAGGACTTCAGGTTATCGTTCCAGTCCTCATCTCTCCATTTTCCGAGTTGATACATTTTCCCTCTTACTCAACTTTCTACCTATTTCCTTTTCTCAGCTTCAATTCTGTGACGTAATTTCTTTCAATCGTCACTACGGTTGGTATTGGTACCCAGGCCAACCCTCGTTGATTTCGAAGTCTCTAGAGGAGGACCTGCGTGGCTTACATAATGTGTTTGGTAAACCAGTTCTCATGGCCGAATATGGCAGCAGCGCTGTTGCCGGGAGACACAAGGTAATACAATAAAACAACTAATCAGCCGAATTAAACCAATTACGAGAGTAAAAGCAAAGGAAACTATCCTTTATATCACCGAATGAGGACAAATTTGTTGGAAAGGATATACTAAATTGTTGAGTTCAGTAGCCTTTAAGCGGATACAGTAAACCGTTTTCCTTTGGATCCTAACCCTTTACAGCCTAACATCAGTATACATATTCTCCATACTGTTCTTTAAGCATTTCTTGTGGTGCTGATAAGGAGAATTTGTTGAACAATCTGAAGCTTTGCTAAATTGCTGAGTTCAGTAGCCTTTAAGCAGGTACAGTAAACCGTTTTCGTTTGGATCCTAACCCTTTACAGCATCACATCAGTATAAATGTTCTCCATACTGTTCTCTAAGCATTTCTTGTGGTGCTGATAAGGAGAATTTGTTGAACAATCTGAAGCTTCTTAAATTGGTGATCATTTCCTTTATTCTCATGACCTTTACTTTCGATTAAAAGGTGATAATGTCAGGAGAAATTAGATGCCAGTCACTCTCAGGGGTTAAAGGTCATGTCAACAGTTCAGCTTGTGTTACAGCATGGAGGTTGTAACTTTAGGGTAGTGATTTGTATGTGTGGGTGTAAATGTTTGTGTTTACTTGCTAAAATCGAGGTATCACGTTTCACTCAATCCTGTCATATTAGCAAAGCTTTGTCTTCATTCGCTGATATTCCCTTCAAGGGGGGTTTGCATCTTCCATTACATTTGCTGACTTTGTTAAGCTTCCTCTGAAAATGACTTTTGATTTTGTTTTATATTGCATTAGAAACCGTCTGTGCTGTATACCGAAGAGTATCAGGTAAACATTTAAGATACTTTCTTTCACAAATGAAGCTGAGGTTTCATACACGCCTTATCAAACGAAGTTTTTGAGTGCGAAAATTTAAAAAAACCATACCGAAACAATTCAAGCGAGCACTTCGGCGAGTCACTGTACATGTGAACTGGCGAACCACAAGCGCAATTCTATACATTTCCTGCGCGTTAAACACTGTTGTAGATCTCGTGGTTTTAAAACTCTTGCCACGTATCTAAAGCGATGCCAGCGTTTAAAATTTGAGTTTCAGTAATTTAAGAGCATTCCCTTACGAGGCAGAGGTTGCTTTTAAATCGTTAAAGGAGTTTCTTCTCATGGTGAAGAGGGGATTGTCTTACCTAGGTTACCTTCTTACAGGTGTACCAGTCACATCAAAAGTGTTATTTTATGTAGACAGCACGACTTAAGTATACATATCTAAGATGAACTACAATAAAATTAAACTGAGTTGCTTTGCTTCAAGCGCTCTAACTCTTAAATAAACGTATTCCCAGGTCGACACAATGAAACAATATTTCCCAGTATTTGATCGACTCAGGAAAGAATTTCTGGCAGGAGAAATGATCTGGACTTTAACAGACTACAACGTTCTAGAATGTAAGTGGAAAGGTTGGTTAAAAAGCCTAGCAAGCCCTATTAATACTAGTGAGTGACGACACCAGTGAAGCACTCTCTTACTCCCCTCATCGCATATCAATATTCTCCGTTAGCCGACGTCTGCTTTTGTTCTTCTTGTGCACCTACGAGATTGATTCAATCACGCTGATTGACTTGACTTTGGTTTCATTTTATATGAAAATTATCCAGTGAGGTATCAAACAGCATTTCAATCACCTGTTAATGCTCAAATAACAGTGAAATGATTCTTATCTAAATTTGAACTCCATACTGCATTCTTATAGCTTATGACACCATGTCAACTAATACGAAGGGGCTCTTGACGCGTCAAAGACAACCAAAGGCTTCTGCGCACGCTCTTCGGCAGAGGTATCAAGCCTTGACAGTGGACACGCATCCAAGGTTTACTGGTGATCAGTTGCTGGATGTCCTTATTAGATTCAAGCCTCACGAAGGAGACAAGTTCCCCATCGCCATCCACAACAGACTACCTGCTTTGATAAGAGAAGAAAGAGTAAATACAACAATACGGAAACGCTCTTTGGACGAGATAATGACAAACTACGAGCCGTGATGACCGGGTCAACGAAGCGTTTTATTTGAAAATGAAACACTAGGGACACATATGTAGTGACATTTTCCCATATGGTACTCATGGTAAAGCTCATTCAAAAATGTACATGAATTTAGGTGCGAATTTTTATTAGAGAGAGTTGGTCATTATGGAGAAAAAAGGGGTTGGTCAAAATATTTTGGACTTAAGCCTTACACTCAAATTGGCAAAGAGAGCCACATATTTCCATCTTCCAGCTGCCTCGTGTATGATTATGGTAACTATTTACAGATATTCAATTAAGTATTCAATTCCCATCCAAAAGCATTTAAAGTTATGCAACAAATGCCCTTGTTCGTTAGCTGGTTTGTTCGTTTGCCCTTCGATTGTTTGCCTACCGCATTCGTCATCCTTTCGTTTTCGACTCCCGGTCTCGCTGTTCTAGTGTTTTGGGTACCAAGGGGGTAAATTTCTAAAGAAACTGTGGTGCTGCGTCGGTAGGAGAGTATAACTGGGTAATTTAGTATTATCAACTGAGTTGATCACGTAAATTGGCGACTGTGAAGATTTCTTGTTTGTGTGTGTGTGTGTTTTGTTATTTTTTTTTTTTAACAAAGTACGGTACTTCTCTAACAATTGTACTTCAGCGAATAATTTATGTATGTCAGGGAATATTATCCTGTAGGGGTCTGGAACAAAATAAATTCCTGGCAGTTCGGTAAATCTTAACCCCCATTTTAAAGTAATTGCCAAGCTTAACCTGATTCATAACATTTAAACGTGACTGGACGGTCATTCTAGCATTATTATTTGATCGTTTGTATTCCTTATTTACTCCGGTACTAACTTCTGAATTTTGTCACATCCTGCTGTCACGCCATCTATTCGATACTCGATTTAAGAATTTGTTCATGCTTAGCGTGCGTATATGGAGTTTTGGATGCACGCGGGAAGTTTGGAAAGCACAAAATATGCGTAAGAGTAGCTCGAGGCGCAGCCGAGAGCAACTCTAGCTTTTTGAGTGCTCTCCATACTTCCCAAGTGCATCCATAACTCGATATACGCACAGCTAAAAGCATGAGCAAATTCTTTTATAACAGAGCGACATCAAGAATATGCGCGAAGAAGCCTTTTATTGTGATAGAGTGCAATTGTGATTGTTTTGGTTTTGGTAAATTCTCAATTAACAACCGTGTACTTTATTCCCTAGGTTGAACAAATTTAAAAACGACAGTAAAAACCGATATTTTACCTTTAAATGTTGTTAATGACCAATTGGTGACTTTTTTTGTTCCCAGTGAATGTCTGTCTTTCGGCCAAAATTTTCTGCAGCTGGTCCTCTGACAAATTTGCGAAACGTGCAACTTACGATGTTTTTTCCGGCTCCATTTTTGTTGCTTGTTGGATCAGGACCTAAAAGGTCAATGCCGATAGAAAAATTGGGCAGTTCTCCTCTGGTTTCTTCCATATTTCAAAGAGAAGGAAAACTGCACTGCAGCTTAACAGGACGGAAACTCTGAAGCCAGGTTGAAAAAAATGCAAAAGTCATCTTATTTACGCACGGGCGTGCATAAATAAGGATTTTGTTCATAGTGGCTAAATAGGACTAATATAGGGCAAGCACGCTCGCTATGTTATAGAAAGCTCTGGTCGCGAGCCGAGGTGCAGAAACATGGCTTCCGTCTTTGTAGGGCAGTTTCGTAAACGCTGCAGTCTCCTTCTGGCTATTTTTGTGTTAGTTAGCGTTTTGCTCGTTTATCATGTTACTTATCACGTGAAAAGTAAGCATAGAAGAGAAATAAGATTTCTGACGTACAACATTTGGTGTTCCCCTTTTAAGATGCGTGAAAGAATGGAAGAACTTGGAAAAATTGTAGAGGATCTCGAGCCAGATGTTTTAGCATTTCAAGAAGTCACGCTAGACAACCTGGCAGTTCTACGAGAACAGCGCTGGTTTTCTCGCTACCATCTTATTCCACGAGGGGTTTTGAAATCCGATGGAAAACATTTTGTCATTATTTTGAGTATCTTTCCTGTTGAGAAATGGCTGGTCCATCCATTCACAAATAATGTGGACTCAACATCGAATCGTGGTCTTGTTTTAGCAGAAGTAAGGAACATCATTTCTTCTACAGATGTTACTTTTGTCTTTGTAGCAACACACTTAGCATACGGTGGCTTCGGCACTACGCAACGCGAACAACAGTTGAAAGAATCATTTCCAATTATCTCTTCTTACGACAATGTTTGTATTATGGGAGATTTGAACATCTACGAAAATATCGATGGAGAAGTTGTGCTGCCACCAGCTTGGTTTGATGCGTGGCTATCGATTCCCGGAAATTCAAACGAAAATGGGTTTACGTCCGACCGGTTAAAAAATTCGATACTGAAAGGTCGTCCTGCAGTGAATGCAACAAGTTACAAGGCACGCTATGATCGCGTGTTTTGCAAACTGTTCGACTTCAAGGTTAAAGAAATGAGAATTGTTGGCGATGAGTTGACAAGAACCGGTATATTACCTAGTGATCATTTCGGTCTTTTTACAGTGGTTGAACACATAGAGAAATCTGAAACTGAAAAACAGAAACAATCAACCGGGAGTGAAAGTAAAGTTTATTTTAAGAGGCCAAGAGGCTGGGAAAATTAATTAAGTAAGAAAAGATCACGAGGGCTGTTCTCTTCATGTTGCTTCAAGTTAAATTATCTGTCAGAAGGAGAACTGTAAGAAGTGCTTTAAAAAGTACTCTAGTTTGTAAGTTAGCATCTTTTGTTGCATTAGCACTGTAAATATCAGTTGTGTAATGTTTCAACATTGTGAGTATTGATAGCAGTTACTGTAGAGTTGCATCATTGACAGTCACATTGCATATCAGTTTGTCACTAGTTGATATATTTTGTTTGTACAGGAGTTTATTGAATTCAGCTTTATTTACCGGTTTGCATAATCATCAAATTACCTGTATATGTATATGGATTTTCTGACAGATGTAGTTTAGTTGATTTGGAAGTTAAGAGTTGCAAGTTGTAAGTATTTTTGATCCAATTAAGCAATACATTATTCAATCAGTGCACGACTGCTGAGTTTATAAAAGTTAAAGTTCAAATATACTGCTAATTAAATGCAAATGAAAAAATTATCAGATGGTTAAAAAAATGTTTCACTACTCCTTTTTTTCTAAGTTGAAGCCTGGCGAGGTGTATAAAGGACCATGGACAAATCTCTAACAATATTCTGCTCTATTTCTGCCTCTAGTCCTTTTGGCTGCTTAGGGAGGCACAGCATGTATGTCCAAGTGTCTTCCCCTTCCTCAGATGCTAGTCCTATCCCAGTACTTGTATTTGGGACATCTCATGCAAGGCACTCATCCATCTCAAAGGATCCAAACTTTAGTTTCAAGGAGAAAACACTGTCCTTTTGCCTAGCTCACAGTTTGTGAAGACATAGAAAAATTGTGTGATTCCTAGAAAATTGCACTGCTTTTTCTGTTTGTAGCCTTTATTTGAGAGACTATATTCAGCCTAAATGTAGCATTATAAAACTGTGATGTTGAAACATTTCTTCCTCCCTTTTAGCCAGCTCCTTTATTTCTTTCCACCATACAACATAACAAGCTACTCATGGTTAATGTGGAACTTATCATCATCAAGCCAGACCCCAGAATTTTCAAAACTGTTCCAGTTATTTTTTTGTGTGGCTCCTTGGGGGTTTAGAGGAGAGATGTGCAACTCTTAGCTGTGTGGCAAACTAACATTTTGTTATTTCGGTACCAGTCTGCTGCGAACTTTACATCGTCCCAGCTCTATTCGACCAGCGGTTACTGCCATGAGAATAAACATCTGCAGCTGTTTTCATCCTTGAGCGAAGCTTAGTGATTTTTCGAGAACCTGCAAGTTTTCTACCCACGATTGTACCTGTAGTGGTCCGCTGGGAAACATTAAGGTCCCTCTTTCTGTACAATCGATATGAGTTTGAGGTAAATAACCACTTTTGTTTTCGATGGAAGTTAGTTTTTGTGGCGTCTTTGACGTGGCGATGATTGACTGTGTGGCTAGTTCAAGTGATAAAAACTGCTTTTACTGTAATAGCTTTCTTTCTGAATGCGATAGTTCAGATCTAAATTTACGAAAACAACTGACTTTTGAAGTCAGGGGCGTATATAGTCCTTGAAAATGGTTCAAAGATCGAATGTTAAAAGTCTAAAATGGGTGACTTTGATAATGAAAACCGGAATGTATTAGTAATATATATATGTATTTAGATACTTGCTATGTATGTTCTGGTGAAAAAGGCGCTCCGTTTTGCGCCTGGTTTTAAGAAATGTGCAGTGTTGCACTAAAGAGGTGGAAGAACGCGCGACTTCGTTTACACTCATCATCACCCGAGTCGTACTCTGTTATTAGCAGTATACACTTTTCGTTCGGTTCTTCTGCGGCGGGGCTTTCAATCTTTAATTTTTACACGAAGGAAGGGTAGACGGACTTGCTTTTAACTAGTAAGACTACTCTGTAAATCCGTATAGAGTTTTGCGTGCAGAAAAATCGTTCGGTATAGAATTCAAAATTTTCTAATGTAATTAGTTTTTACTGATGTTGGATATAAGTTGCAAGGAACAATATTGGAAGAAGTCGACATCAGTCAAGCACTCTCTTACTCCCTCATCGCATATTAATATTCTCCGTTAACTGACGTCTGCTTTTGTTCTTCTTGTGCACCTACGAGATTGATTCAATCACGCTGATTGACTTGACTTTTGTTTCATTTTATATGAAAATTATCCAGTGAGGTATCAAACAGCATTTCAATCACCTGTTAATGCTCAAATAACAGTGAAATGATTCTTATCTAAATTTGAACTCCATACTGCATTCTTATAGCTTATGACACCATGTCAACTAACACGAAGGGGCTCTTGACGCGTCAAAGACAACCAAAGGCTTCTGCGCACGCTCTTCGGCAGAGGTATCAAGCCTTGACAGTGGACACGCATCCAAGGTTTACTGGTGATCAGTTGCTGGATGTCCTTATTAGCTTCAAGCCTCACGAAGAGACAAGTTCTTCATCGCCATCCACAACAGACTACCTGCTTTGATAAGAGAAGAAAGAGTAAATACAACAATACGGAAACGCTCTTTGGACGAGATCATGACATACTACAAACCGTGATGACCGGGTCAACAAGTGTTTTATTTGAAAATGACTCACGAGGGGCTCATGTCTTGTGACATTTTCCCATATGGTATTCGTGGTAAAGCTCATTCAAAAATGTACACGAATTAAGGTGCGAATTTTTTTATTAGAGAGAGTTGGTCATTATGGAGAAAAAAGGGGTTGGTCGAAATATTTTGGACTTAGGCCTTACACTCAAATTGGCAAAGAGAGCCACATATTTCCATCTTCCAGCTGCATCGTGTATGATTATGGTGACTATTTAAAAATATTCAATTAAGTATTCGATTCCCGTCCAAAAGCATTTAAAGTTATGCAACAAATAGCCTTGTTCGTTTGTTTGGTTTGTTCGTTTGCTCTTCGATTGTTTGCCTATCCGCATTCGTTATCCTTCCGTTTTCGACTCCCGGTCTCGCTGTTCCAGTGTTTTGGGTACCAAGGGGGTAAATTTCTAAAGAAACTGTGGTGCTGCGTTGGTAGGAGAGTATAACTGAGTAATTTAGTATTTTCAACTGAGTTGATCACGTAAATTGGCCACCGTGAAGAGTTTCGAAGCTGACGTTTCAAGCGTTAGCCCTTCGTCAGAGGAATGACGAAGGGCTACCGCTCGAAACGTCAGCTTTTAAACTTTTGTTTGTGTGTGTGTGTGTTTTATAATTTTTTTAAACAATGTAGGGTACTTCTCTAACAATTGTACTTCAGTGAATAATTTATGTATGTCAGGGAATATTATCCTGTAGAGGTCTGGAACATAATAAATTCCTGCCAGTTTGGTAGATCTTTAAAATCGTTACAGAATTAAATCCCCCATTTTAAAGTAATTGCCAAGCCTAACCTGATTCATAACATTTAACGTGACTGGGCGGTCATACCAGCATCATTATTTGATCGTTTGTTTATTCCTTGTTTACTCCGCTACTAACTTCTGAATTTTGTCACATCCTGCTGTCACGCCATCTATTCGATACTCGATAAAGCTCTAGCCGCGAGCCGAGGTGCAGAAACATGGCTTCCGTCTTTGTAACGCAGTTTCGTAAACGCTGCAGTCCCTTTCTGGCTATTTTTGTGTTAGTTAGCGTTCTGCTTGTTTATCATGTTACTTATCACGTGAAAAGTAAGCATAGAAGAGAAATAAGATTTCTGACGTACAACATTTGGGACTCCTCTCTTAAGATGCGTGAAAGAATGGAAGAACTTGGAAAAATTGTAGAGGATCTCGAGCCAGATGTTTTAGCATTTCAAGAAGTCACGCTAGACAACCTGGCAGTTCTACGAGAACAGCGCTGGTTTTCTCGCTACCACCTTTTTCCACGAGGCGTTTTGAAATCCGATGGAAAACATTTTGTCATTATTTTGAGTGTCTTTCCTGTTGAGAAATGGCTGGTTCATCCATTCACAAATAATGTGGACTCTACATCGAATCGTGGTCTTGTTTTAGCAGAAGTTAGGAACCCCATTTCTTCTACAGATGTTACTTTTGTCTTTGTAGCAACACACTTAGCATACGGTGGCTTCGGCACTACGCAACGTGAACAACAGTTGAAAGAATCATTTCCAATTATCTCTTCTTACGACAATGTTTGTATCATGGGAGATTTGAATATCTACGAAAATATCGATGGCGAAGTTGTGCTGCCACCAGCTTGGTTTGATGCGTGGCTATCGATTCCTGGAAATTCAAACGAAAATGGGTTTACGTGCGATCGGTTAAAAAATTCGATACTGAAAGGTCCTCCTGCAGTGAATGCAACAAGTTACAAGGCACGCTATGATCGCGTGTTTTGCAAACTGTTCGACTTCAAGGTTAAAGAAATGAGAATTGTTGGCGATGAGTTGACAAGAACCGGTATATTACCTAGTGATCATTTCGGTCTTTTTACAGTGGTTGAACACATAGAGAAATCTGAAACTGAAAAACAGAAACAATCAACCGGGAGTGAAAGTAAAGTTTATTTTAAGAGGCCAAGAGGCTGGGAAAAATTAATTAAGTAAGAAAAGATCACGAGGCTGTTCTCTTCATGTTGCTTCAAGTTAAATTATCTGTCATAAGGAGAACTGTAAGAAGTACTTTAAAAAGTACTCCAGTTTGTAAGGTAGTATCTTTTGTTGCATTAGCACTGTAAATATCAGTTGTGTAATTTTTCAACATTGTGAGTATTGATTGCAGTTACTGTAGAGTTGCATCATTGACAGTCACATTGCGTATCAGTTTGTCACTAGTTGATATATTTTGTTTGTACAGGAGTTTATTGATTTCAGCTTGATTTACCGGTTTGCATAATCATCAAATTACCTGTATATGTATATGGATTTTCTGACAGATGTAGTTTAGTTGATTTGGAAGTTAAGAGTTGCAAGTTGTAAGTATTTTTGATCCAATTAAGCAATACATTATTCGATCAGTGCATGACTGCTGAGTTTATAAAAGTTACAGTTCATATATACTGCTAATTAAATGCAAATGAAAAAATTAACAGATGGCTAAAAAAAATGTTTCACTGCTCCTTTTTTTTCTAAGTTGAAGCCTGGAGAGGTGTATAGAGGACCACGGACAAATCTCTAACAATATTCTGCTCTATTTCTGCCTCTAGTCCTTTTGGCTGCTTAGGGAGGCACAGCATGTATGTCCAATTGTCTTCCTCTTCCTCAGATGCTAGTCCTATCCCAGAACTTGTGTTTGGGACATCTCATGCAAGGCACTCATCCATCTCAGGATCCAAACTTTAGTTTCAAGGAGAAAACACTGTCCTTTTGCCTAGCTCACAGTTTGTGAAGACATAGAAAAATTGTGTGTGATTCCTAGAAAATTGCACTGCTTTTTCTGTTTGTAGCCTCTATTTGAGAGACTATATTCAGCCTAAATGTAGCATTATAAAACTGTGATGTTGAAACATTTCTTCCTCCCTTTTAGCCAGCTCCTTTATTTCTTTCCACCATACAACATAACAAGCTACTCATGGTTAATGTGGAACTTATCATCATCAAGCCAGACCCCAGAATTTTCAAAACTGTTCCAGTTATTTTTTTGTGTGGCTCCTTGGGGGTTTAGAGGAGAGATGTGCAACTCTTAGCTGTATGGAAAACTAAAATTTTGTTATTTCGGTACCAGTCTGCTGCGAACTTTACATCGTCCCAGCTCTATTCGACCAGCGGTTACTACCATGAGAATAAACATCTGCAGCTGTTTTCATCCTTGAGCGAAGCTTAGTGATTTTTCGAGAACCTGCAAGTTTTCTACCCGCAGTTGTACCTGTAGTGGTCCGCTGGGAAACATTAAGGTCCCTCTTTCTGTACAATCAATATGAGTTTGAGGTAAATAACCACTTTTGTTTTCGATGGAAGTTAGTTTTTGTGGCGTCTTTGACGTGGCGATGATTGACTGTGTGGCTAGTACAAGTGATAAAAACTGCTTTTACTGTAATAGCTTTCTTTCTGAATGCGATAGTTCAGATCTAAATTTACGAAAACAACTGACTTTTGAAGTCAGGGGCGTATATAGTCCTTGAAAATGGTTCAAAGATCGAATGTTAAAAGTCTCAAATGGGTGACTTTGAAAATGAAAACCGGAATGTATTAGTAATATATATATATATGTATTTAGATACTTGCTATGTATGTTCTGATGAAAAAGGCGCTCCGTTTTGCGCCTGGTTTTAAGAAATGCGCATTGTTGCACTAAAGAGGTGGAAGAACGCGCGACTTCGTTTACAATCATCATCACCCGAGTCGTACTCTGTTATTGACAGTATACTCTTTTCGTTTGGCTCTTCTGCGGCGGGGCTTTCAATCTTTAATTTTTACACGAAGGAAGGGTAGACGGACTTGCTTTTAACTAGTAAGACTACTCTGTAAATCCGTATAGAGTTTTGCGTGCAGAAAAATCGTTCGGTATAGAATTCAAAATTTTCTAATGTAATTAGTTTTAACTGATGTTGGATATAAGTTGCAAGGAACAATATTGGAAGAAGCCGACATCGATAAATTGTAAATACAACTGGAAAAAAACCTGTCTTTTCCTCTCAGAACCGTGTCTAATAGCAGTTGAGTCGTCCTTTTATAGCTTGATAACAGAGTAATTTTTGATCTATAGTCAAAAGTGACACTCAAGCTCTGCAGGTGATACACAAGCTCTGATATCTAACTCTGATTTCCCACATTATTTTACTTCATTTTCCATGGTCGTGTTTTCTGATGCATCTGGCCACTTCTTACAGTGCAATCTGACCAAAGAAAAATAATGCAAATTAACAGTGAACAAAATTGATAAATATTTCAATATCTGAATGCACATTTTCTGCCATTCTGTCAAAGTTAAATTTCTCTCTCTGTTCTCTGTCAGCAAACAAACTTTTGCTGCATTCAGAAAAACCTGAAAAGAACACTTTATACTACTTGCAAATCCTATAAGCAATTCATGCTGACAAGACATTTGTAATTTTTGATAGATGTGTTGGTCATAATTTTTATCCTCTGTAGAGTTCATGTGTGTACATGGAATGTCAAGGTAACACAACCACCAGATGAAGACTTCAGATCACTTTTGCACCTTGACAATGAAGAACAACTTCCTGATATTGTTGCTGTGGGGTATGTATTCTCTCACTTAAACAAAGAAGTGTTTTTTATCTTGACAGTTCTTGTACTCCTAGATTTGTACGCGATGATATCTCTTTGCTTTACTTTATGTATTTGATACATGCCACACTATTTATATCAATAGTTTCCAAATGAGGAATGGAAATAAGGTGAACAATGATAGTTTTCTATTAGTAGTGTTGTCTAATATCTGAGGTGTTTTTTGCAGTATGGTCAACGTAATAACTTGTGGCACATTAGATCCAATTTGTGTGTGTAAAATAAATCCTTCTTTCAAAAATACTCATTATCTGGCTAACATCAGTATTAGTCCAAGTAATTACTAGTTTCTAGTAAACAAATATATGTGGGTCAAGGCAAGCCACTAAAGGCTGAGATGAAGAGTGAAGCTGGTAATTCCCCTCTTAATAGAATTATTTGATTGGTTGATAAGATTAATTTGTTTGAATATTGGATGATTTGTCATCAAAACAGTTTGATCATTTCCGTTATGAATGTGCACATATTAGTTCAGATAACCTTGGTTTATTCTCAAGCTTTTAATTAATATCATTGTATTGACTTGTAGTTTGCAGGAGGTTGATGCTAAACCACAGTCATTATTAATTGAATACATAAAGGAAAATTCCTGGGTAAAGATCCTTCAAGCCTACCTTGGGGCATATGGCTTGGTTAAGGTATATAGACATGATTATGTTTTTTTTTTGGTTTTTTTTTTTTTTCAGATACATAAAGGATATTAGGCCAAGCTGTAATGACACTATTTTTTTTCGTCTGGAATGACAAAAACAATAATGTTTTAAACAAGTATTGTGACTGGGTAAAATGCTTTCCTTACTACCCAAAAATAAAATTCCTATCTTCAAGCCACCACCATCCTTTTGATCAAGTAAAAAAAAAAAAAAAGACAAACTAAGGTATTCAATACTACAACACTTTGTTCTTCTTGATGAAATAAGTAAGCAAGAGATTGAAAGGAAGAAATAGGTAGCAAAGATACATTTACAAAGAGAATAACACATGGGCACATGTACATGTAGACATGGAATTTCTCTTTGAGTGTTCATCCTGGTATCTCACGAGTACATGCGGAAAGCAAGTAAGAGGTTGAGTTGAATGTAAGTAATGGGGAATTCCTACTTCTTTAGACTAACATGTAAAGCACCAAAATTAAGACTTACAAAATCAATGTTGAGATTTTAAGGTTTCACTGAGTTTTTATGTGAAAAGGTTAATTTAGTGTACTTCTCATTGCAGCTCAAATCAATCCGCATGCTTGGAATGGTACACCTTGTAGCTGTTCACACCAAGCATCTTCCATATGTGCGTGAAATTAGACCTGGTTACTGCAAAACAGCACTTCTTGGCCTCCTGGTAAAGAGGATAGTTTTTATGTGTAATTAAATCTCATTGTAGTTACATAAAGGTAAAGGTCAAGCATTATAAGTCTCTTGCTAAATTGATATCTAAACACATCCTTATTCCCATAGCAACCAGAAATATATGCTACTCCTTTTGTTTGTTAAGTATCCCTGAAGATGTGACGGTACCCATTTTTGAGTGATTTTACGAAAAAAAATAACTGTCTGTTAACTCGTAGAGTATGTTGCTTCTACCAATCAAATTACCGCATTAGGGTATGTATCTCGTACCAATCAGATTGCTGCATTAGGGTATATATCTCTTACTGATCAGATTTCTTCATTCGGCTATGTATCTTGCACCAATCATATCACAGCATTTGGATATCGTGCACCAATCACAGTGCTTGGGTATTGTTTTCTTGTAAATGATGTCATGGAATCAGGGGGCTGTGCTCAAAGAGTGGCATTGACCACAAATTTTGTGCTTATGTAATAAGTGTCATGATTGTGGCCTTTGCAAGAGCTTTGTCAAATGAGGTTGAGATTTTTGGAATATGAAAGGTTTGCAGTTATTTTTTTGTGTTCCTTTTCTTACGTGGAACTTTATGCTACTGATAGTGAATTTTCCAGGCATTCTCCCATTTTTGACTTTTTCCAGGAGTAAAAGTGATTTTGGCTACCTTGAAATTAACCCAATTAGGTTTTAATTCCTTGTAAACAACCTGAAATTTATCATGTATTTCACACACAGAGGGCAAAGTCCAGATAGGCAACAACCAATCAAGAAGCCCTCTTTGAAATATTATCCTTTCCTCTTGCTCAGTGTATCTTCCCTTATACAAGAACACAATATATCTTCAGTTTATTGTAGAGGAAACAATTTCAGTCTGCTTTTTACAGTAAAATTATGTGGAATTATATTTTTGAGGCAACCAACTAAATAATTTTGATTTTTCTTTTTGTTAGGAACAGCTGTAAGGGTAGTCTCTTTTGCAACCATTATTTGGTCTTGTCACACAATGGCTCTCTCTCCAATGGGGAATAGAGGTTGTTGTGTGATGAGAACAAACAATGACTGTGAAGGAGACTACAGTAAGTGTGGCACCGTTGTATTTTATTTTTGCTCAGAAGTAATTAGACAATATAGACTATAGACCACAAAATACCTGTGTGAGTGTAGATAAATGATGTTTTTATCTTTCTTTTGACTTGAAGTAATGGGAAATTTTGGTTCTTTTGAAAGTTATGAAAACATCAGGAACACAAAGTGTCCAGTCTCAACTTACCCAGCTAAAGAAGTAACTCTTGCATGCTATGCATGCCTATGTTTACTCATGAGTGGAAAGAGGCACTGTGAGATAAAAGTTTCTTACTCAGAATAACCAAGTTGTACTGTGAACCCATATGCTTTTTTTCTTGTAATTTGCTCTTTTAGGGAACCAAAGGAGCAGTGTCATTAAGATTTACTCTTTATGGACAAAGCTTCTGCTTCATCAACAGTCACTTCTCTGCTCACGCTGACTATGAAGAACAAAGGAATCTGGTAGTACATCCAGTATGTTTGTCTGCACTTAATAATATGAAATAATTCAAGTTATTAATAAAAGGCACATCATTATACACCATACTGAGCTTTCATAGACTTACTTTTCATACAGTTACATGTTCATGTACAGCTTGCACTATAAGAATTTGCACCTCAGATTAAAGTTGTTATATTATTTGGCCACTTCCTGCATGTCAGATAGTAAAGAGAGTGTGATGGTGGCCCTGAGAAAATACAGAATGGAGGAACTGTCTCAAACTCCTTGCTTTTGCACTCTGTGATACTCTCAGATCCCATTTAATGAAACAAGTAGTAGGTTATTTGCATAACTAAGGTAGCATTACCTTCACAGGTCTTCTTCAGCTTTTGAATTTCAGAGATTGCAAACTTGCAAATTCACCTACATGCACACTGTGGAGCAATTTCAGTGACCTGGGCCCAGTTGTATAAGAGGCAGATAATGCTATCCGACAGATAAATTGCTATCTGGTGGATAAGTAATAGCTAAACATATGGTGTTATCTACAAGATAGAGTTTTATTTGTTTTCCAACCTTTAAACAACCAGGGCCTGATGTTTTGATAATAAGTTTCTTTATTATCTATTAATTCAGGAATATGGGAGCATTAGTCAACATTTGCTATTTGCAAATTGTACACCTCAAAAAGCAATGGAACACAGGTACTATATCAAAATCCACATTCTATACATTTTAACTTGTTGTTGCAATTATTTTTGTTGCCAATGTTAGTAGTGTTGGGTATAGTGGTTATGGTGGACTGACACTAGTACTAGCTATTGGTGATCTGCAATGATGATGATGATAATGAAAATCTTGTTGTTCTTAATGAGGATGATGAGGATGATGTTGCCGTACATGATAATGATGATGATGATGATAGAACCACTTTTTCTTTTTTTGTCTTTCAGCTATGTATTCTGGCTAGGGGATCTCAACTACAGAATTAATGAAACCATTGACAACATCAAAGGGCTCTGTGCAAAAAATGATTACCCTGCACTATGGAAGCATGACCAGGTAGAGTAGAGTATTGTTTCACTTTTGTTTTTTTTTTTTATGGTCTATGGACATTGGCAGGAATTTATAGTCGGGTTGTCTTATACTATTTTATTTTGTTATCTTACACTATTTTATATGGTTATTTTGTTTTATGATAAATTGCCTTTTTATTACAATTGAAAGTCACTTTCACCCAAGGATCCTTCCCGCCCCTAATCCTCATTTAACCCTTAGCACCCATGAGTGACCAAGACAGAATTTCTCCTTACAATATCAATACACTATCGAGCAGACAATTGATGAGAAAAAAGAAAAATATCAATTAGGGAATTAATAGTTGATCCAATGCCAAATTCTCCAAACTAACATCACAAGAAATGGAAGACAATAAGGAGAATAACAAATGAAGTCGTCCTCCCCAACCCCCGCCCCCCCCCCTCCTCCAACCCCTCCTCTCTCGTGTTATGGTGTCGAGAAGAAGGAACACTTTGAGAACAAGGATTTTGTTGCGTGTCGTTTTTTTTTACCATGGCGCTTTAAGTCTACAAGTTATTCACACAGGTAGAAATAAAACCTTATTGGATAGCGTTATTTTTATGGTTTTTTTCTATCCTCAGCTCTTACAAGGTCAGAAAGACGGCAAATGTTTTGAAAAGTTCCAAGAAGGAGAGCTTACCTTTCCACCTACTTACAAGTACAACCCTGGAACAGATCAGTGGGACACAGAAAGGTAGGTCACATGAAGCTACTCATGGAGTGCTTTTGGTTGGAGAACCAAAGCCTAAGAATTCGCAATGACCAATCAGATCAAAGATGGAGAACATCAAGAGCCAATGAGACCTCATATGATAGACATACAAATGACCTGAAGCCTGGGTTAGTTTGCATCTGATTGGTTGAGGAGGTGGCACTATTTTTCTAAACAAATAACAGAGCGTAGTTAAGTAGAGGCAGTAATGTTCTTTCCTGGACCACTTTTGACTCTCAGTTGAAAACTGCTCTTAAATCTGTTGTGATCCCGTTGCAGTGGAAAGTACCGCAAACCCGCCTGGACTGACCGAGTATTGTGGCTCGAATCTGAGGAGAGGAAAAACACTGTTACACTGGAGAGTTACGTTTCTTATCAGTCCTATCAAACAAGTGATCACAGACCTGTTGGAGCCTCGCTTGCCTTGAATCTTAATGTGAGTGGCTGCATATGAATGATATTAGAGCGCTGTGTGATATCGAAACTAATCGCAGGAGCCAATCAGGAAAAAGCATAGCAACACAAATGGCCTATCATTGCCCGTCATTAAACACACCCGGCTTAGAGCGCTGGAAAACAGGGTGACTAAGGGCTCGTTTATATTTATTTGCATCTGATTGATTGAAAAAATAGTGCGATTTTCTAAACCAGTCGCAGGTTGCGATGAATTCAAAACAGTGCAGTTCCGGGTTGCATTTGACTCTCAAATGAAATTACGCTATCGCTGTGTTATTTCGTTTGCTTTCGCACAGGACTCGATCTCTTCAATGGAGGATCCTATCTCGTGGAAGTTGGATCTCATGAGTCTTCCCTGGTATGGCAATGAGGTTGGTATTTGCTAAATTAATCATGCCAAAACCAAAGAACTGTGAGAGGTAGTGGTCCGCATATAATGGGTGGCCGCGCTCCAGATCCAGAGGACTGGATCTTATGAGTAACAAGGGCCAGTCATATATGCAGACTTCAGCTGAGCTTTAAACGAAAATTGAAAAAAAAGCCTTGCATTTTAGCGTACGCCGAAACTCTGAATTTATGCTTTGTGTATATTGCGTGCCTGTAACGTGTATGCTACAAAAACATGAGGTCAACAATTGAAACATCATATTGCGTCCTTTTTTTTTTTTTTTTTTTTTTTTTTTTTCCTCGTAGGATGGTTTGTGTGTATACGTGGTGAAGAACTACAAGACGTACAGCTGGGATTGGATTGGTCTCTACAGGGTTTGTACATATTTTATCGTTTATAGGCCTTTCCAAAAATATCATCCTGTTCTAAACGTTCATTCTTTGTGCTGATGGTTTTGTTGGTAACAGTAGAAGAGGTTTATGATCTTTATGTGATGATTTAATATGAGTTTTAAAAGCGATAAAAGGACCTTTAGATCTCAGCCTTTCCCCTTCTTGACACTACATACAACTGATTATAATCGTCGAAGCAAGTGATCTTCGCTGACTTTGCTGGAAGTTGAAGTTCTTTGCGGCTTTAACCTGAGTTCGTAAAGAAATCCATGTCGCCAGTAGACGCATTTAATTGCAAGAGCACAGCAAACTGGCTCGGTGAGAAAGGGTTATTTCGCTCTAAGTAGTTTTCTTTTGCGGGCTGTACTGTTTCTTACGCCTTTGATGATCTTCCACAACCGCTGAATTTTTTTGATAAGTAAGTGGCAAATCGTGAAGCGAAGTACGAAATGAAAAAATTACTTTCTAAGTTGATCGGTAAGGTTGGGTGTAGATAGCGACGATATTAAAGTAATCGACTCCGTCTTTACTGAATAACGATGCAACTAATTGCTTCGAAAATTGTTCGTCGTAGGTTGGTTTTCAACATGTCTTTGATTACGAAATGTATGAGTGGGCCGTGGGGGACGGGGACGAGTACGGCGAGAACGGCTGCGCGGTGTTGTTCGACTGTCTGCCAGAGGAGGCTGGCCATTACGTCATGTGTTACTATAGCTACAAGTTGGACTGCATTATTTCCGTCAGTGAACCATTTGAGGTTAGACCCAATACTTACTTCAATTTGTAATTACGTTCTCACAACGTTGCAAACATCTGTAGGCAAAGTAGGTGAAGGTAACTGATTAGATTTAGCTTTAGGGCGCAATTTAAATTAAATTGATGTTTTTAATGAGAATTGTATGGGCAACTTGTCTGGCTTATTACTGACTCCAGCGGCCCTCCCACTTACTGGAAGGCAAATTTTTAATTTTTTCATTCTTGAAACTTGAATCGTTGATGTGCAATGCCGTTGCGAGGTAGGTTGCAAGAGACGTTTTCCTTACTATGTTTCCCCGCTTAACTCCAAAAGAGACGGGTGAATTCGAAGGGCAATTCGACGTCTCCAGTGGTTTCTTTGGGGGAGGAGCCTGGGCTGCGATATTTGTTGAACAGCGGTTGGATATGGATCCCTAGCGCTCGATAGCTTCACTTTTACTTCAGACTACTTCCTCTCATTAGCAAATTCTCTAATCTTCTCCAGATTCTTCCACCCCGAGATGAAGACAAGGATCCAGTTGAGGTTCAAGTCGAGCAGCCCACTGAGGATGTGTAAGCAACAAGGATGACAACAGCTTTTGCCAGACGCTGCACCGCTTCACAAACCGCACAAATGAGGAGATACTTTATGTAAATATTTTAGCACGGTACCTGAGCATATTTTTCCTAGCCGCCATTTTGAATGATGGGCGCTTTGCGTAACCTTGTCAGTGACGTGTCCTTGTTAATCGTATGGTGCGTTTAATGAGAAAAGAGAATCCAGAACTAGCTTCATGTAAGACTATGGAATCCTATATTAAGCTAGCACTGGCCTGAGACCCTTAATTGTCTTTCCATATATACTGTAAAATAAATCTTCGCTCACCGGACAACCTCTATCAAGTTAACGTGGACACCTAAAAAAAGGCTTTTGTAAAACGCTATTGTTACGTGAAACCTGTGGTGAGCGACAGCTGATGAGAGATTTGTGTTTCATTTTTAATGTATTGCAAAGAAGGACAGCATTCTTTACTTTTTAACACAATTCTTTTCGTAAGTAAGGGTTACTTTTTTTCTCTCTCTGCTGTTCAATGTCTAACTTTCTCAAAATTTCTGCCATAATTGTTTGTACTACGTTTATCTTCTTTCTGATAAAGAATTTGTCGTGAAGTAGAGCGAAGGGTATCTCTATAAGCACGGTAGCAGTTGCCGGGGAAGTCTCGGGATCTCGGAAAGTGTTCGCAAGCAGTCAGCCCTGAACTTTGTTTGGCCCTAGACTTCGCTAGGACTGTCCGATTTCGACTCTGTGATTCAAAATGGCAGTGATCGAGAATAGATCGAAGGAAAATTTTTTAGTTAGTTTAACTTAGTTTTATTAACGAGTCGTTTGTCTATACACAGGTTTTTTTATTTATTATAACTTAAGCATCAAGGTCGTTATCTAATATAATGGATATCTGGAAACTTTTACGAAGATTTTACTAAAGTTATCGGTGAGGGTCGTATATGCTGTACATACGAATTTTTATTAAGCAACAGTTTTTTCGATCCCAGTGCTTTTATCCAAGACTGATTTTAAAATAATCGGTAAATTTAGATTATAACTCAATACATAGGCGAACCCGATGAAAATGCACATCACCACATGCTTGATTTAGTTTTGCTTCCAATTGGTGGGGAACGGAATGATTTTAAATTGCTCACAGTGGGTGAAAGAGGGCCCAATCTTCTGTCGAGTGTCGTTAAACGAAACCCCAAATAATAACCACAGCCAATTGTGGCAAAGCTGGATATAGTAAGGAGTCTTTAAGAAGTTTGTGAACTGAAAGTAAATGCTGTACAATGCGAGTAACTTAGTCAACGATTAGCTTTTATTTTGTATCTGATTGATTGATGAAGCGATACGAATCCCTTAACAGAATCCTATAACAGAGAGTGCGAGAGTTACACCAGCCTACTCCGGATTACCATCGACACTCAACTGAAATTGCCTTACATTAGGCTAATAGTGAAATAATCCCTTGCTTCTCTTAACCTTCTTTAAAATTCAAGCCACGAAAGTCACTTTTGTATTTTAGCGTACGTACTGCGAGCATTCATTAGACTATGCAACTCAGCAGGAAATCGATAGGCGGTTGAGCCCATCAAAGAAATTTGTCAGAGAGCATTTCGATGGATTGTCGAAAAACAAACATTGAAGCAATCTCATCAGCCAATGAGCGCTCAAAGTAAAACAGGGCAACTGCCTTAAGCGCTGGTACCTTCAGTATGATTGGTTCAGGGGAGAGGTTAGGAAAGAACCATGTAATCCTTGCTATCAGTCGACTTTTATTTACAAATTGCTCTGAATGAAGATGAAACGAAATATATCCCGTAATGCTGTTTAAGGTTGCACAAAGTAACATTAGTTTTGAAACAAATCCGATGGACAAATGATTTAGTGGTAAATATGAAACAAATCGTTAATAAAGTAGGTGAATATTTTAACATTATACTAAGTTAATATATGTGAAATCGACTCTGTTTAAGCTACGAAAATAAATATCAAAGCAGTGAAAGATTAGTCCTTTTATTCCGTTGATTGTGCGAAAATCTTTTAATTCATTTCCTAGTAGATGACTGGAATCTTCGAGATAGTGGCCTGTTTTTCCCCTGTTACGGTATAATCTTACCGACAGAAAAACGCTGCAATTCCACAAGCTAAACTACTTTATTAAACGGCGAGTAATGTTCTTAATAAGGAGCTAATCTTAGAGGTAATACAATACTTATCGTTAATAAAGTAATTAAGCCCATAAAGTCTATATCTCAGCTCACCACCGACACAATCTCACTGCTGTCTCTAAAGTCTCCTGAAACGAGCAATCTTCCGCAGTAACTCTCTCTCGGTATAGCTTTCAGAACAGTCGTCGCTCCGACAACAACAACTACTCCTAATACATAAGCGAGTCTATATGTATAAATATATTCACAAAGTGTTCTGGAACATTTCAGACGCTTACACAAGAACTATTTTAGTAATATTTCTTAATAAATACGATGAAATGTTCTGAAAGGTATGCAAGTGAGCATGACTTAGCAGTCTGGAAATTTCTGGAAGATTACATTTACAACAATTACTCTTGACACCTCCCTCTCTTCTAACCCTTTCACTCAAAGGAGTGATCAACAAATAACTTCTCCACACAACATCAATACATTATCTTGCAAACAGATGATGAGAATCAACATGCACTTGTTGTTCTCATCACCTCTCTGGTTGATATTGTATTGATACCGTAAGGAGATTTTTTGTCTTGGTCACTCATGGGAGTTAAAGGGTTAATGAATTATTTCCAAGAATTCTTTTATCTCTACAATGGCCATCTTTCATGCCCTCAAAAACTGGTGAGTTGTCGCTCTCCTATACACAGAGCGGTCTACGACAGTGCGTAGCTGCCAAGCTATTAGCATTGTCCACATTTAATGGGCTTATTCTATTTTGCGAAACGAAACGAAACCAAGGGAGATATAACGAAACTAAAGGAATAATGCAGATATATTTTGTACTAGGGTAAAGATAGCTTTCACAAGGATTTTGGAGTAATCGTCTACTGATAAGAAGGATTTTTATTAATTTCACAAAATAGTAATTTTAGAAGAGTTACTATTTCGCGAAATCGACTATTTTCACCCTGCGGTGACAACGTGACCTCTTTCATGTCACAAAAGTATATTTAAACATTAAAATTTAGTATATCACCAAAAATTTTGGCCCCCTCTTATTTCTTAAACCGTATTAGAATATATCTCGCAAAACAGTAATTTTAGGAAAGATGCTATTTTATGAAATGGATTATTGGTCTTGAAAATGCGAAATGATTAAAAATCCTTCTTGTTAATTAACGATTACTCCAAAATCCTTGTTAAAGTTATCTTTACCTTATATTACAAAATATATCTGCATTATTCCTTCAGTTTTGTTATACCTCGCCTGGTTTCGTTTCGTTTCGTTTCGAAAAATAGTGTAAGCCCCATTAATGAGGGTCCCAATGGGGTTAACCGTTAGCCGTAAAACGGCCAAAATATTTAGCCGTTAGACGTAAAAATTGACAAATTTTAACCGTTAGTCATAAAAAAAGTTAACCGTAAAAAATATCTCTGGTCGAAACAATGGAAAGGTGTTAACCGTTAGCAGAAAATTGGCCAAAATTTTAACCGATAGCCGTAAAAGCCATCACCCTATTGAGACCCTCATTAATGCACGTATCTTCACGGGTAATTAACGTGCAAAAGAAAAAAAAAAGGTGGCTTTTTACGGCCGGATTCCGACAAAGTTAAGTGTCATGTGTATATATATGTTGAGCTGAAAAAAAAAAGCTTCTGTTTAAAAAGATCATGGGACAGAAAGTTTTAAAGGCAGAATTTTAGCTTCATTTCATTGAAACGGCTGTTTGGCAAAGGTCATGGCGATCAGCAGTTAGTTTAGTCTTCGAGCCTCGATCCCAGATTGGTGTGGGATCGAGGTTCAAATCAGGACCAATCATAAAGTCGCATCCTTTCTCGGAAAACGACTATCCGACGGATTTCCTAGAATTGTTGTTCAAGTTCACTTCTAACGCAGTTGCTGTCTGTAGGGAATTTTTCGGAAAAAAACCAGAAGGAGAAAGACCTGTGTCGTTATTTTGTTCTTCTTTCTTTGGAGGTAAGTGAAGAGCATTTCTTCTCTGTCGGGCGTTGACAAGACAAGAATTCTGCCAAAGATGAGATGCAATTAGCTTGTTTGTTCGTCATCCAGCCTAGGTGTTGTGGTCACAATGAAAGAAAAAACAGTCCTAGCGATGGACGAAGTAACATCTAAAAGTTTAAATAAAATACTGTTTGGCTTTTCCGTCTACTCTGTACATATCCTGGGGTTAGAAAGAAGTTTTGAATGATTGCCGACGGTAGCTCCTCGAAGACAGCAGCAGTACAGTAGATCGAGAATTAGGCTGAAAATTTTTCCGAAAACTTATCTTCGGGAAACATTTAAACCCTTCATCTTGAACCTGTGCATCTATCAAACTTTGCAGTTAAACGTAAATATGATTATTTGAGCGATATTCATTCTAAAAACATTTGCGTAGCTAGTGGTGTGTTGAGAACAACCTGTTTGAGCTTTATGTTTCAGTATGTATTCGTTTTAAATAAGAAATTTTTTGCTAGAACTAAAAAAGATGTTTAGACTCTAATCAGGCCATTATAGAGTTCTGTGGTACACTGATTAGGTGCCGAGGCTTCAAGTATATTTTTTATTTATTTGGGGACAAAAATGAAACAAATTCAGGCCCAGTTCGGACGTCGTGCTTCCGCAGTGCCGAACTTAATTCAGGAATTAAGTTTATTGACCTGAAATTGTTGTGTTCGTCGGTGATCTATTTCCATTCGTTTATCCTGTTTGCGTGTTTCAGTTTCTACACTGCAATACTTTTAAAACCAGAGTGATCGTATATTTCTTTCTCAAACTGTAAACAAGCAACATGAAAGCTTAAACAGTTGAAATATACTTCGTAATCGTAACTCGTAATCGAATAAATTCGTCAGGTCTAAGTATCATTTGAGTTTCTGCATTGCAAAATTAACACTCTAAGAATAATTATGGTTGACATAAATAGTCAATTAATTTCCCTTCCATATTCGGTATAATCGCGTGATTCATACTTGCTGTTCATTCGATTCCTCAGCGGCAAACGGTGACTCAAGGTCATTTTCATTTAAGGCTGGACCAGCGCTAATGACTGGATAAATTAGGATTAGGAAAACGTACCACTCTATTTATCAGATAGAAATTTATGCATTCGAACAACCAGAGCAAGGTGTACAGCTGAAATGATGTGCCAGACATCTCATTTTGCTTGGTCATTAACTTTCAGTAAAATGGCGTCTGTTGTAAAGTATATCGTCATGTTGGCCATGTTTATCCAGATTGCCCAGTCGGGTGCACTGGCGTATGGAATCTGCCAGACTGGGTGTAACACAGTACCTCGCCTTTCGTTTCGTTTCGTTTCGAAAAATAGTGTAAGCCCCATTAATGCACATAATTTCACGGGTAATTAACGTGAAAAAAAAAACGCTTCTGTTTAAAAAGATCATGGGACAGTAAGTTTTAAAGGCAGAATTTTAGCTTTATTTAATTGAAACGGCTGTTTGGCAAAGGTCGTGGCGGTCAGCAATTAGTTTATCCTTCGAACCTCGATCCCGGATTGGCGTGGGATCGAGGTTAAAATGAGGACCAATCATAAAGTCCCATCCTTTCTCGGAAAACCACTATCCGACGGATTTCCTAGAATTGTTGTTCAAATTCAGTTATAACGCGGTTGCTGTCTGTAGGGAATTTTTCGGAAAAAACCAAAAGGAGGAAGACCTGTGTTGTTATTTTGTTCTTCTTATCTTTGGAGGTAAGTAAAGAGCATTTCTTTGCTGTCGGGCGTTGGCAAGACAAGAATTCTACCAAAGATGAGATGCCATTAGCTTGTTTGTTCGTCATCCAGCCTAGGTGTTGTGGTCACGATGAAAGAAAAACAGTCCTAGCGATGGGCGAAGTAACATGTAAAGGTTTAAATACGATACTGTTTGGCTTTTATGTCTACTGTGTACAGATCCTAGGGTTAAAAAGAAGTTTCGAATGACTGCCGACGGTAGCTCCTCGAAGACAGCCACAGTACTGTAGATCAAGAATTAGGCTGAAAATTTTCCCAAAACTTGTCTTCGGGAAACCCTTCAAACCCTTCATTTTGAAACTGTGCATTTATCCAACTTTGGAGTTAAATGTGAATATGATTATTTTGAGCAATATTCATTCTAAAAACATTTGCGTAGCTGGTGGTGTGTCGAGAACAACCTGTTTGAGCTTTATGTTTCAGTATGTATTCGTTTCATTAGAAATTTTTGGATTTTACTTATTAGAACTTAAAGAGATGTTTAGACTCTAATCAGGCCATTATAGAGTTCTGTGGTACACTGATTAGGTGCCGAGGCTTCAAGTATATTTCCGATATATTTGGGGACTCAAATGAAACAAATTCAGGCCCAGTTCGGACGTCGTACTTTTGCCGTGCTGAACTTAATTCAGGAATTAAGTTTATTGACCTGAAATTGTTGTGTTCGTCGATGATCTATTTCCATTCGTTTATCCTGTTTGCGTGTTTTAGTTTCTACACTGCAATACTTTTAAAACCAGAGTGATCGAATAGTTCTTTCTCAAACTGTAAACAAGCAACATGAAAGCTTTGACAGTTGAATTATATTTCGTAATCGTAACTCGTAATCGAATAAATTCGTCAGGTCTAAGTATCATTTGAGTTTCTGCATTGCAAAATTAACACTCTAAGAATAATCATGGTTGACATAAATAGTCTATTAATTTCCCTTCTATATTCGGTATAATCGCGTGATTCATACTTGCTGTTCATTCGATTCCTCAGCGGCAAACGGTGACTCAAGGTCATGTTCATGTAAGGCTGGACCAGCGCTAATGACTGGATAAATTAGGAATAGGAAAACGTACCACCCTATTTATCGGATAGAAATTTATGCATTCGAACAACCAGAGCAAGGTGTACAGCTGAAATGATGTGCCAGACATCTCATTTTGCTTGGTCATTAACTTTCAGTAAAATGGCGTCTGTTGTAAAGTATATCGTCATGTTGGCCATGTTTATCCAGATTGCCCAGTCGGGTCCACTGGCGTATGGAATTTGCCAGACTGGATGTAACACACTCTGGGTAGCCTGTGTATCTGCTGCTGGTGGTGTGGCAGGTGTTTCCACAGGAGGCGTAGCAGTCCCAGCTGCTATTCTGGCATGTAATGCTGCCCAGGGTACCTGTATGGTTGCGTGTATCGCTGCTGGTGCTGCACCTACACTTTAGTTATCGGAGAGGGATTGAGATTTTTTTTATTTCCTAAAAAAATTA